TCTGTAATAGATTTTATGTTTTACAACAAAGCCACCAATGTTCTTGTTATTCGATAGATTTGGGCTCTATCATATTTTTCTCAAGTATCCTTTGTTGTAGGGACTAAGTAATGTACATTGACTTCTAGAGTCATCTTTTATCATGATTATATTTTCCTTCTTTCATGACCTAAATCAGAAATTTGTTGATTTAAGCACTTGATCTAGCATATAAGTTTTCTTATACCTATAAGATCAACTTCAGTAAACTCAATCTGCTAAAGTAATTTGCTTCCATTAACTTAATTTATTTAAAATAATTGGCAGTTCTAATTATAATTTAGAGTATACTAAAGAATTTGATGGTGAAGATGATATGTCAATGACTTCAAACCTGAGAATAGTTTCTCCTCAGCCAAGTATTATTATTCTCTCATTCTCTAAGAATACATAATGAGTCCAAATAGAGGAATAGAGGGTCATCTTGAAAGAGAAGATTGGAATGATTCTTTCTAAGATGAATCAATCCATTATCTCACTCTAGGCAAAGAAGGAGAGGTAAGGGGGTTGAGGAAAGCCTTCACAATTACACAAATAACTAATAAACACCAAAGATAAGCTAGCAAAACAAAACTTGAGAACTAGGGCAAATTAGATCTATCCACATGCAATCAGCTGTGAGTCTATGTAATATGACCAAAAGAAACTTCAAGGAGCCACAAGAGGTCAGAAAAATCTCATTTGGGCGGTTTTGATGCCATGTCAAAGCTGCTTGACGTCACTGGTCACCAAATGAGAGACCACTAGCTAAGAGAGAGTTGTTGCTTTTGAGAAGAGGAGAGAGATGAAAGGGGTGAAAGAAAAAAATATAGATTATAATGTGAAAATGGTTTTACAAGTACCTATAGAGGTCCTGACGAAATTAATTGGATCTAGTTAATAGAGGTTCACTTGCACCAAACTAGATTTGATCTGCAATGAAAGAGAAATAGTGTATGTATAATATGATGAGGAACATTAATACAATTAAAACAAAATAACTAGTATTTTTGCAATCTTTCGTATGACGACAATTGAGGACTTGATATTTAGTAGAAGCTTTTTGTCCTCATTGTGTTTGGTGCTAAATCATTAAAGTTTCCTATTGCTTTTGTGCCTATTGTGTTTAGTGAAGAATTATTAATGTTGATGCATTTAATGTAAGTTCTTGGCATTGTGCTCATTTTTTTAAACTAAGCCCTTGGCATTCAATGTATGCTTCCTAAGACTGTTGTGATTGGTGGAGACTTGAGGTCTTCATGTTTACCATGTTTGACTAAAGAGTAGAATAGTCATGGTGAGTTGAATCATTATAATGATTGAGGTGTTTAGATCAAAGTAAGAAATAGAAAAAAAGGGCAAACTGGGAAGAACAATTCATCCCACTCCTGGTTCCTAATGTTCCCATACTAGAACCAACAAGTTGCGAGTTTAGATATATCATAGATTTTCATTCTTTCACTTATAAGATCACTAATGTGATTGCCTAACTGACCCCCCCCCCCCAACTTTATTGATATACCAGCACCACATAAAGTCTAATCTTGTGGTAGCTATTCAACAATGATGGTATCTATTGCTTTATCTTGGTTACACTTGAGGGAGATTAGTTGATTATGTTGTCTAGAGTTACAAATAAGTACAACTAGACTGTGTCAATTTGATTTCGTATCAACTTTTGGGTCTCATCCAACATCACACCATATCCTACCTAGTTCATGAGGGAAATCTTACCCCTACAAACTAAGAAATAATAATCAAAAATGAGTTTTACATGAATAAATAACTACTAGTGAGATAGATTTCAATAAATTCTTCTGCATAGCATTTATTGATGCATGAATTCATGATGTGTATGTACATTTCTTTTGTGAGTTATCATGTAATGCAAGCTAGAAGATGATATATTTTGGTAAATTACCTTAGTTGGTCATAAAGACTCAATTAGAGTGGAGAGAACAAGAAAGAGAACACCATTCACATGGGCCGATAATGTATATTCTAGATATTGAGAGCAAGAACAATAGAGAGAGCATAGTTAGTAGTGGCAAGTTAAGACGTGGATAAATATAAATAAATATAATATTAAACCTTTATTTAAAAATAATAAATATCATGCCATCACTTACCCACAAACTTTGGGATCATGTAGGATAAGGCAAGCTCTGGCCCACTTTGCCAGCCCCAAACCCATTTGGTGATGCTCATAAATGTACAATAAATCTTAATTAAATTAGATATATGTTTTTTTAATAAAGGAAGGATATTGACGTAATATCATATTCTTATTTATACATATATTTCTCATCATTTTATTCTTCTAGAATTTTAGGTGTAGTCCCATCTGTACTGGAACCTTCTAAAGCGGAGGTCCTCCGTTTGACCCACCTCCGCCTTGTGCCCAGCTGCCATTCGCTTTTTCCATTCTAGCCGCGTCCGCCTGTCCGCAACGAATCCAGTTGACCGGCGCTTTCCGGGGGGCGACTCACGTGGTCCGTTCAACTCGTTTCATGACAAATTGTTCTCCCCTCTCTGTCCCCACGTTGACTGGCGGGGTCAAGGCGATCGACCGCGTGTCGAGGGGCCAAGCCGTCCGTACAATAAAATAATATATTTTATCCGTCTATTAATAAAGTCATTTTCTCTAATGGGAGAACTTTATATGTATTTATAATCTCATAATCACGGGCATTAATATTTTTAGGAAAAAAATCCGATTTAAGTATCGTTTTTGGGAAATTTATATATAAACAAGCATGGTATTTATTAGGACGTGCATTGATTGTATCCTAAAATATCCACATCTATTTTTTATTTGAAAACAGTCCCACTAACTACCCAAGGGTACATAATTAATTAGTGCAACTATGGCGTATAATACATGCCATGTATAACTAACCATATTTCCATAAGGCTCTATAAGATTCTAAATATCATACTTACTCTCTCATAATTATTCTATTTATCCTCCTAAAACCAATGTGAGATTTCCATAAAAATGTATTTTCTTTTCATACATAATTTTTGAAATACCCTCATAAATGCTTAAATTATTATCCTGTCTTAATCTACAGGCTTCCGATACATAATCATTAAGAGAAGCCCAATATAATGAATGGTAGGTGATTAATTCTTGAAGAACCAGAGGGCTTTCATACAAAATACTTCTCCAGAACAGAGATTCTACTAAGTTGTCGTCTCCTGGCATAGTAATGAATCCCCACCAAACCATACGGCCCACCTCCACCTTCCTCCCCGCCACGAGGAGAAGGGAGAGGAAGAGGGGGAGGGGTCTTGGGGGTGGGCCCACAACCCATCCCACCGAACCTCCCCAGCCCACGTCGGCGCCTCCTCTTTAACTCCCGCCCGCTCGCCTGCCCGCCTGCCCCGGCGGATTCATCGAGGAAGGGAGAGGGCTAGGTGGTAGATTTCTTGCGGTGGTATTCGGTTCTCTGATCCTGGCTTTCGCCCTGCCTGCTCTTCCTCGAGTTCCAGTTCTAAGCTTGAGTTGGGGGCGCAAAGTCGTTGCGGGGGCAGCGCCAATTCACCATGTCTTCAAAGCAGGGGACGGTGAAGCCGGGCCCACAGCAGCAGCAGCAGCAGGTAGGATTTCTTAGCGCGTCCTTTCTGCGTCAATTTGTTTCTTTCGAAATTTAGCTGCTCAAAGATGAGTTGCTGGTAGTCTCCCTTGGTTTCCGTTGGTCTCTCCTTTCATGGAGCCGTACCGTGTGCTTGTGGTCCATGAAGCAGCATATTCCGCCCTTATGATCTGTAATATCCTGGATTGTGATGTTTGATCTTGTGAATATGCTTCGCAGAAATGTGTTTATCTCAATTGAGCTCGATTATTTTCGGCCACTAGTTCTGATTCCATGGTTCTCTCCAGTTACGTTTCCGTATTTTGTTCTTGCTGCCCTTAGAGCCACCTATCCAACCCTTGTGTCCGTGATCTCCAGGATGATTCCATAAAATCGTGTGTATATGTTTGGAAGAATGTGTTTGTTTTAATTGAGTTCAATTATTGGCTGCGTCCAGTTTTGATTTTCACCCCTCTCTCCCTAGCGGTGGTATTCTCCTTTGAGCCTCTCTCCAATAGATAGTTTGTGGTTCTTGATCTCATGCAGTTACCATAAAATTTCCTTGGGTCATGATATTTTTTTGTGGGCAACTCCGTAAGTCGTCTTGGGCTGATATATGTAGCTTGTTTCTGAAGAAATATCAGATTTGTCCTTTTTAAGGGATGACTTTAGCAATGGCAGAGATTATTGTAGTTATAAATTTCATTCAGTCTCTGAGGCAAGTGTGTGATCTCAGGAGGCAAGTCGTCAGTTGAAAATGATGCATTATCATTATGCTTAACCTTATGAAGTAATTTTAGGAATTGAACGGGGTCAAACGGGACATCTGGTATGCTAGGTTATAATCCTAAAAGGTGACCAATGGTGTTTACTGTTAAGTGAGATCCTACAATCAGTAGAAATTATGTCAAAAATTATGAGCATATTAGGTGGTATTTAGAAGTGATTTATTTAAAAGGTGTGTGTCGATATTCAATATCAACTGATGAGGAAAATTCGAGTTTCAGAGAAGACATCTGGGCTCAGAAAAGAAGTCTGATTTATAGGCAGCTGTCGATGTCCTTTATCCAGGAAGGTCTTTGATGCCTTATATCTTTATGCATTATCTCTTTTTTCTTCGATCAACCTTAATACATAGTTACTCTTTTTTTTCTTGAATTTTAATATATTTTAAATTTATTTTTCATCTCCTTCAAAAAATCTTGCTTAGCACCATCTTATAGTGTCATCTTTCTCATATAGGTCTTCACAGATCTGGTGAACTTTGAAGTTTCCTGTGCAAAGGAAGAGAATGGCTTTTCAGGTTATCCTCCTTTATTGGATTCTCATAAGGCAGTCCAAGAATACTTACAAGAAGTACCAATCCAAACAGACGATCATCATCTGCTGGAATTTTCAGAGGCAATGAGAAGTAATGAATTACATTCTCTCGCAACTCCAGAAATTAATTAATTTCTTAGATATATACAGTCACGAACAGCATTTTTTATTGACATTATTTTACCAATCGCTAAAAACTGTACACCATTCATTTTTCATTTGGATAAACTCAGTAGTCAAAATAGGATATACTTACAAATCTTGAATAGGTATCACAGCATTGAAACGTAACTAATACTGTCACATTTTTGCACCATACAGCATCTATTGATGCCGGCCTGCTTCTTGAACTTTTTATTTTAAGATACTCATGTGATGTATCTTTTGTATTAAGTCATAGGAGTTTTAACGCTCTCTGATTTGCAGTCGGGAGTCTTATAGAGATTGTATCTTTCCTTCTTTTTCACTTTTCTGTCAGTTTCTCTATTGACTTGTACAGTTCACTGGTTGATGCACGGCTGGTACTAAGTCATGACGTCTTTTCTTGGTGTGAGCTTTTTCATATTATCCAAAACTAAATCGGGAAACCGGAGGGGCTGGGCATGATTAGATGTAATTTAGGACTGATTTTGTGATTTAAGGCTTTCTATTATATGTTTATGGAAACATGTTGGATTTCATTTTTCACTTTGAAACTGAATCAGTGAAATCTTATTTTAATTTTAAATCAGCCATGTGGACTGGAATTGCCTGTTTTCCGGGCATTGACCCCTTTCTTATGCTCCCGGATGCTCCTGTGTCTAGTGCCTCCCGAGGGTGTGCAGTTTGAGAATTAAGTGTCTCTGGTTTGACATCAAGTGGCCTATAATCTAGTTCTCTTTACTGTTTCTGTCCACTGAACTTGCGCTGCAACACAAATGGCTTCCCTCAGAATTCTTCTCTCATGTTCTATGTTGGGTTATCCGATTTGGTTAATGGTCATGTGGTATTACCACAATGTCTTGGGCTTAGGTCATGAGAAAACGTAGATATATGAGGCGAAACTACGAAATTAATGGGCGATAAATCATTCTTCTCTCGTTTAACTTTTGATCATGTGTTGCTGCGATTGGCAAGTTTATCTCTTCTTCAGATATTTAAGATGGCTCAGTTCTATACTTTTATTGCATGGTATATAAAGTATATTTAGGTTGGTTGTCAAGAAGATTTTATGTTTGTTCTATGATATGAAATTGGAGTTCGAAGAATGATTATTTATGTATTGACAAACTTTATCAAATGGGATAAACTTTTGCCAATATACTAATTATACTGGTACAAGATAAACAAAAACTCTTTGTTGCTGTACGCTGCTCACTTTGTGCGAAGATTCTTTATGTATGTAACTGTCTGCTTTTTAATGCAGCTGTTGCAAAGGCCTTAAGAAGAGTTGCAGAAGACAAGGCTTTTGCTCAGGCAGAAGCAGCTGAATGGAAGAGAAAGTATGAAATTGAGAGAGCACGCAACCTGCAGATGAAGCATAAAGGTCATTATTTATGTCCTGTTATTTTCAGGGAGTTGGAAATGATTTAGATTTCTAAGGTCAATAGGTTCAATGCTTTATCTTCCGGGTTGTCTTCCTCTGCAATAATTCTGAATTGAATAAACTGGCAAATGATGACGTGCATGTGGGAGATTACGCTTTGACTTGATTAAATTGACTAGTTTCCAACTCTAATTCTTGAGTAGAATAACTAACAGCTCATCTGTCTCATAACAGTCAGGCAGTCATTATTCAAACCATACAATTCTAATGTTTATTTCATTCATTTGTCTCATACAATTTCTATTTTTTGGAATTTCGTCACTCTGGCACATTATCGTTATTGTGTTCCACTGTATTCTTATGAATGACTGCCTTTCTGCTGTACCTGCTGTGGACTCTAGACATTGCAAAATCGATTCTTGCGAACTAAAGGGTGCATTGAACTAATATTATTTGGGCAGTTCTCCAAGAAGAGGATTGACCCCTGCTGCTTACCTGCGGCATGCACCATTCTTTCTGTTGATAAGTTCTCTTTTATCAAGGATAGTGCTATCTGTCTGAATTTAGACGGCATTTAAGTTCACTCTTTCATATTTCACCCTACTTGTCTGAAACTACATTTTAGTTTTACTACCTCTGAAATCTCAAAGAAGTAGAATGCATTAGTAGGGTCATTTCTTCTTATGTCTCTTCTGTGTGGAGAACATTCCCTTAGAAAAATCTTATATCCTACAATTGTTATGTTCAAAATAGCTCGACATGGTACATATTTTTTCCATGGTGGTATGTTTTAGGCGCTGGTCCTATCATCTGCCATATTAGGTATGCGTGAGCTGCAATGATCCCGGAACTTTATGTTGTTACTTTTAAAATCAGTGTCATTAATTCTTGCCACAGTAGAGCAATTGAATGAGTGAGAAATCATTACTTTAAAAATTAGTAAAAACTTACCAATGTTAAGTCTCAAGAGAACGAACAATGTGATTAATGGACTTTTTTTTTCCTGAGTCATTTGATGCTGTCATTTCATACACGTGAGAATGCCATTTTTACTGCAGAACCAGCGCAGGAAAGTTGTTCGTATGACTCAGAAAAAGAGAATTCGGAAAATACAAAGAATCAATCTATTCCGTCTAATACTGAGAACGAACAAGAGGAAAGATGGTGCCAAAAGAATGGAATTTACACTCATGAGATTCTTGAGGATGAGGACGTAGATTCCCACACAAAATTTTCAAAGAAAACGTCCACCAAGAAGGTGAGAATCATAAGAAAAATGGGCATTATCTTCATTTTTATTCGCTAAATATTTTATTTCCTTCGTGGCTATGCATGACAGTTTCACACCTTCATTTTTACCAATTAATGATAGATATTGTATTTTAGTTTATGGTGTCGCTGAATTCTCTCACAATTTTCTCTTGTTTATACATACCAAATTCGCTGGTGGGTGTCTCCATGGTGAAAGGTTTCTTTCATAAAGGAAGTGTTAAGTCCTGCCATTTCTCCCCCCGGCATCAGGATATTAGCTCATAGACATTGTGGTCGCCACTGTGCAGGCAGTACTGGCGAGAAATAAATTCTTTATTTATGGTGTGCAGACGGTGAACCAGAAACACTCGTAACTTTTACATGACTGTTGAGGGTTTCCAGCAGAATGAGGGATTTCATTTCTAGATTGATAGTTGGTTCTAAATCTACCGAGGATCTCTGATTCGAGGCAAAGGCTGTTGAATAGGCAATCATTGAAGGGATTATTTCAGGTAATATAAGAGAACCATTCTCTAAACATTTACTTCCTAGATAGCTGCTTCTTGTGACGTGCCCCTAGTACAAATTTTATACATAATGGGATTTTAAAGGTGATGATATAAGGATATTTAATTGTTCTGGCTTCTGAGCACTGCCCATGGATACTGGGCTTATGGAGAAGCTTTGGTGGAACCGTTTAGATAACAATAATTGAACATTATGGGAGGCTCTTGTTGTGCTTGCAATACAATGCAGAGAATGTGTTTCTAGCGTCAGGTCAAGGTTGAATATCAAATGGAAATTCTCAATGTTTGCTACGTATTGTAGCGTCTCAGGCTGACTCAGCTGAGTACCAAACATACTTGATTGCTTTATGGACTTTTTGAAAAAAGCCCCTTCTAATCCTTTGGCTTTGACGGTCACTCCTGATCTTAATCTCATTCTGGTGTATTTGACCATTGTGTTACTGTAGCAGAATAGATGGAGAGTGTAGTGGAAAATAAGAAGGAAAGGTAACTGGAGTAGCAGTAGTTGGCAGAATGTGTTCATTTTCTTGTTCTTCTAACTAGAAGCAAGCTATAAGTTCTTCAAAGAATTATGGAACGATTTCATTCTGATTGCATCAGATTGACTTGGAATCAGGTAATCAAGTATCAGAAAATTCTAGCAATCAGTTCACAGGATCAAGTAAACTCTTTCTACTATATTAGGATTTGGTTAGGCAACTTGCATGCAACTTATGTGATGCTTAGTTTGTTGTGAACAGTGGTGCAAACCCTAAGAGGATATGCAGAGGAAAAATGCAACTTGTATTCACATCATGATGACTGTTATATACAAGTCCTAGGGACACAAAACAAGGAAACCAACAAACTAAGAAATAGTCCAACCAAGAACTGAACTCCTAATTGTACATTCTTTCCCTCGCTTCCCTTGAAAAATTGGTGAGTAGGCATTCTCTATTCCCTTACTTGGATACAATACTCTCAAGTATTAGACTACTTAAACCCTTAGTCAATACATCCGCAAGTTGGTCATATGCACACACATATGTACAAAACAATCCACTCTCCAACTTCTACTTGATAAAGTCTGTCAATCTCAATGTATTTTGTTTGATCATGTTGTACTGAGTTGTGAGCTATGCTAATTGCAAACTTGTTGTCACCACAGAGTCTTATTAGGCCATCCCACTTAATATTCAAGTTTTCTAAGATGATCTTCAACCTAAGTAGCTCACACAAACCTTGTGCCATTGCTTGGAATTCAGCCTCTACACTTAATTGTGTTGCCATACTCTGTTTCTTACTCCATGCCACAAGATTCCCACCAAGAAAGATACAATATCTAGACGTTGATCTCTTGTCAACCACTGACTCTGCATAACCAGCATCTATGCATGTCTCAAGTATCAGTTCTCCTTAACAGAATACCTTTCATGGTGTTCCTTTGAGATAATGTAACACTTGGTGAACTGCCTACAGATAGACTTCCTTTAAACTATGCATGAATTGCCTAGTCGCACTGACTGTGTATGTTATGTCCGCTTGTGTATGAGACAGATGAATGTGTCTTCCTACCTAGTGTTGATACGTATCTCTATCTACTGTAGCATCTTCATCTTCCTTTCCAACTTTGAGATTTAGATCTATTGTCGTACTTAGTGGTTTACATGCGGTCTTGCTTGTTTCTCTAAAAAGATCTGTAGCATACTTCTGTTGGGAGATGAAGATACCCCTATCTTGAGCGAGCTACTTCAATCACAAAAAATATTTCAGCCTTCCTAATTTTTTGATCTTAAACTTCTTAGCCAAACACTGACTCAGATACTCTCATAAACTTCTTAGTCACTATTATGTTATCAGCACATAGCTATTGTAAGTCTCCCTAAGAATGAGTGTTTAATGGACAATGTGTGATCCTCTTGGCTTTGTCTATTCCACATGGCAACCATAGCTCTTGCAAATGTACCAAACCTGCCTGAGGTAATTACTTTAAGTTCATATAGGGCTTTTTTCAATTTGCACACTATATGAGCAGCCAAATTATTTACATAACCTAGTGGGACTGCTATATAAATTTCTTCCTCTAGTTCACTGTACAAAAATGTATTTTTAACACCGAGCTACAACAGCTCCCAACCATAATTAGTTGCTAATGACAACAGAATTTTGACAATATTCATCTCTCCTTGAAGACAAGGGATGGTGAAGTATGACTCTTGTTCATTGAAAGTTACATTCACTAAAACATAGAATTTCTTTGATGGAGGACGATAGCACTCATGCCCTTTCTGAGTTAAAGAACAACGCATAGCTCCAGAACATTTTACTAAAACATTTTAATGCTCCGGAAACCTACTTCCCCTCTATGGGTTTGAATAGAATAATAACAGTATTTCCAGTCGACTCTAGAACGTCAAGACTCTAGAGGGAAAATGATTTATGAGATGAGTGGCTGTCAAAACTGCTTCTCCCCAGAAGTATTTAGGCACATTGTTTTGGAATAGAGAGGCCCAAGTTACCTCAAGAAAGTGACCATTTTTCCTTTATGTTATTCCATTTTGCTGTGGTATATTGACACACAATGACTCATGTACCATCCCTTCTGTTTCGAAGTATGGAGTTAAGATTTGATTGAAATAGTCCCTGGCATTATTTTACTTAAAGCTTTTGACATTGAACTTGAACTGATTCTTAATCATAGAACAAAAAATTGGGAGAATAATATTGACATCAGATTTATTTTTGGATAGAAAATTCTAATTAACACAAATGCAATCATCAATGAATGATACAAAAATAAATTCCCCAGAAACAATAGGAGCTGTAGAGGAACCTCATATATCAATCACTATGAATAAGATAGAAATGAATAAAACTTCTTGCATTACTAACTGGAAAATAGATAAAAGAAAAATTGGCAAGTTTGTACATGTCACAGTGAAAATCTTCAACACTTAGGCCTTGAAATAAAGAAAGGAACATAATTCTAACGACCCTAAATGTTGGGTGTCCAAGTCAGCAATGTTAAAGCCAAACTTTCCTCATTGGAAGAATGAGGCTCAAAACAATAAGGTAATTTGCCCTTCGCACTGTTTGACTGACTTGGTGCTTCAAGAAAGGTGTTTTCAAGATACAAGAGTCAATCCCATTCTCTATCATGCCCAATCATCCTCTTGAGTCCTTGTCATAAGATACACAACGATTAATGGTGAAAAGCCACTTTGCAGTCCAAATGTTGAGCAATTTTTTGGATAGATGGCAGGTTTCTAGACAAACTAGGAACATGAGGAACAATTCTTAAGGTCAGTAAAGGGTTGACTTTAACATTCCCTCAGCTTTAGCTATTTTCTTACTGCTTGGACAAGTATAGTAGGTAGAAAAGGCATTTGATGCCCTGGTCTTATTTTCAGAAGCTCCTAAATCCATGATCCAAGGATCGGCAAAAGTTGTACTTGGGACATTTAATACAATAAATGATGGAAACTAACCTGAACATGCCAATGAACAAGAGGTTATGGGTTTGTCAAGATTGCCAATGATAGATCTCACCCTCTCAACCTCATATTGATTCTGACCAGCTGACTCCTTTGGCGTTGTTTCATTATGTTGTACTGTCATGACATGGGCTTGACCACTGTTCATTGACTGCTCTCGTTTCTGTCCCCATCCCTGACTCAGAAGTCTTCCATGGAGCTCCCAGCACCGTTCATGACTATGATGTACGTTCTTACAGTAAGTGGCACCAAAGGGTATCCTTATGGTGACGATTCTGGGCCTTCACTTGTCCTGGTTTTCCACTCCCATCGACTTGTGCTCTCTCTATGTCCATGACTGAATTATTGCCACCTCTAGCCACCATTGACATGCTGTCCATGCCTTGTCGTTCGAGTATCTGGCTTCTTCTGCTTTCCTCTCCTCAAATCAGTGCCACCAACTCATTAAAGCACGGAACCTCCTCTTTGCTGAGAATCTGAATTCTTACTTGATCAAATTCTGGATTAAGCCCAGAAAGGAACTCATAGACGCTGTCTTGCTCGATGAAATCCTTTGTAGGACACATGACATTTGGTTTTGATTGCCCTATAATGGTCAGCTGATTTGCATATTTCGTAACTGTCTTGCTTCGCTGTTTTGCAGCCATTGTCTTCAACTTCATAGACTTGCACTGCATCTGTAGCTTTAGAGTATGTCTGTTGCCCAACAAACTAGGAAACGGTCCAACTAAAAACCAAACTTCTAATTATGCGTTATTTCCCACATATTAGACATTTGAAAGGTATTAGACAAGATGTAGGTCTCTACTTCAGCTGAACGAAAATGGATTGAAGTCATAATATTTGATTGAGTTAATCCAAGGTGACAGAATCATCTACGAGATTACTATTTTCCATGAGGAAGTTTGTCTGACCTAGGGAAGGAATTTATGTTCTCAGGTGAGCAGATATCACATTCTTGAGTTTGAGATTTAATCACCAACTACTGGGCGGAATTCCAAAATCCTGCACGCTCTATTGTTTCTGGAGGCCTTGGCATGCATCAGTTTTAGTCAGGGCTCAATGGTTTACTTGCTAGTCCGGTTTGGGATAATTTTGTCCCAGACTATTCAGTTTCTGGCCAAATAATGTAGTCCAATTTTGGACGTTGTGCTGATCTAAAATGACAACGTAAAGAAAAGAGGAAGCGAAAAAGAAGGAGAATGGGGAATGAGGAAGAAACTTGCCTTCACTGTTCATTGTGATGCCAACCTGTTGATGCCCAACCAGTCAGCTGCTGTTACTATTGCGGTGTACCTTTCAATCTGTAAGAATTTCTATTCTTTGTAGAAAGCATGAGAATAAAAGGTCATGATGCAGCTTTCTGGCAATATAATTCAGAAAACAAATGTGAGGCCATGATGATATTTGAATGCTCAGCGTATATTTGCTTTGATATCTAATGATCACTTGAACACATGCCATTTTTGTTTGTTCATTTCATCATATTAAAAAATATGTTGATTTGAATAAAGATATTAAGTTCTCCTTGTTGAATAACGTGCTACTTTGTTTCCATAAAAATCGTTCAGGCATTATTTAAGCTTTATTGGGGATGCAATGGAGAAAAGAATGGACAACATAAGCGTGACATCGTTTCTTTTGAAAGAGGAAACATTACTACCGCAGAACGTAGCAGTAAGCAGGTCAGTCTACTGATGATTAGAGCACCTATTTAATTAAGAATATTTTTTATTATCCTTTTTCTACGAAGATGAATTCCTGCATAGGTACATTCTGAACTCATCCTGAAAAAAATATTCATTTCTTGTCAGATATTTTTGAAATGGGAGTCGAGGCCACGGACTGTCCTTATCCTGACAAAACCTAATTCAAATTATGTACGTGCTCTGTGTTCTGAAATGATCAGGTGTGCTTGCTGAAGCTGTCCCCTTGTCATCTATTTGAGCTTCAGAAACATGTCATTTTCAGCTTCGAAACATATGTATTTCACAAACATGCCTACTACACATTTCGTATGCAGCAACCGTTTGTTACTCGGAAAAAGCCCAATATTTTACAGAAAAATTGTCTGCTAATTTTTTATTCAATCTGAGGGTACTTTGATGGACATAGACTTATCTTTAAATGGAATTTATATGTTTGCAGGATGCACTTGTCGTACTTTTCAATAATTATACATCTTAATGATTGATGTAAACTCTGACAATAAGTAAATATCCTTATGATACATCTTTTAAGAATTTATTTTTATATTCATTGCAACCAAACGTTCATCCTTGTGGTTAAGTTACGCTCTTCTTCTCCTTTGATGCAAAGCTATTCGCATTTACATCTAAATGGAAATGTGATTCGCATTCCTACAGGTGGGAGCTTCGGATTGATGACCCTTTCTGGACGACCTTATGTTTATAAATTTCCATTCTTGTCCTGGATGCCTAGCCAATGTCCAGATTGATAATTTTTTGATATTGGCATCCTGGTTCTCTTTTAATTGCTTCTACCAGGATCGCTTCATCCGTTGCGCTACATCATGTTTTAATTTCATTCCGAGTCACCTAAGCAACGTCTTCTTAGATTTCATGGTTGAATACTCTTTTTTGTGTATCACAATTGCAGGTGGCTTAAACATCACAAAAACATGAATGTATTGGTTGAGCCTCGAGTGAGGACTGAGCTTCTAATGGAAGGCCCTGAGTTTGGTTTCGTCCGAACTTGGGAACATGGTCAGTTATAGATCTTTCCCCCTTCCATTGATGTATTAACTGTTCCGTGGTGTCACTGGGCATACATATTTTTCAACGGACTGGGAAGGGGTTGGGCTTTATAATGTCCGGGACTGGCCCTCTTTTTCAATGGGGCCCTAGACAGAGACTTGTCACTTGAAAGTAACGGGCAATAGACATGGGAATCTTGCTCATTTTTCTTTTGCGTGCACTCATATAATACATATTAATTTTCAACTAGTGCTTGCTGAATTTCTTCTTGTTTAAGACCACTATATGAAGTTATTTTCAGCTTTTTTTTCTTCTATGACGCAGAAGACGAAATTAAGCACCTACATACAAAAGTGGACCTTGTTGTGACTCTTGGTGGTGATGGAACTGTACTTTGGGTATGCATTTTGGAATCTTCTTCCCTGATCAATTAGCACGGTCTTTTATCACATATTGCCTTATGAAATCATACAAAAACTACAAAACTGATCCTAATGAAGCATCAAGTTGTGTATTCTTTTATTTTATTTTTTATCCCTTATGAAGCATAAGGTCCCCAAACGTCGCCCTAACAATTGTCTTCATACGAACTTACATTGTTCTAAATTATCCAGCGTGAAAATATCAATCCTTTGTTGTGATCTGTACAAATATGCTTACGAAAATTCAAAGCATAATAAATAGAGGGTTGTTTACGAGCCCACAATAGATCAAATAATTATCCATTCACAGGGAACATGACATAGCTGATACGCTTTTAAGGCCATTATTTCCTCCAGTAGTTAGTGAGATTCGTGTTTAGTAACACTTTCAGCGTTCTGTCGCTTGAAACTATTTCCCACTTTCCTTGCAAACCTGAGAGGCCATTTAAAGAACTGTCCCTGCTGTGCTTGTGCTATGGATTGTTTTTTCTTTTATTTCTCAACGCTGTTAATGTGCGGAGTTTTACAGCCCTATGTATAATATAACTCATTATTTTGGATATATTCCGTCTCTATGATATCTTATCTGATATCAGTGAACCATTTGTTTATGTTGTCAGGCGGCATCACTGTTCAAAGGACCACTTCCTCCGGTGGTTCCATTTTCACTTGGATCTCTTGGCTTCATGACACCATTTCGTATCCTTTTTGAAAAAAAAAATGACAAAAAATCCACCTTACATGAAATGAATGATCTGACCTGTAACTATTTAAAACTCCGGCTTATAGCAAAATAAACATATTATACATTTATTCTTTAGCATCTTATTCCCTGACTGCGAAGTATGGCCAGCCGCTTATCTATGTATTTATGATCCATCAATAAGTTGATGCGGCAATCTTATGGTGATGAACGAGAATGAAAAAAGATATCAGAAAAAAAAAACAATTTTCAGTCTTACCATTATTATATCATCGCATTCAGCATTTTTCTATAACTCCACCTCTTTTTCCTTCTTGGAACATGTATTTTTTTTTCTTTAACTGCTCCTAGAAAGTGAAAATTACAAGGAGTACCTGGACACAATACTGGAGGGACCCATCAGCATTACCTTGAGGCACAGGCTGCAGTGTCATGTGATCCGCGACCATGCAAAAGATGAACTGGATACAGAGGAACCCATCTTGGTGCTCAATGAAGTGACAATAGATCGTGGGATATCCTCATTCCTCACTTATCTTGAATGCTACTGCGACAACTCCTTTGTGACTTGCGTGCAAGGCGATGGTCTGATCTTGTCAACAACGTCCGGAAGCACTGCATATTCTCTTGCAGCAGGGGGATCGATGGTCCATCCTCAGGTACGTCTTTGTCCTCTCTCAGCCTGAGCTTGCTAGGAAAACATGACCTGTCTTCTTCTTATTCTCGGAAGAAGAAGAAGAAGAAGAAGCTTGCTGACTTGCCTGAATTGAATCTCTGCGGCTTATTTGTATTTTGCAGGTGCCGGGGATCCTGTTCACGCCGATCTGCCCGCATTCGCTGTCGTTCCGGCCGCTGATTCTGCCGGAGTACGTGACGCTGCGGATTCAGGTGCCCTTCAACAGCCGGGGCCACGCGTGGGCGTCGTTCGACGGGAAGAACAGGAAGGAGCTGGCGGCGGGGGACGCGCTGATCTGCAGCATGGCGCCGTGGCCGGTGCCGACGGCATGCATGGAGGACTCCACCCGCGACTTCCTCCGCAGCATCCGCGAGGGCCTCCACTGGAACGTGAGGAAGAGCCAGTCCTTCGACGGCCCCCGCGATTCCTGATCGCCGGCGATTCCTCAGGGGGACGACGGCGGCGGCGGCAAATGTTGGTGCGTTTTCGGAAGAAGCCCCGCGGGCAATTTTTGCACTATTGAAATCTGCACCCACGAGAGAGAGAGAGCCTGGACTTTGTTTCCTGAACTCAGATATATATACCTCAAAAAAATCAGTGGATCTCTCTCTCTCTTGCAGGGATGAGATTTCGATTTGCCTTAAAAGGGATCAAAGAAAGCAGAAGTCAACCGCGAGAGACGGAAGAACAGTGCGTGGGTTTGACTAATATTGGGAGTTGACTGCGGATGCATGCCGCCGGCCTGCCAGAAGCAACCGTTAAGAGGACTGAGTACGAAGGAGTGGGAGCCGAGGGTAGAATGAAGAGGAAGAAGAAGAAGCCTGCTCCATGTCCCGCCGGCCGCCCCAGCCCTTCCGATGGAGCTCGGTCGACTCTCTCCTCAAAGCCCGGCAAGCCCACGCCCAAATCGTCGTCCTCGACCAGAACCACCGCCATCCCCAGAACCTCCTCCTCTCCAAGCTCGTCGACCTCCGCTGCCCCCTTGATTACTCCTCCGCCGTCTTCCGCCGCATCGTTCTCCCCGACGACTTCTCCTACAGCTCCATGATCAGAGCCCTCGTCATCGCCGGCGAGCCCAGAAAATCTGTATCCCTGTACATGGAGCTCCTCCTCCTTGGCGGCGGCGGCGGCGCTGCCGCACCGAAGCCGAGCCACCTCGCGTACCCATTCGTCCTCAAAGCCGCGTCCGCCCTCTCCATGGTGGAGCTCGGCCGGCAGGTGCACGCCCAAATCTGCAAGCTGGGATTCCACGGGGACCTCTTCGTGGGGAACTCGCTGATAGACATGTATTGCAAGTGCTCTCTCATGGAGGACGCACGGAAGATGTTCGATGGAATGCCCAACAGAGACCAAGTTTCCTGGAACTCCATCATCTCCGGGTACGCCTCCTGCGGCAGGACCAGCTGCTCGCTCCAGCTGTTTGACGAAATGCCTGCAAGTGGGAACGTGGTATGCTGGACCGCCATAGCCAACGGGCTCGGCAGGGAAGGGAGGATCTCCGATATGCTGGTATTCTTCCGGCGGATGCTCCTCTCTGGCGACGGCGCCGCCCCAAACGCCGCCACGATGGTCTCCCTCCTCGCCGCCTGCTCCTCCTCCTGCAACTGGCCTGCCGGCCGATGGGTCTCCTCCTTCATCGACGTCAACGCGGTCCCTGTGAACGTCATGGTGACGACCGCCCTCGTTGACATGCACTGCCGCTGCGGGGCGTTGACAGAGGCAAGGCGGCGGTTCGATGAAGCTCCCCAGAAGAACTTGGCGACGTGGAACGCGATGATGACCGGCTACGTACGTGGCGGCCGCCCCGAATCCGCCGTCAATCTCTTCTCCCACATGACGGCCACTTCCCTGGCACCGAACCAGATCACGCTTGTCAACCTGTTATCGGCCTTCGCCAGCATGGGGGCTCTGGAGCGGGGGAAAGAAGCCCACGTTGAGCTTGCGAGGAGCGGGGCAGATGTCAACGTCTTCCTGTCGACGGCACTGGTCGACATGTACGCCAAGTGTGGAGAGATCGCCCTCGCTTGCCTGGTCTTCGTCAAGGCGCCCCGCAAGGACCTGGGCCTGTGGAACGCAATGGTGACGGGGCTGGCGGCTCACGGGCTGGCGGCGGAGGCGTTGACCGTGTTCTCCCAGATGAGCTCCGCGGGCGCCGCCCCCAACGAGGTGACCTTCGTCGGCATCCTCTCGGCGTGCAGCCATGCAGGTCTGGTGGACCCTGGGAGGGAGAACTTCCGGAAGATGAGGAAAGTCTACGGCTTGAAACCGGATCTTGAGCATTACGCCTGCATGGTTGACCTTCTCGGCAGAGCCGGGCACGTGGAGGAGGCGCTGGCTATGGTGGAGGACATGGAGATGGAGCCCGACTTCGTCATCTGGGGCTCTCTACTCAACGCCTGCAGGATCCACCATGAGATCGAGCTGGCAGAGAAGATCAGCAAGGCGGTGGTGTTTTCCTCCTCCAAGGTGGCCAATCTGGGCTGCTCTGTGCTTCTGTCGAATATCTTTGCGAGCGCAGGGATGTGGGCGGAGGTGGCGAGGGTGAGGCGGCTGATGAAGGAAACCGGAGAGAGGAAGGTCTCCGGGTGCAGCTGGATGGAAGCGGAGGGCGCCATGCACAGGTTTATTGTGGAGGATACAGCCCATGATGCATCTTCAGAGCTGTATGTGACGCTCAACACCAGTTTGGTTGATGGACGCGGTGAGCATGGAGGAAAGATTTAACGGAGCTTAAAAGCACTGTGAGGTATACCAATTGATGTGAATTAGCAAAGTATACTGGGTTTCCTTCCATTTTTGGAAAGAGGGTAGCAGAGGAGGGATGGAAGGAAACGGGTTCTTCAAGCAGAGATGAACCCTTCTTGGATAGATCAGCTCAGCTTCTCTGAAGTTCTTGAGAAACCCTGTGTGGATTCGGGACTCGCCACCACGTTGGTTGATGGACGCGGTGCGCATGGAGGGAACATTGAATCGAGCTTGAAAATCTTGTGAGATACACAAATTGATGTGAATTTGCGGAGTATACTTGGTTTCCTTCCATTTTTGGAAAGATGTTACCAGAGGGAGGAGAAGAGACGGGTTCTTCAATCAGAGGCGAGCCCTTCTTGGATAGTTCAGTTCAGCTTCTCTGAAGTTCTTGAGAGACCCTGTGTGGATTTTGTACCCTTTAAGACTGGAGAACTTATCAAAATCCTCACTTATGTGTTACCTTGTAAAATAAAATATGACAATGGTGCTATCTACTTTAAAACAAAATTAAGAATGGATTTTATGTGGGGGCGAACGTGTGTTGAAAGAATTGAGTGTCGAAGCCCCATTTGCTTAAATCCTTGGCTTATAGTCAAAGTCCACCTGATCGATGTCGCACCACACTTTCACAGGAGCGAGGATCTGGCAATAGAACCTAGTTAGGCCCAAGGGTACACAGAGGTACGTGCACACATGGTAAGCACATTGGTTGCTGTGGCATGGACAAAAGAGCACCGCATAGCACGAGGGTGCACAGCAATGCAGCATGACATGTATATAGTGTTGAATGAGGAACACTAAGGACTGCCACCATGAACCTCAAGGACTACCACGACACTTGTGCATAGATCAACCTGGCAGAAACATTACGAGCATGTGTGTGGTGCAGGGCATGCAGAGGTACATGGCACAGCACAACATGGTGTAGGCACACATGACACGCAACGAAAGGCAAAGTACCAATGGGCACAAAATGAAGTGCTAACAGGCACATGTCCAAAGTGTTAACGGACTCGTATGCACACTCAAGCCATGGCAGGTGGAGCACTAGTGGGCATTAGGCAAAGTGTCGGGCACATTTGCCTACCCTCTCTTCAATTACAATGGGCAGCAACATGGTGTTCTCTTCTCCAATCAAAGTAACTTCGTAGTGTGAAGTAGGGTTGTTTTCCTCTTCTAATTTGAGTGCACCCACAAAGGCCCACGAAGCTCTTGGCTGCTTGGTGTTAAAGAGATACTAAGGCTGACACACGAGGGGGCAACTTGAGGTACACTTTGTAGTTAGTCATGTGCCAACTAGTATCAAAGCAAGTTGATTGCTTCTCAGTAAAAGAGAGTGATGGTTAGATAAAGCAAAACTTATGGCCAAAGACTCACTCAGATGAAAGAGTATGTTGCATCATTAGCCATTATAATAGAAGCTTAGTTTCAAGTTCTTTTGAGGAGTGCTTGGAGAATGTCTAGGAAACTTCAAGTGATTTAGTCATTAACTCAAACTCATTATAGGTAGACAATGTTGAAGTATAGAACTTGTACAAGACATTGAGGCCTCGCTATTAATGTAGTGCTCAAGCACTTATGGTTTGGTGCACCACAAGTGGGTGGCATGTTGAAGCAAAAAGTATGAGAGCCTAATATGTTTAAAGTGTTCACAATGCTGAAGAAATCAAAATTTATTGTGCAACTTGGATTATTATTTCTAGGCAACATCCTAGAGGAAGACAAAGTCATGTTGGCAAGCATATATCTCTCATGTGATGTTAAATTTTGGTGAAGGATGAAGACAAAGCACCAAGTTAAGACTTCCGTTGACATTGAGAAGTCTCATTTGAAAGTTGGATAATTAGTTTCTACCCATCAACAATGTATGAATGGTGTAGATACATTTTGAAGGCAAAAGTACATATTCATTGTAGTAGTATGTGAAGAAATTGTGTCATTCCTCCAAAAGATCAAAAACATACACGATGAGAGAAAACTTTTTAGTCGTAAAGCAAAGTTATGACTATAGGGCATAGGCAAAGTTATTACGTTAGAAGAGTGACGGAGGTTTAAGAGGCTATAATGATGGCTTACACCTTCATAAACTACAAAATGACTAGTATATTGACTTTGAGGATTAGTGCTAAATACCAAAAAGGATTAAAGACTATGGATCAAGTGACAAAAACTAGGTCCATCAAAAAGGAAAATGCATAGATAATTGCAAGCAATGGCCTGACAAGGGTCTACAAGAGCCTAAGAGTGCTAACAGGATGTAGCAAGTCTATTGAAGGATAGTTGTTTCATTTGTGATGGTCCTCAATTTTGAAAAGACTAATCAAGCAATCAAAAAGAGGTGCCTTCAACATGGTGACAACATATGAGTCATTGATAGAAGACATCACATCTATGTTGAACCACCTTCAACTACTAAATGTGATGTACTTATATAACATGTACTAATAGCATTTACAATATGAAGCTAATCTACATCAATGCCAACATCAACAATTAACCCACCTTCACAATGTTCAATCATAGAGCAATTCAAAACTTCCTCTCCAAGAGAGAGGCATCCCCATTAGCTATGTCATTGTATGGGCAAGCAATTCAATCAGGAATGTCAATTCGTATTAGCATGTACCATCACTAGTGTCATGCATAATGCTTTGTTACAAGTGAGAAAGTTAGAGAAATCAAAAGATTTTGTGGTGTTATCTATCACCATCTTTAACACAATCTTTGATATTTATTTTCTTCTATCTTTAATCTTCCTCATTTATATGATGATTTTTTTTCAAGTTTTAATCTACACTTTGTCTAGCAAGCAAGAGAAGTTTAACAAGACATGTAAGTATTGTCAACCTTACAACTATAGATGTCATGTTAAAGGAGGTATGGCCCACTGATAAGTCTTCATTATCATGAGTTAATAATTAGTAAATAATATAGTTTTAGCCTTAACTCATGATAAATAGACTTATATTTGTGTTAAAGTGTGAAAAGTGTTTTTCAGTTGATTAATGTGAATTTTTGAGTAATTATGTGATTTTATATAAATTTATATAATTTTTATAATCTTACTTTTGAGTTAAATGAAGAAAAAGAAATAAAAATAAAAATATAACAAAATGGGAGGGACCCGCTGGCCAGCCGGGCCCGTAAGCAAGTCAGAAACGCAGTCAGGGAGGAGCCAAGAGTAGGGGCTCGAGTAGCTAGGACCGATAGGGGCACGTGTGCATCACTCCCCTTCCACATCATCGGTGGCCAACCGACTGTGGGGCAAGGAGTGGTCATACATGCGCGACAAAGGGACTTGATCGAAAATATAATATTACTATATATTCACTAGAAACTTCGGCACACAAGTGATATAGGACTAAACCCACGTCACACCTTCCCTAGAAAGGGCGGCCAACCGGCGCGGGTTCAAATCTTCTTAGAGCTAAAACTCATATTTTTTATCTGATTATTACGACTTTCTTGCAAATCGTCGGTGAAGGATTAAGCAACCAAAATCGCTGGATCATCAGCGAAAATCTCGTCAATGCAATTCGCGGAGCATTGTTACTAAAATTGCTGAAAAATTCGCAATAAAAGGATTACAAATCCATCGAGTAAAGCATCTTCGATTGATCAACGAACAAGCCGTCATCGAGAAGAGGACAATCTGCCGAGAGACGAGTCGCCACCTCTTGAGAGCATACCGGATGCGATGAAGAGCCTCCTCTTACTACGCAGACCTGAGGATGAAGCTCCTTGACACACGCCCCACCTCCATTCAGCTCATCTCCATCGGGTAACAATTGCCGAAGAGCTGCAAAGTTACCATATTTCCGCTCTGCCGAGTAACAGCCGCCGGAGACGATTCGACGACCCATTTCATTGATCTTTAGACTTCACAAAGAGATCTAGAGATTGCTCACGTCGTCCTTGTTCAAGGAGAGCCTTCGAGGCCGTGGACACCATACAACGATCCTCTTGAATGCTTAGGATTCTAGTGCATCGTCGACGCATCGCCGCCGTGACGTCGAAACTCTGTTTTCCTGCTTTCAACTTACTTTTTGTTTCATTTAGAGATAATTTGTGTGATTTAAATTTACCAAGATATACTTTATTCAATTACGATTCTTTCGGCTTTTACAGATCTTAATTTGATCAATTAAATCATTTGTAATCACTTACGTAAGAATCGTTAGGTAGAACTCTGTTTCCGCCCGATTCACATTCGTTGGGCGCTAACATCATCTTGATGTATGCACCCTTATTTCCCTTTTTCATAAATTTTAAATATATTTCTTTTTCATTTTCTAATATAAAATTTATAAAAAATAGTATTCTTTGAGAAATTTTTTGAATAATTACCAGATATTATATTACATCCTTATGATCGACCTAGAAAATTACCGCTATTTTTGGAAGTTTTATTGAATTATAATTGATATATTTGTTCAAAAATACTTCTAAATATCTAAAAATTCATTTTTTCTAGTTTTATAAATTTTCAATTTGCATGATTTACTATATAATAACTAAGTCATGTCACCCACTGACGCACAAGGTGGTAAGAGAGTGCAAGCATCCAATGTTCATCAGCAAAATGGGCGCATGTGTGACATGGATGACAATGTACACAGCATGTGTGAGGCCCATTGATAAGCATTTGTGGTTGGACATGTCTTGGGATGCAAACACATTATGACAATTCTTACTATGAGTTATCATTTTGATGTAGGTTTCGAATATGTCATACTAGACACATTGTAAGTTCAATTACCACTTCAAAGTGAGGTCAATCATGAGATAAAATTGATGTATGATGTGTGGACATATAAGCATTAGTTTAATAAGACAAGTTATGTCAACAATTGTGAAAGATAATAGAGTAGAGTAAATCCATCATTTTGCCATCACCATAAAATACTCTTATCTTGTTTTAGAAATAGAAGTATGGCTCTCAATTACTATCTTGTTTTATCTTGTTTTAGATAAAATTCATTAAGCAAAGTCATAATCAAGAACAAGTACCTAAAGCAAAAGAGTTACTATATCATCTATATAGTAGAAAATATTGTTATTTTATATATTTAAAAAATAGTTATCATGAAGGAAAAAACAAGTCAAACAACATCTTCATTATCTATCTATCTAAGCAATGTGTGGTATAGTTTAGCATTACCAATGCTCGATTAAACTTTATTAATATGATCTTTATGGAATATATTGACAAGTTAATCATTATCTATCTAGATGATATTCTGGTCTATACTAAAAGTTGTAAGAAAAATGTAACACATCTTCAAGAGGTGATGCTCAAACTAAGAGATACATTAACTTTACAATCTGTGAGTGAACCTCACAACATAGGACGTGATAACATACATATAAACTAAGTTAAGATTTTTGACATCAAAGAGTGACAAGTATCAAACAACATGCCAAAGGTATGGTATTTCCTAGGTTCAGCTCATTGCTATCAGAAGTGTGTGAGGCTACACTTAGTTGGTGGTGATGTTGTCATATCTCCTTAAGAAAAATATATAATAGGACTATCTTGATAGGTGTTTGTATGACTTCAACTAAAGTAGGTAATCACAAATAAATAGATCATATAATTATCTAACTTCAACATTTCTTTTGAGGTATACACATATTTTATATTAGCAACATGTAATGTAATGAGAAATCTAATAACGTGGAGAGGTGCAACAATATGCATAAAAAATAAGGAACATCAATCACTTATTATTTATAAGTGTGATGACATCACCTCTCCCACAACCACTTTATTTTCTATATAGACAATGTGACTGAGTTACTTCAGGATGTGAGTAAAGTTGAGGGCAAAGTATGACTTCACCTTCCAATATAAATTGGGATGTACCATTATTATAAGGAATGACCTTAGACACAAATATTAAAAGTTCAATCTTATAATAATTTCAATGGCAAGAGACATCATTCTAGAAATTATCTAAGTTGCATGAACCATGAATACAAAAGCAACACATTATAGCACACAACAAATGGTAAGACACATTGTTCTAGTTGGAGGACAAGGTCATCTATACATGTAAGCACCAATTTTGTGACATTAATAGGTAGAATCTATCAAACACTAATTTAAAAGAAATATAGCTCATCATATGTCAAACACCTAATACTAGTGGGAGCACCTACACTACTAACTAACAACTTTTATTAAATAGATACAACACAACTTGTATATATTCACTCTTATTTAGTTTAGCAACATTACAAGATTAAACGTGTTAAGACAACATGCGCATTAGAGTCACTATCTATCTCTAACAGACTTTGGGAATCTATCTCTATGAACTTCATCATAGATTGTATAAAAAAACAACAGAATTTTTATTGTGATAAATTGATTTTTAAAATTTTATAATATTCTTGTGAAGATGAATATAGTGTATAATGAAAGAAATGGCACATCTTTTTATGACTAATATAGTAAGATTTTAGTTCTTCCTACAAGACATCATTAACAATCAAGACACATGGCTCACATTTGAACAATTTTTTCACCACCTTTAATATATAGTAATTTTCAAGCATATTTCATCCACAAAATATATTGCCAAATAAATTGTAGTAGTTTGTCATAGGTGTATTTATGTCACTATATTATAACTAATTAAAAAATCTAGTTTAAATTTGTAGATGTCGTTCAATTCTATTATGACCTCAATCGAAGATTAATTACTTGACATTTGTCATGAGCCTATAAAGTAGATTGGACTGTTGCACTATTTTACAACACGCCCAGAAAAAGAGTACATAACTAAGAGCTAGTAAGTGGTGGCACAAACAACACATTATATGAAAATGACTGTAAATAAAAAAAGGAGTTCACTATTAATGATTATATTATCTTGTATCCACCTAAACCTATGTAATAATATCAAGTAAATCAAGCAATTTTGTGAGTTGGTATAGTACATTGATGATTTATTTGAAGTTGTGATAGAGGTCAACAAGACCTATTACCTCATTTTAAAGACTAATTATTCATTTAAGCTTTGACAATTTCTCATTGAAACTTTATCCTACAGATGAAGAAGATTAAGAGTGCAATCATCTTCAATAGGTGTCACAAATAATGTACATTGACAAGGTTGAAATAATATTGAACTGAAATGAGGTGAAATAAAATAGGTGATTCTACACATATTGGCATATCTATTTCCTTATGAAGGGGACGACTAGATGATGAGGTAATATGAAAGTAAGACAGTGGCTTGTGACAATTTGAGGACCTCATTGGTAAGTACTTAGACTAATATCTTATGTCAAGGATATTAGATTGATAGCATGATGTATCACACTACTCATTTGACAAAATAAAGATTCAACATACATATACATGTACGAACCAACACAACATGCACAAATGACTCTACTAATGACGTAGCTAAAGGTGATATATCATCCTTAAATCTACAAGGAATGGAATCTAGAGTCTTAGATCTTTGAATCCATAAAGGACAATCATGAATCTACAAGATCAAGAGATCCCCTTAAATCCAAAAAAAAGGTGTTGAAATCCATCAAGAATAAGATAGAATCTTGAAAAAGGAGAAAATTCATAATATTAAATTATTACTTTAGAGCTACATCATAGAGCCTTCAAAATAGACCAAGTTCTTGTTACAATGCCCCTAAAAAGATAGTTCAATTATAATCGCATCTTAAATAAATTTCATACATGATCAAATAAATCCAAATTGAACTAAATGTGAAAACATAAGATAAAAGTGAAAAAATAATCTCTAACAAATTTATATTTAGTCTTATTAGGGGCTAAATTGATTTTTGACTTTTTAAGATTTTCCAATCATTGTAGAATGTCTCTTAACATCTTGAATGTTGACTCATTACTTTGGGACTACTTGAGTCAAAAAGATTTCACCCTTCTTTTGATTGTTGATCTCCTACACCAACTAACATGGAACAAGAATTACAAAGCCCTCCTATGAACTTCATGAGTTGCTAGCATGAGTTGACATGAACTGCCACACGAACGGCATCACATAGCACAATGTTAGTACGACAACAGTATAGCATAACAGCACGAGAGTGCATAGGGGAGGTGGTACATAGCAATAGGATGCAGATGCCACGCACACACGCACATAGTGGTGTGCAGGTTGGCACAACGTGTTTAGAGGTGCGACACTGTGGTGCGAGCCTGTAAGTAAACTCAAGTCGCTCCCTATTGAGAAAGAGATCTTTCATCATGGAAGTAGAAGTGTCATTGAACACAAACGAAAAGCGCCAATGGGCATGTTCACACACCCAAACAACGACAAGCAAAAAGTGTCAATCATCTGAAGTTGAAGTGTTGTGCGACACTTCACTTATCCTTACCCACAACTACGATGGGCCTAGGCTCACAAATTGTTCCCGTCTCCTATCAATGTAACTTCTTACTGTGAGGTTGACTTCTACTTCGAGCTTTAGTGTTTCGACGAACCCCATAGAGCTCACGGTTGCTTGAAGTCGGGGAGACTGCTACAGCCAACACACTGATGTACAGCTACCGTGTGACATGGTTTAAAGGTTGAGTAAATTTCCTGTGTAAAATGAAAAGTAGTTTATGTTTCATACCCTACTTATAAGTGGTCAATAAGGAGACAAAAAGTCAATGTCGTGTCCAAAACAAGAGTCTCAAATAAATAATGAGTCCGTATGGGCCGCCTGGGGAAACCATGGAGAGAGAGAGAGAGAGAGAGAGAGAGAGAGAGAGGGTCAAAGAGGCCGGCTCCGGCACGTCGCGTCGGAAAGACATAAACCTCCAGGTGGAGAGACGGATGGTTTCCTAACCCTCTGCAGAGGCATTTCGTCATACACCCAACTTGCGTGCCCCGGGGGTCTCCCCCATCTCCGGCACGCGGTGGTGCTGCTCCGCTGCCGTCGGCAACCCCACTTTAGAGAATTACGGCCAGAATCCCGATGAGCGGCGCTCCGGCGGCGGGAATTACCTCCACTCTGGACTTCCCAACGCCGTGGACGCAAGAGACTGGAGAGAAGGTTATTCTAATCCGCAGCCCTTCGAAAATTACCCCTTTTCCGACATTCTTTTTCCGTCATTTAACCGCACAGGGAATTTTAATTTAATTAAATTGGATCAATTTCTGAGTCATCCTCGATTCAATTTCAAATTATGATGCGCAAAAATAAACTGGGTGATCCACTCGACCAATGAAGAAGATGAAAGCGAAACGATTCCGCCGAACATTAGAATTCATTTGACAAGATAAATTCCCATGCATTTTCAATTATTTTTAATGCCCGGTTCATTGAACGGCTAGTCAGCTATCAGCATTGACAAGATTAATATTTATGGCCGAAATAATCTACCTATGAAGAAAAAATCGCAATCAGCTATCAGCATTTACAAAATGCCCAATTCAGGATGAAAATCAAAATATTTTAACCAAAAGGCGGGGGGGGGGGGGGAATCTCAGCTATAATATGGCAAGAGAAATGGGAAAAATTTATTATAAATTTTTAGTGAGTATATTGCAACAAAACTTAGATCTAAAGAGAACCCACATTTTATACCAATAATCATCAAATGGGCACGAATCAAATCGTCACTTTAAGGACTGGAGTGCCATTAATCCGATGCAGCAGGGAGTGTCATATGATAAGTGACAGCAAAGTTAACAGCAATAATAAGGCGATAATGTGGGGAGCATAGAACCTGCGGAGTCCGCGTCGGTTGATGTGGATGGAAATGAAGCTCCAGTAAATATCGAACAATGGAAAGGATGAATTGGAAAGCTTAAACGAGATACGGCGGATTTGACCGCATAAATGAGTCGACATAGGTCAGATTTATCCTTTCAAAATGTCAATAGAGTGCGGATTAGTATAAGAGACTGCCCATCGAGACGCTTTGACGCGAATTTTGGGTGATGGGTGTGTGACATAGGTGCTTGGGAGATGGAACGGGGGTTGACTGTTTTCTAATGTCGTCATGAGCGGCAGCGCTGGCGGGGGTCCGGTGGAGACGGAGAACAGCTAAGGGAACAGTGAGGGCACCGGGTGAGCCACAATGGACGATGGCGTGGGGATGGGAAGGCGGTGGGCCCCCGCAGTAGGTTCCCGTCCCGTTCCCGACGGCGCTGCTCGGTGGAGCGGCGGTGGTCATTGCAGGCGCCGCCCGGCTGCGTCACCGCTGACGGCAGCGAGGAATGCGACGTCGACGCCGTTGTACCGCATAGCCCCTCCCTCAGATAGAACTCAGAGAGACCCAATCTGGACGTAAGCACAGCCATGGGACCCCGCTAGAATCTCTCTTCCCCAACAGAAACCCTACAGCAAGGGAGAGAGAGAGAGATGATGGAAACATCGGCAAGGACGGAGATTTATCGGTAATTTATGAACTATGTGGATATTTTAAACCAGAATCTCTATCGTTAAACACGCCGCTCTACGTAGAGAGAGAGAGAAGGGCCAGCGCAGTGTGCGAGGAAATATGTGAACATGGCGAGAATCGGGTCAACGTGTGGCGACAGAGCCCAGAGAGACACGTGCCAGGTCGCCCCCCCCCCCCAACTAGTTCACGCCAGGGGACTCAGATGAGATGGCGGCGCCGCCGGTCACCCTCCAAGGAGAAGCCGCGTCACCGGCGGTGACGACCGGAGGAGGGGAGGAGAAAGGAATCGCATCAGCCTTGGAGAGGATGTACTGTTGAAGTATTCTGCAGCACCACGGTTGACTAATACTCTCCTCTTTCATCTCGCCACCGACAGCACCTCGACGCCAGCCCCGACAAGGGGAAGCTTCGCAGTATACAGCACCACTCTTCCGTGCTTTCACGTCTGGAGAGAGATAGAGATAGAGGGAAGGACAACTAGGCGGTCTGATCTTTGTTTGCTTCAGAAGCAACGCCCCTCCCTCCTCCTCCTCTGCCCATTCGGATCTTGAGAATCCGGGCATCAAGAATCGATAGGCCGTACGAAACAAATGGACAAAACTCAACTCAATTTCTGCATTTCCTCGTCGCCTGCTCCTCCTCCTGTAACTGGCCGGCCGACGATGGGTCTCCTCCATCGACGTCAACGTGGTCCCTGCGAACGTCATAGTGACCACCACCTTCGTTGACATGCACTGCCGCTGCCGGCGTTGACCGAGGCCTGGCGCCGGTCCGATGAAGCTTCCCAGAAGAACTTCGCGACGTGGAACGCGATGATAACCGGCTACGTACGTGGCGGCCGCCCTGAATCCACCGTCAATCTCCACCTACATGGCGGCGGCTTCCCTGGCACCGAACCAGATCACGCTGGCCAACCTGTTCTCGGCCTTCGCCAGCATGGGGGCTCTGGAGCGGGGGAAAGAAGTACACATTGACCCAAGTGCGGAGAGATCACCCTCGCTTGCCTGGTCTTCGTCATGGCATGTAATGAAAGACAAAGTACCAACAGGCGCAAGGTGAGATGCCAACGAGCACATGTGCAGTGTTAACAAACGCGTATGCACACTCAAGCAATGGCAGGTGGAGCACTAGTGATCATCAGGCAAAGTGTCGTGGGACGTTTTTACCTATCCCCACCCTCTCTTCCATTGCGATAGGCAGCAACATGGTGTTCTCTTCTCCAATCAGCATAACTCTTTAGTGTGAAGTAGGGTTATCTTCCTCTTTCAATTTGAGTACTTCCACTAAGGCCCACGAAACTCACGGTTGCTTAGTATCAACGAGACTACTAAGGCTGGCACACAAGGGACCAACTTGAGGTGCACTTTATAGTTAGTCATGTACGAACTAGTATCAGAGGAAATTGATTGCTTCTTAGTAAAAGAGAGTGATAATTAGATAAAGCAAACTCGTGGCCAAAGACTTACCCAACTGAAAGAAACGATTTCAAGTGTTGTTGACGAGTGCTTGGAGAACATCTAAGCAATTTCAAGTGACTTAGTCACCAACTCAAACTCACTATAGGTAGATAATTTTGAAGCATAGAACTTGCACAAGACATATTGAGGCCTCACTAGTAATGTAGTGCTCAAGCACTCCTTGGGTGGTCTGCCACAAGTGGGTAGTGCATTGAATCAAAAAGTCTTAGTACCTAAGGTGTTTAGAGTGTTTACAAAGTTGAGGAATCATAAAAAAAATTGTGCAACTCAGTTTATTATTTCTAGCAATGCAGATGCTAAAGGATAGTTATGTTGACAAGCATATATCTCTCATGCAATGTTAAATTTTGGTGAAGGATGTAGACAAAAGACTAAGCAAAGACATTGAAAAGATATTCATTTGAGAAGATGTAATAGTACAATGTGTACTAGTAACATTTGTAAAACGAAACTAATCTATATCAATGCCAACTGTTGGATTTCATCCTACACTAGATTGATCGTCAGATTACAAATGACTGATTAACAAGGTCATCTACCTTGAAGATTCACCCAAAATCTCTGGTTTAGATTCATGGTCATAAGAGGCCCACAGCTATTAAATGGGACAGTTCCCTCAAATAATTAAATTACAAGTTAATTTCCCCCACAAATATATGAAAAAGAGTTCACCATGGGCGATCTTCTAGGTACGATGTAGACTTTAATATTTTTGTATCACTAATGAAGAGGATGTCATGTACTTGTAAGTAGTTGTCATCCTCTTCTTGTCCAAATATTGGTTGGGTATTGGAGGCCCTTCAAGCTTCAGTAGAGTTGAGGAGGATAATTCAATGATGTTGCAGTCCTCATATTAAAGTCTTGACATCCTTTGAGTAACCAATACGAACTTGTCTCTTGCTTAAAATATATGAGAGAGCTAGAGTTCAATAGTATGAGGATAAAATGGTGTCTTATAGATGAATCTCATGTTGGAAGGTAAATTCAAACCATTGATAAACTGATACAACATGTCATTAATATAATGTAGATATCCTCAAGAGAAATTAATATGTTATTCTTTTATTACTTAATGTTCCTAACCAAATCATGTTAGTTCATGTTGATCCATTATAGATCATATGTCTTTAGAGTAGAACCAATAGGAATCCAATATCTTCGAAATATAGAAGATGGTAGATATCCAAATAAGATGAGAAATTTACATTCAAATTACATTTAAATCACCTCAAATAAAATATAATCACTAAGTTAATACATTGAGTGTTGATATCAATATCTATGATCATGATCTTGATGATTTGTGATATATAAAATAATTTTTAAGGTATATTCATAAATATTTAGAAAATTATATTTCTCTAACTAAATGATGTGAATTCAATCAATTGAATTGACATGAAAAGCACACAAAAGTAAAAATGTGATATCACTAAAACACAATAGACTAAGTAGGTTTTTATACACATATTTCATACCTTGCTGTCTTGTTGATTTTTTATGTGCTCATCGTCACTTTCAAATCGTGACAAATTAAAGGTCACTAGTACACTAATGAAGTAACAAAAAAATTAAAACTCAAATGATTATTTTTGGATACTAAAATGACTAAGATATCTTAGAGTATAAAGAGGGCGAACTAAAAATAAACCAAGGTTAACATTGAACAATGATATTTTCATTTACATTATTCACTCAAGCTTGAGAAGAAGATCTTACTCAATCATCTACAACAAAATAACTACACATCTCAAAGAGAGAATCAAAGCTTCATCCTACTCAATTTTCTGTGACAATTTACGAAGCATATAATTATGCTACAGGTTGTCCCTATCTATTATGCATTAAGATAATTTGGGTGGTGAGTGGAGATAAGGTAAGACTGAGGCACGAGGTATTGAAAGACAAAATGTGTCCACAAGAGTATTGTTATCTGAAGATAAGTGTATATTATCTTAGACATATGGTGTTGAAAGTCGAGACCTATTCTTGAGGAGTGAAATTTCTATGGAAATCAAATAATACTATTTAGGAGAGCTGAGCCCATGAAGTCAACTATATTTCTAGAGATAAATTGTGAAAATATAATATAAAGATCCTCTGATACTAAATGTAGCCCAATAAAGGGTAAACAAGTATAAAAATCTATATGTCCATCATTATTATGATTGAGAGAAAGAGACCAAATTGACCTCATAACAAAAAGAAGAGAATTATGTCAATTTACATATATATAAAATAGATTGTGTTAGAACATGTGTTTACACATATATACATAGACAAATCACTATAAAAAATAAGAAAATAGAAAAAATAAATTTAACTCTTTTTCTTGGTACTTCACTTAATCACATCAAACCCAACACAACTAACATAAAAAAAGATTACAATAGACTCCCATGAACACCAAGAGTTACTAGCATGAGATGCAATGAGCTGACATGACCCGTCACACCAATGGCATGAGATAGCATGATGTTAGTACAACAAGGACATGACAGAACAACACAAGAGTGTAAAGGAGGAGGAGGTATATACCGATATGATCCAAATGCCAGCATGGTGCAGGTTGTATGGGGGTGCACAAAGGTGCACGGCACAATGTGGTGTAGGCATGTAAGCAACATCAAGTCATTCTCTAATCAGACAAGCATATTTCATGATGGAAGTCTAAGTGTCAATAGGCAGACACAAAATGCCAATGGGCGTGTTCATACACTCAAACAAAAAGAAGCCAAGTGTCAATCATCTGAAGGTGAAGTGTTGTGTGATAGTTCACTTGTCTTACTCTCCCCTATAAATAGTGGGACCCACAACCACAATGGGCCTTGACTCACTTGTTCTTTACGTCTCCTATTAATGTAGCTTCTTAATGTAAAGTAAGGTTGAATCTTTCTTCGAGTTTTAGTGTTTAACAAACCCGATAGATCTCACGGGTGCTTGAAGTCGGGGAGACTACTACAGCCAACATACATGGGGACGACTTGATGTCCAATCCGCAGCTAACCATGTGACCTGGTTGAAAGGTTATGAGTAAATTTTCTGTGTAAAACGAAAGGTTGTTTGTGTTCCGAGCCTAAAGATCTTGTAATCTTTTATACCACCAAGCCTACTTATAAGTGGTAAATGAGGAGACAAAAGGTCAATGTCGTGTCCCAAACAAGAGTCTCAATAAAGAGAGTTCGTAGGCGCCGCCTGGGGAAACCATGGAGAGTGAGAGAGAGAGAGACGTCTATGGCTGGGAAAGTAAAGATAGAGAGGGATGGAAAGAGAGAGTCAGACAGGGTGGCCCCGGCCCGTCGCGTCGCGAAGACACAAACCTGAAGGTGGAGAAACGGATGGTTTCCAAACCTTCCGCTGAGGCATCTCGTCATACACCCACCTTGCGTGCCCCAAGGGTCTCCCCCATCTCGGGCACGCGGCGGCGCTGCTCCACTCCCGTCGTCAACCCCACTTAGAGAATTACGACGGACGTCGCCTCGGCGGCAGGAATCACCTCCACTCCGCACTTCCCAACGCCGTGGACGGAAGAGATTAGAGAGCGGGTTACTCTAATACGTGGCCATTTGAAAACTACCCCTTTTCCGACATTTATTTCGGTCATTTAATCGCGCAGAGAATTTTAATTTAATTAAAACTGGATCAAGTCGACCAATGAACAAGATGAAAACAAAACCATTCCACCGAACATTCAAATTCATTTTACAAAAATTCTCATGCATTTTCAATTTTTTTTAATGCCCAACTCATTGAACCCCGAGTGATTAATATCTATGGCCGAAATAATCTACCTCTGAAGAAAAAGTCTATTTTCTAGGATGAAAATGCCCAATTCAGGATGAAAAACAAAATCCTTTAACGAAAAGGGGGGGAAATCTAAGCTATATATGGCAAGGTAAATGGGAAATTTTTATCATAAATTCTTAGTGACCGACTCCGAGATACCCGTGAATAAAAAAAAGTATGATGCAATGGAGTGCGGATTAGTGTCAGAAACAGAGCCAATCGAGACGTCTTGACAAGAATTTTGGGTGATGGGGTGTGTGACGTAGATGCATGGGAGATGGGATGGGAGTTGCCTTCACTCTGACGCTGTCATCGGCGGCGCCGCCGGGGGGGGTTCCGGAGGAGACGGAGGACAGCGAAGTCAACAGCGAGGGCACCCGGTGAGTCACAGTGGACGGTAGCGTGGGGATTGGGCGGGCGGTGGGCCTTCGCTATAGATACCCGTCGTGTTCCCGACGGTGCTGATCGGCAGAGCGGCGGCGTTCATTGGCGTCGCCGTCCGGCTGCCACACCGTCGACGGCTGCGAGGAATGCGACGCCGACGCCGACGCCGTTGCACCGGATAGCCCCTCCCTCAGATGTGACACAGAGATAGGCAATCTGGACGAAAGCACAGCCATGCGAGCACGCTAGAACCTCCCTTCCATGACAGAAACCCTACACCAAGAGAGAAAGAGATGACGGAAGCATCGACAAGGACGGAGCTTTATTGATAATTTATGAGCTATGTGGATATTTTAAACCAGAGATCTTAGTCGTTAAACACGCCGCTCTACGTAGAGAGAGAGAGAGAGAGACAGGCCAGTGCAGTGTGTGAGGAAACATACGAGCTTGGCGTGAATCGGGTCAACGTGTGGCGGCCAAGCCCAGAGTGACGCATGCCAGCTCCCCAACTGGTTCACGCCATGGAGCTCAGATGAGACAGGCGGCGCCGCCCGTCACCCCCCAAAGAGAAGCCACGTCGCCGGCGGCGACGACCGGAGGAGGTGAGGAGAAAGGAATCACTTATGTCATCAGCCTTGGAGAGGGACCTACTGTTGGAGTTTTCTGCGGTCGGCTCACCACGGTTAACTTCTCTCTCCTCTTTCCTCTCGCCGCCGGCAACACCTCGACGTCAGCGCCGACGAGGGGAATCTTCGCGGTATACAGCACCACTCTCCCATGTCTTCACGTCTGAAGAGAGATAGATAGATAGAGATATAGAGAGAGAGAGAGAGAGAGAGAGAGTCCTTGGAGCTTTCCGGACTTCTCAAAAAACACATGTTTTAGGGTTTAATCGAGTGTACAGCAGCTAAGCACGTCGTCTGGGGATGGGGAAGGACGAGTAGGTGGTCTGATCTTGGCTTGCTTCAGAAGCAACCCCCCCACCTCCAATCCTTCATCCTCTACACATTCGGATCTTGAAAATCCGGGCTTCAAGAATCGATAAGCCCAACGAAACAAGTGGAGAAAAATCAGCTCAATTTCTTCATTTCTGCCTCGCTTTCCCATGAAAAATGTGCACATTTTTCCATTCGAAACCGCTGCTCAACGATCAGCTGGTTTCACTGAAAACGGCGGTGATGACGTAGAATATGGGGTCCTAAAGTCTCTGGGTCAACGTAGAAGACCCTAGACTGAGACATTCAACATTTTTGCAGAATATCACGGGTTTGACCCAGAAAATGCTAGTGGAAGGTGTGAACTAGCGTAGTCGGTCTTGAAAGTTTTAGAATGTGAAAAATAGCAAAAAAATCGTTTCTTTTTCGCTTAAAGCTTCACTATTCTTCTATAATACGGATTCTAGTGTCGTGCATCACATCCAGCTAATACTGGGCTCATTTTTTAGAGAGAGAAATATTTGTGTTTATACTTTTCTTGGGGAGAAGGCAATATTTTTGAACCTCCATTCATGCACAATACCTTATTTAAATGTCCTTTTCATTATGTAAACATATCCGACCGAGAAAATATAAATGCATCTCACATTCAGACTTCTTTGGGGGGTCGCTGTTACTGTTACGAGAGTCAAGGTACATTAATCTTCCACGAGGAATTGATCTCACGCCGTCACGGTCAGAGACTGATAAGAGTATCCGTTAGTAGCGCCGCCGCATAAGGATTCCGCGTTCAGCCCGCCGTCACCACCTCCAGCTGTTCCAGAGGAAGACAGGGTGCGAACATCTGATGGATTTGGGATACGGAGTCATGGGACAGCGGTCACCAGCTCAGCATCTTTCCTTTTCTATCCGTTGGCTTGGCCGGTTTCCGTGTTCTTTCACCAACCTGTTCCATCTGCCCACGGCATCCCCTCCTCTCTCTCTCTCTCTCTCTCTCTCTCTCTCTCTCTCGCGTTCTCGCTGTCGCTTTCTCCCTCTTTCTTCGTATATAAATTGCTGGTGATCGAGGGTGTGGAGCGACAGGGATCTGAGGTCCCTTGTGCGGTGCGAGTTGCAGAGGCGGCGTTTTTATTGACTGGGTCTCCTGGATTCTGAGCGGTCGACTGCTTTCTGAAGAGGAAGACCAAGAAGATGGTGCACCACAACCGGGCGTGGCCGCACCACCACAAGGGGGACGAGGAATGGCAGCTCCGGGAGTCCTGCGGCGGCATGAAGAAGCGGCGGCGCCACCTTCTCCGCCTCCTCTTTCTCTTCGTCCTCGTCTCCTGCAGCCTCCTCCTCGGCCCCCGCCTCTGCTTCGGCAGGCCCTTCTCCTCCTTCCTCTGTAAGCTCCTTCTTTCCTCCCCCAGTTCACGTATTCCTTCTTCCTTCTCCTTCCTCCTCTGATTCCGCCGGCGCTTTCCTTGTTTATCCAGTCTCTGAGCCGGAGCCCCTCTTCCCCTCCGGCGCCGCAGGCGACGTGAGCTGCTCCTCCTCGCCGGAGAACTCCATCTGCTGCGATCGCACCTCCAGTATCCGATCCGACGTCTGCGTTCTTCGGGGCGACGTCCGGACCAGTCCCTCCACCTCCTCTATCCTCCTCTTCGCCGGCGGGAACAACGCCTCCTCCTCCGGCGATGGTTCCCCCATCCGTGTGGAGAAGCTCCGGCCCTACACCCGGAAATGGGAGACCAGCGTGATGAGCACCATCCACGAGCTCGACCTCGTCGTCCTCAACAGTTCCGGCGGCGCTGGGGCAGCCGCCGCCGCCCACCGCTGCGACGTTGTCCACGGGGTCCCCGCCGTCGTCTTCTCCACTGGCGGCTACACCGGTAACCTCTACCACGAGTTCAACGACGGCCTCATCCCTCTGTTCATCACCTCCCTCCGCTACAACCGCCGCGTGGTCTTCGTCATCCTCGAGTACCATTCATGGTGGCTCACCAAGTACGGCGACGTCCTCTCCCAACTCTCCGCCTTCCCCCCCATCGACTTCTCCGGCGACCACCGCACCCACTGCTTCCCGGAGGTCACCGTCGGCCTGCGCATCCACGACGAGCTCGCCGTCGATCCCTCCCTCACCTACCCGGCGAACCAGACCATCCTCGACTTCCGCCGCCTCCTCGACGCCGCCTATCTCCCCCGCATCCAAGCCCTTCAACGCGCAGAGGAGAAGAAGAAGGCAGCAGCGGCGGCAGCGGCGGCGGCGGCACCTGCGGCGGTGGCGGATGAGGAGAAGTCGCCGCCGAAGCTGTTGATTATCTCCAGGAACGGGTCGAGGGGGCTGGAGAACGAGAAGGAGCTGAAGGAGCTCTGCGAGGAGATGGGTTTCAAGGTGGCGGTGCTGCTGCCGAAGAGGACGACGGAGCTGGCGAAGATCTACAGAAAACTGAACTCAAGCGACGCCATGGTGGGAGTCCACGGGGCGGCGATGACCCACCTGCTGTTCATGAGGCCGGGGGCCGTGTTCATCCAGGTGGTGCCGCTGGGGACCGCGTGGGCGGCGGAGGCCTACTACGGCGACCCTGCGAAGAAGATGGGGCTCAAGTACATCCCCTACAGGATCAAGCCATCGGAGAGCTCTTTGTCTAGAGTTTACGAGAAGGACGACCCAGTTCTCAGAGACCCCACCGCCGTCGCCGGCAAGGGGTGGGAGGTGACGAAGAGGGTGTATCTCGATGGGCAGACTGTGCGGCTCGATCTGAACAGGTTTCTCAAGAGATTGACGCGCGCGTACCGGCACATCATGGCGAGGAGGATGGCGGAGGATCACTCCAGCTTGAGCTGGAACGAGAACTGGCTGACCCGCCAGCAGAGGGAGCAGCGACGACGCCGCTCGGCGATTTGATGAAGCCGGAGAAACGCGTTCGGATTCTTGCGTATATTCATTCTTTTATGTGCATAGAACAAGATCAAAACCACTGTACTGTAATTCATTCCTTGAAGCTCAGCATTCATCGCTTCTGTAAAAATCATGAATCATACATACTCTCTCAAATGTTTCATCGGTCATCGCCGGAGTATTCCCCCTCTTACCCCCATCCTCCGCCGCCGTAGGAGCTTCTCTCCGGGGGGTCAGTGCTGACAGCGGCCTGAGGCTGCCGGGCAGCGGGGCACGTGACACTCCCACGTACCGACACCAGCAGAGCATAGGGTAGGAGGCTGCGCTCAGACCGAATGAACTTTCTCTCTCTCTCTCTCTCCCCCCTCTTACTCCCTCTCTCTCTCAACCTCTCTCTCCAAGGAATTCAGCTCATACGCCGCCGATTGGATGCGGGAAGAATATAAATCGCAATTAATCTGGAGATAGAAGGCGCTAGCACGATTCCCGAGATGTTGATGGGCACGCTTCCCAATGAAGAAAGTTTACAGCTTGTTGGACTTGGCCAGGTAGACAACGGTGGCGGAAGTGACGACGGGGATGAGGACGTCGTCGGAGATCTGGGAGTTCTTGCCGAGCATCGCCCTCTTCGCGAAGGTAGCCACCACCGGCACGCCCAGAATCAGCAAGAGGATCTCCTTGAACCCCTGGCCGGCCTGCACGCTCTGAAACCCTACGGCCTTCTCGAAGAACTTCCGGAACTCCTCCTTGGTCAGCTTCCTCTTCTCGTCCGGGTGGACCTCCTGCGGAAGAAGAACGAATCAGCAAGATGACGAGACTCTATGAATGTATGTATGTATGTATGTATGTTCTTCTTCCACAGACCTTGAAGATGCTCTTGAACCGATCAAAGTTCGGCATGTCGTACTGGATCGCACCGCTCCTCGCGTTGATCTCTCTGTTAGCACACAGAATCAGTGATTATGACACAGAATGCCCATCAACGTGCAGCCCCGTCAACGCGCATGCGGGTCAACTGCCTTACCATTTTAATACGTGAGCGGTAGGGAAGAATTATTTTATGCAGAAAAAAATAGCTCAGAGAATGCAATGCAAAGTGGGCTCCCGGTATTCTATGTAGAAATATTCTAGCAATCCAGTTGGAAGAAAACCAGGCAGGACTGACTTGGTTTCTCGGATTTCTTGTACGATTCATGAGTGAGTGCTCGATCTTCTCATGGATGAACTTTTCTGACCACGAGATTCATTCATTTTGGGACAGAAGTTCCCGATCTCATGAACTATAATCCCGTCACCATCGAAAGTGGTGTCGATCAAGAGGCTGGTTTTAGCAGGAATTTATTCATATCATGATAACATTACCAAATACAAAAAAAGTAAAGATTTTTTACCAGCTATCTCAGCCCAAAGGAGGTCTGAAATGGATGTTCATGACGGGCCAACAAGATCAATAAATGTGCAAATTGAAAAGATATAGGAAACAGAGAGTTTCGAAAGTTATCCGGAAAATATCGGTCATGAATTTTTTTCGTAAAAAATAAAAAACTTAGCCATATGTGCAAAAGCAACGTGGGGACTTGATGCAATCCATGTACAATCCTCACGGGAACTTCTGCCAAATTCTCGTAGGAATGACTTAGATGTATGCTGCTCTCATTGCACACAAATGCAAGCAATGAAGTGTACATTAATGTCAGGTCCAAGAAATCCCATCCATCTGGAAGAAGATATAACGAGAACTTCTCCTCAGCCCCCGGCAGCAGGGAATGAATCTCTAATCGTTCTTCGTTATTATGGAACTTACTCGACGATTTTATAGACGAAATGATAAAACAGGTTGGGCTTCTGCTCGCTGTTGGATTCCATTAGCTGCTCGAACTTTTTGTGGTTCTCTTCCAGATACTCTACTACAAATTTCCGGAGATGGTTCCTGAGGTTCTCTTCCGTTCCGGTTCTCTCTGCGGCGACACACACACACAGTCACGGCTGATGCTCGGCTACTTCGTCTAGAAAAATCCCTAATCGAAATCGATGCAAGAAAGGGGAAAGCAGAGCGCGAATAGAAACATGAAGAGCTCAAGAATTTCTCGCACTCACTGGCCATCAGCTTGCCCATGGCTTGTCCCATCTCCTCCGCAGCAGGCTTCTTGCAGTCAAGGCCGCCGAACAGATCGTGAAGATGGCGAGCCAAACCAGGCGGCACGGCGTGAAAAGATACACAGATGCCTTCCCTAAATATGCACGTTGCAGTTCTTTGCGTGAGGATGCCGCGGACATTGCTTCCGATCAGAGAAATCGCCTCTGCAAGGCGGCGTGGTGCCGGAATTCCTCCCCCGCCAAGAACATCCCGCGTTGGGCAACCGCAGGGGCCGAGGATCTGATATCGGAGAGGGAAGGAATGGCGCTAACGTGATAGAACTCGCGGAAGGGAAGAGCAACCAGCTTTTTCGAAGCAGGATTTTGTTTTTCCACTTCAATTAATCACTTAATTATTCATGGTTAAAAATCCATTTTATAAATATTAACGGAGAAAAAAAAATTATCCCTCAAAATTTTATAAACCTTTAGATAAATTCATCTTCCTAATCTCATCACGAAAGGCCAAATTTGTTCCCCCTATAAAATAAAATAACTACGATTAATCAACTAATTATTCATGGTTTAAATATATATTTTATGCGGCACAAAAAATCTGCTTAGAAAAAAATATAATAAAACCTTTAAAAAATATATTTTTCTTACTCATTGGTCTCCTTGGGGCTTAATTTTAACAAAAAAATCCATCACGAATAATCGTTTTTTAAAGTCAACTAGTTGACTAATTAGAATATTGGGCTCTATAACAGCATGGTCAACAGCCCATCAATCTGATGACCATAAGATTACGAATTATTGGGGGTGCTGATCAGGGCCTAATTGAGCCTATAAATGGGAAATAATGAATCCGGCATGATTTTCAGGTAGGTTCATTTATGGGCCTTGCTTGGGCTATGAAGGGCTCCACGTACAACCCTATCTATATTATATAGACCTTGACCAAATATTTTTGCTCCATTTTATTCCGTATTTTGATTTAGAAAATAATAATATTGGGACAAAATTATAGCCCAAAATAAAATTATAATCGGAGAATTCAACTGGTGTTGGGCCTTAGTTTTCCCCATTTTAATAAGCATAAAGGAATTACGAATTCTACCCCTGTCGAGTATTATTTTTTTAAGGCATCCGTACCGTTGACTTTGGCAAGCCACAGAGGAATTAAAGTACTTTTCAAATAAGAATAAAAAGTAAGATAATCTGATAAGATTCTGTCTAACCGTTTGGGGAAGCGGAGGGGATGGAACGCTTTTCGAGGCGAAGGCGACTCGAACTCGAGCGGTTCGACTCGGTGCTTCCAAATGACGCCACGCCATACTGGTTCTGACGGGCACGTCTTTCGTTCCGCCACGTGTTAATGTGAAGAGTCGTAGATCCTCATTGGACGGTCAGGATGCGGCCACGGTATTGACAGAGAGGACAGACGCCAAAGCTGACTGGACTGAGGCGGCAGAGCCGCCGCATCTGGCGGGCCTGCTTCTGCTTTTACCAGTCACATCACTGGCCATGCTCTCTCTCTCTCTCTCCTCTCTCTCTCTCTGCCAACTGTGGAGAGAAGGGAATCAATCGGGAAGCATTGCAGAGGAACAGGAGGGGACAGGGGGATCGAGGAGGGATCAGGGGCGGAGAGAAGGGAATTGGTTCCATCCTCTCTCTCTCTCTCTCCCCTTCTCTATCTCTCTCGCTCTGTGCCAATTGTGGAGGGAAGGGGGTCGATCGGGAAGCACTGGGGAGAAGTGGGGCGGGGAGAGTGGGAGAAGGGGTGGAGGGTCGAGGGTAGTTGAGGAGGGATCGGAGGCGGAGGAAAGAGGAGAGAAGGGAATTTGGGTCCTTCTTCATCGCGGTGAATTGAGGAGGAGGATAGAGGAGAGTTTGATTGTGTCTTCCTCGCTGGTCCGACCATGGCGGCGTGCTGGCGCGGGCTCGTCCTCCCCACAGAGTCCCCTTCGGTTGCGCCGCTGCCGCTGCCGCCGCGGGCCGCCTGCCGAGTTGCTGCTACATCGTCGCTGCTACTTTCCGCTCTCCGTCCCCGCGAGGAGTGCAATCGGCGGCGGTCCGCCGGGGTAACGCGATCGCGTCACCACGGCTCGGGATGCGGCGGCGAGGAGGGGATCTTCCCCTCCCCGAAGAGCCCTCTGCTCCTTCCCCGGCCAATTGGGGTCCGGTGGTGGCGGCAGAAGGGGCCTGTGGCAAGTCCGGGCGCCATGGGCGAGAAGATGATGGGGAACGTGGAGGGGGATCAAGTGGCTACGGGAAGAAGCGAGACGAGAAGCAAGAAGGAGGTGCTGGCGGCGGCGGCGTTGACGGTGGCCTTGGCCACAGGGAATAGAGTGTTTTACAAGTTGGCGCTGATCCCACTGAAGAACTACCCCTTCTTCCTCGCCCAGCTCGCCACGTTCGGGTACGCTCCCTCTCCTTTTTCCTCCCTTCTTCAATTCTGGATAACCTTAGTAATGCAAAGGCAGAGGATTGCGGCAACTCGCCGTCGTTGGTGAGCAATCTGCTCCGCCGCTTCGAGTACGGCAAGTTTTTCCGCTCGCAAGTGGCTTTCAGGGATGCCCTTCGGAGGTGACGTCGTGAAGCTTAGTCTGACTTTTTACTTTGTCCGCAATGTGCCACGAACCCACCACCATCACCGTTGACCCGATGCTCATCCCATCGTAAATCTACTAGTACGAAAATGCCCACGGTGACGTTGATTTCAGGGTCGATCGCAAGATAGTTGAGGCGTTTTATTCTCTGTTCTCCTGTTCTCGACGTGGCTAATTGAGAGAACACTACATTTTATCATTTTGTAGCAGCCCATTGGATGACTTCACAAGCTCTCTGTGCGCTAAACTGAACTCGACGCTGCTAAGATACTGCTCATCAGGCATCTGGCTTGTGCCCACGATGGTTAATTAGTCCCAAAATATACCTTTTCCGGCAATGGCAATGAATGTGGTGTTCTTTATCTACATGCTGAAAGGTTAAAGATTTGACTTGTTCATACATCTATGAAAATCTAGCTTGTCTCATTTCGCACAAGGAATGCTCTGCTTTTCGTGATCGTTTTGGTTGTACCAATGTTGATAAAAAAGCAGTAGCTAGACATCAGATTTCTGTAAGTTTCACTGAGAATTGGTTCTTCTATTAAATTTATTGAAAATCTCTCGTAATTCGTCGGCACTTGTCTATGATTTTCAGGTATGTTGTGGTATATTTTTCCATTCTGTACTTTCGTTATCATGCTGGGATTGTTACAGACAAGATGCTATCCTTACCTAAGGGTCCGTATGTTGCCATAGGGCTTTTAGAAACTATTTCAGCAGTTTCGGGAATGGCAGCTACAGGTAGAAAGTCCTTAGACATTGTTATGCTCTATCCTGTTTACTTTCCAAAGTATAATTATTTAATTTCTCAAACTACTCAAAAATTCCATGCTTGATTTCATTTTAGCTTACCTTAAACTGGAGATCATTCAAATCCAAGCTACCTTTTGAGAAATCCTTATCATTCTTTTTCTTTTCCTCAAATGGCATGGTATATATGCTGGTCTAGTTTGCTGGGTGAAGTTTCATTTGCAGCGATTTTTCTTGGGTTCGTTGTTTCAGCGAAACCTACATTGGCATGCTCATACTAGAATGGGTTCTAGGAAATACACATAAAGGAGGCAGGCACAAGGATATGTATTACCTTAAATTGCATGTTACCAGTCAGGTTAAGGGTACCAGTCAACAAACAATAGGATGTTTTACTGTGTTGCATTGGGTGGAACAAAAAATTGCATGATTCAAGGTTGTGGATGGAAAAGATGCCTGGATGGTATTGGCTCTTTTGTTTCATACAGACAATCTTGCTGTGCCTTTAGGCCCAGTTCTAGACTTAGGATGGCATACAAACCTCTATTTGTGGGGCTGGGATTACACTTTCCGACAATTATCATCAATTGCATACCTATGTCTTTTGATCCAACTTTTATTTTAAATTAATTAAAATGCATTTTTTTAATAAAAGCTTCGTAGTAAATGGATGCTTTCGTTGCCTTTTTAATTCCAGTACCGTCATCTTCCTCAGTAATTCTGCCTTAAAAATGTCTTTATTTAGATAACATTGGATTCTGAGCATTTCGACTACTTCACTTTCTCTGTTTTTCTGAGAATTTTGCCTGATTCCTTCCTGCTTCTCTCCTTGGAACAGCTGTTCTTTCCGGCGCATCAATTCCTATACTATCTCAGGTGTGCAGTGGCAGGAGATCATGCTAATTTTTTTAATACTTTTTATCCTCAGTTTAACATAATATTCATTTTTTCTTTGCCTTCTTAATGTGTGGTATCTATGAACGATCAATGGTTTGAAGTAAATAACTGACTGCATTGGCTTATAATCTTCAATGCAGACATTTCTTGTGTGGCAGCTTATATTGTCATATCTCGTTCTTGGGAGACGATATAGATTCAATCAAGTTGTTGGATGCCTCCTCGTCTCTGTTGGTGTCATAATAACCGTTATGAGGTAATTTCTTCTCATTATATCCAAATGGAAAACCCTCAGCAAGGTAACCCCGGCGTTTTTTCTATACTTGATGGTTGACTTTTTCTGCCCAAAGGATGTTGGGACCTCAGAAGGGCAAATGCTGAATTGGACCGTCCTGATTCATTCGAGGCTGTAGATGTAAAATGGTTGGAGACCCCTGTGATTCGATTGTTTCTAATGTGAACTGACGATTGGAGAGCCTAACATACTGCAGCAGTCTCGCATACAAAGACCGATTGAATATGTGTTCTGAACATACTGGGGGCTATAACAAGATCATCTGTTGACTTGTTATAGGCCTTTTTGGATCATCTCTCTGTTCACCGCTAGAAAGTATAAGGACAACTTGAAATTATAATAACCTTGAGAAATGGGGGTCATCAGAAAGATAGGAAAAATAATATATTTCCCAAATATCATGTAGATTGCCATTCAATTCTGCCAACTTCAGAAATAACTTCTCTTAATTTAGACGATAAATTTCACTTTCATATGAACTGCCCCACTCGAGATTTTCTTTTGGGTAGATTAGCTATGGATTGGTTGCTACATCTGAGATCATTGCTATTTCTTCCTTGTGCAGCGGAACAGGTTCTAGTGTCTCTTTGCGGGGTACCGAAATTTTCTGGACGCTCCTGATGATAAATTCATTTCTATTCCAAGCTGCTGACACAGTATTAAAGGTCCTTCATATTGAGCATTCACTTGGTGAAGTTTGTGTATCACCTGGTGGCAGAAACCAGAGTTCTTCCGACAAGTCTGACTTTTATTTATTCATTTTTAGGAGATAATTTTTGAGAATGCTACCAAGAAATTAAAGGTATGTTCTTAACAAGCTATCTTCCCCTCCTTCAGCGGAAAGATTCTTTGCAAGCTCGGATCAAAATGAGTCTTTCTTGTTGAAATGCTTCTCGATTTCGCATAAATTTTCGATTCACAGTTGGGTTATTTGTAGGGCGGCTCAGTTGATATCTTTGTGGTGAACTCTTATGGATCTGCGTTCCAAGTACGCTTTCTATGGCGATCTAACATCTAAACAATAATTCTTCATATTTCTTCGCCTTTCTCGATTCTTTTGTAATCTTCAAGAGCAACGTGAGAAGCAAAACCCTGCTGCTCTTCCGCAGGCCCTGTTTACATGCCTCCTACTCCCTTTGTTGACAAAATTATGGGGGATTCCATTGGCTCAACTTCCAGCATACATCAAAGATGGAACGGCCTGCTTTCTTAATATCGGGTCACTATCCCACGGTATGTACTCTCTCTCTCTCTCTCTCTCTCTCTCTCTCTCTCACTACTGTATGCATCTAGTCTTCCTTTTTCTTTCCCCATCATTTTACCAAACAGTGGCTTAGTCCGAGTGATTCTGCTAAGTATTTTTCAAGTTTCTTAAAGAATTTGCAAGCCATGAACATGCCATTTAAAACGCAATCCATCTTAGATCAAAGGCCCCAGGTTCAGTGGATAGCTTGGCCTCTCAGAACACTCAGAGTGCAGGCACCGAGGAAAATATAAATATTTTCTACATTCATACACAGATCTTTCGAAAATGTGAGAAGAAAAGAAATCATTGGTAGCGGCACTCTGTGTTCCTCGAGAGGGCCATGGCAAATATTACACCTCGATTTATTCCTCACATTTTTATCCCTACTTTGTATCTTCTAACCAAGATCAAGTCCTCTTTTTGAGTTTTTTTTTTAATAATTTTTTTGTCTAAAGAAGAAAGTTTACTCGGGAAACTGAGCTGAGATCCTCAAACGTTCCACAGGATGTGAAGGAGCGCCTCTGTTGCCGGTCTTGTTCGTGCTCGTGAACATGGCTTTCAACATTTCGCTGCTGAATCTGGTCAAGATCTCCTCCGGGGTTGCTTCCTGTCTAGCTTCCACTTTCTCAGGTCGCTCTCTCTCTCTCTCTCTCTGCCTCCTATCTCTGGGGACCCCCGTTAACATCCTCTCCTCTAGGACCCTCCTCCTGTCTGCCCCGATGGGCCGCAGGTGATGGGTCCTCTCTCTCTCTCTCCCCCTCTCCCTCTCTCTCTCTCTCTCTCTCTCTGGTGGGTTGGGAAGGCTGTTCAAGGCTCTCTTGCTTTGTTGTTTTCCCCTTTGGTTTCCGTCTTCTTCTTACTTATTTTGGGCGGGATTGGTGCTGGTGCAGTGCCCCTCTCCATCTATGTCTTCACGCTCCCCCTTCCGTACGCCGGCGTCCCGTCGCCCCTTCCGGCGGGCTTCCTGGCCGGCGCCGCCGTCCTCGTGGCCGGTCTCCTGCTCTACTCCTTCACTCCCCCGCCGCCCGGCGACCAGTCAGCGGCGGCGCCGCTGCTCCCCCACGCCCCTGCTGCGTAGCCGCGGCGGCGTCCTGGCGGAGCTCTGATTCTCTCTCTCTCTCTCTCTCGCCTGTATCTTGTAAACAGTTGAGTCGAGGATGTGCATTGAAATGGGAATAAAAATATATACATTTATAGTAAGCCTAGTGTCGGGAAGCCGGAGGAGACGGGCTCAGGCGCCGGGGCTGGCGAGGTTACCGTCGCCGGAGGGGATAAAGGCGAGGCTGAGGACGAGGAGCAACATGGCGACGGGAAGGAGGAGCAGCACCGCCGGCGGCGGTGGCAGCGGCGGGAGCAACGGCGGCAGCAGGAGCAGGAGCGCCGCCACCCCCAGCAGCAGCAGCAGCTGCGCCGGCGTCCTCAGGTGGCCGGGCATCTGGGTACTCGGCCGGCGTGGCCCTCGACGCCCCACCACCCTGCCGCCGGCGCCCTCCCTGGACGTCCATATTTATTGGGCGAGTGCATGGGCGCGCTGAAGGTCGCCTCCACGTGTTCGCTTCGGGCCCGACGGACCCTCGTGTGGTGCTACTTACGCTTCAGGACGGTTTAATTAGTTGACCATTTAGTACCTCATTAATCGAGGCAGATGGGCCATTTAGGGTTCTTCCTTCAACATCAGCTTTGGAAATAACTCAACCTAACGTCTGCATTTACCCTTTTTAGAAAAAGTGTTGACTTGAAAGAACAAGTGCAGGCAGTGAACTCACAAGTTATGAGGAAATGAGGGATTATCTAATCATTAAGTTTAGGGGAGGGAGTGCTATCAATTGCATGGGAATGGAGGGAGGTGGGTCATTTAGGGTTCTTCTTCCGGCATTAACTTTGGAAATAAGTCAACTAAACTTCTGCATTTCCCCTTTCTAGAAAAAGGGTTGACTTGAAGGAACAATTTTAGGCGGTGATCTCACAAGTTTATTGCATGGGATTGGAGGGAGGGGGGTCATTTAGGATTCTTCTTCCGACATCAGCTTTGGAAATAAGTCAACTTAACTTCTGCATTTCCCCTTTTTAGAAAAAGGGTTGACTTGAAGGAACAATTGCAGGTGGTGAACTCGCAGGTTACTTTTCTCCCATCACGAAACTTACGGTAGGGAAGGTATCAATGGCAGTGGGCATGGTGGTCCGGTAGTGGAGAAGAGGCGTTGCAAAGAAGAAATGAGGGCTTGCCTTTCTCACCTCGTTCCTCTTGCATTCTCCTCGTGCGCCATCTCACCGTACGGTGATGGGACAGGTTGGAGGTAGTAATGGCTGTCCTTCGGTCCTCTTCAGTGCTGTCATTACTCTCACAATGCCCAATAGGAGGAGAGAGAGAGAGAGAGAGAGAGAGAGAGAGAGAGAGACCTGTAGCTGGGTACGTTATCTTTCCTCTCTATCTACACTTGCAACGGCTGTGGGGATCGAGAGCAGTGAAGAGCATGATAAGATAACTGATGTGCATCGTCATTGAGATGCACGCTAGCCATAGATTAATGGGTCAGCCGCCAGCAACCTTGTACCACGACCAAGTGCATTGCTTACGCAATAGAACCATCAACCAAGTAGAGAAAGTCAACACGTAAACGCATAAAACGTTCATAGACTCACATGTGGCAAGTACTCGTACCTGCCAAGAGATGTCCTTTGTGCACGATTGGTCCACAAATTTCAAACATTGGAAGTGAATTTTCGTTTTAAACTAAAATAATACTTGATATAGTAAATGTCTTAATGACCACTTTTCAAAAATATTGAATTGTTCAAGCAAATTTATATAATATTCACAGATTTATCGTGGCTATATAATTCAAGTGTGTTGCTACAGTGGCGATGCAGTGAAAGTTGTGGAATAAAAATTCACAAAGCATGAAATTCAAAATAGGGAAGAATACAAATTAGGCCTTGAATCATCAAGGCGCAAAATTCTTCAATTCTTGAGTTGACGAGGAATTTTTCGAATGATCCTTGAATCCACAAAAGATATGAACATGTCTTGAATCCACAAGCACTCATACATATCACCAAAAAAATTAGTAATCTTGATCATTTCATGAGATTACAATGTTTAAGCCATTAAGTAATTGCCTTTAAAAAAATTATATACGTTAATAGAAACATGATTGAAGATAATAAATAGTGAAAATTCTAAAACCTTATAAATCTAATGCATTTCCCACACTTTTCAAAAGATGCAGTATATAGTAATTTCCCAAAAGCACTCATGCAGTATATAGTCTTACATCTAGGGTTATGCTCATTGATCATACTATTTTTATGCAACTTTATATTGCATATTTTTTCGATGCAAAGTAGTGAAGGTATTGTGCAAGACAAGACCAAAATGGGACGTAAAGGAAGACCAAAAATGTCCAAGTCCCCACTCATCATATGATTCTTCCCCAAATGGCAAAGGCTCCTAGAAGTAGGCTTCTGATAGCTGGTCTCCATGCAGCGTTTGCAGCATGCCATGCAAATACTGCACCACCATGTAGTTCTTCTGCATGCATGGCTTCAGGACGAGACTGAGATTGCACCCCCCGCCAATGCACGCACGTTGAATGGGTATTGGTGTACTTTTTTGGGAAATTAAGGTTGGCTTTCGTGGGACTGATTTTGTTTTCTTGCGGCAGGTTGAGCATTCTCCGTCATCGTATGTTCATAAGGTTGACTTTCAGGTCGCTGTGCACTAATATGCTGCTATCAAGAAACCATTTTACTTGAGGAAAGAGGGGCCATTTCCGATCCAGGGAAGCAAACAGCGCGAACTGATTTTTTTTTTCTTCTTGCTGACAGGTTGACCATTCTCATTCAACGGATGCTATAAGGTTGACTTTCAGGTCTCTGTGCACCAATCTGCCGCTGTCAAGAAATTATTTTGCTTGAGCAAAGAAGGGGGAAACCAAATTGCGATCCACTGGACGGTGAAGGGGAGAGATTCGCCGACCAGACGGTGCAGGTTCTTCCGCCCTGATGTGTGTGTGAGCGAGAGAGAGAGAGAGAGAGAGAGAGAGAGAGAGAGAGAGAGAGACAGAGGGATTGCTTTGCTTGTCTCTCCAGCCTTGACCTGCCGGTGGAAGTGGGTGGGGGCGGGGGGGGAGGGGGGGTGTCTGCTAATGGGGAGAGAGTCATCAGATTCCTACCCCACTGCGGGATAAGTGGGATATGAGAGTTAGCGAGAGAGAGAGAGAGAGAGAGAGAGAGAGAGAGAGAGAGAGAGAGAGGGGTCCCCCCCCCCGCCTCCCCTGCACGAAACCACGGGTAAGCCTTTACTTACCACGGCATATTTTCTGCAGCTACCGTGTCTTGTCAACCACTTGTCGAGATATAGAGAGAGGGAGCATGAGAGAGAGAGGGAGGTGGGACAGCTCGAAAGGCAAGTTGGTTGGGCAGATGGCTGGCTGAAGTAAGCCACCGGGAGACATATTTAATCGCCCAAATGACGGAGCTCACGTGCGGTGGAGGCGCCAGAACACCCGGTGAACCACGTGATCGGCACCCCTGGGGAATCAGGGGCGTCCTTTGTTTGCACATAAATCCCTACATAAATTGATACCTTAAACGATCACCTTGCAACATTGTTTAATAGGCTCTGCTCCTTTGATAAAATCACCATATTTGTCCTCTATTAAGTCCTTTTAGACGCTTATTGTCCATATAAGTAATTAAAATTTATTACGACTTCTATATTATTCTCTTTCTAATGAGAAGTTAGTAGAGTATTGACTCCAGGCTTCTCTCTCTAACTGCTTCGTCTAGACAGGGAAGCCAGGACATAAAAATAAAAAATAAAAAATGGGGTTGGTCCCGTCATTTAACTAAATCAAACAATATGCGCTACGCGCTACACCACGGATAGTAAGTGCCCGTTGACCAATCATATCGTGCCACGTAAGAGAATGGCGGTCGGCGTCTTACTACCTTGGGGCGGTGACGCGATTTTTTCACCTAAATTACCTGCTTAGTCCGTCTCTCCGGGTCTCACTCTCTCTCCCACTCTCTCACTCTCTCTCCATCTCTCTCTCTCTCTCTCTCTTTCTCTCTATCAATTCCCTCTTTCTCTCTCTCCTCTATCTTTCTCTCTTCTCTCTCTTCTCTCTCTCTCTTTTTCTCTCTCTTCTCTCTGTAAATGGGGGTTTGGCTTTTCGAAGAAGACTCCATCGGCTTGGCTGCAGCTCGGGAGCTGCATTGTGGCGTCTGTCCACTTCTGTAAAACCTTGCCCTCCCACGCAGCTCGAAACAGATGGAATAGATTGAGATCGGGGTAAGGGCGGGGAAGGAGGAGAGCGGAGCCGCCATCACGCCCTCTTTTCCTTCAATCAGCCCATTCCACTTGGGGGAACCTCCAGGGCTCCACGGTCTTACCATTTTGCTCCAGATTCCGGCGGCAGACTCCGCTCCCTGTTTCTGTGACCAGCTCAGTTTTTCCCGTTGTTTGGGGTGGGTGGCGGCGTCGTGGGTGGCGGCGTCGGGGGGGGCGCCGTTCCTGTCGGGGTTCCGTCTGGTCCGGCTTGCTTCAGTCGGCTGTGTTAGCGGGGGCTTCCGTGGCTGCATTCTTGCGGTCGATCTGATGCGCTAGCGCCGGGGAGATGACGTCTGCGCCGGCTGCTGTGACGCTGGAGCGTCCTAGGCCAGCGGGCACGAATACCGTAAGCTCCCTCTTCCCTCTTCTCCATGGTCTCTATTTTCTTGTTCGCTGGTCTCGACATGATCCTGGCGTATAATGCGCGGTGAGATTTCTCTTCAATTTCGTTAAAAAATGCATGTCAACGGTTTGAGAAATTGAAAATATCAGGATACAACCGTGTCGCTTCCGCGGCTGTTTCGGTCACATTGTTAAAATTTGCTTGTCTGAGCTGGGTATTTCTGACTGGTGTCTTTGTTTGCCTCTCTCCCCTAATATCCCGGATGGAACCGTGTGGATTCCCAAGGTTATTTCGTACGCGGTGATGAAATATGTTTGGGATTAGGGAATCAGGAGCATCTTGGTGCGACCCCGGTGGATCAATAGTGGGTAAAACATAGATTTGATGCCTTATTTAGTCTTAAGTTGCTTACTGATGATACAGTATCTGAGAATGTCATTGGAATGGAAATATATGATGGACACGTAATGTCAGTAATGGCAGTGTTAATTAAAGGCCTTTAGATTCAGGGAATAAACAGTAAATGGGTCTTGAAATCAATTGCTTTTTTCCCATGGACAAAATATATGGTGGACAAGTAATTGTAGGCAGTTATGCTGTCATTGTCTGGGACTTCTGCATAAAGGAACATTGCACATTTTGCAGCTCTTTCCTATGTTGCAGAAAGCTTGTAATGGACAAAGAATGAAGATGCCTGGAGCATTCAACTGTTGCCTTGATTGTATGCTTGAATTTTCATTATCATTGTATTGATAAGATGAAATTTTCGTAGAAATGCGGTTTTCATCTTCAATGCTATTGCCTATTGTTATTAATATTTTCACAAATCCACTGTTAACATTGATATTCGGCCTTGACTTGTGTATCTGGAAGTTTTTGAATGTTTACCAGACTGCAGATATACTGTTGACTTTGCCTAGATTTTTCTGTCCTTTCATTCTTGACATGTCTATGTTTATCAAAAGTCACGTGCCTTCATGTGATCTGATTTTAATCACTCTGTCCATAATAGCTCTGAAGGGAGACATTGTTAAATAGAGTCTTTAGTAGACAATGCGATTTGTTAACCAATTGGGCGAGTAGTGCAGTGTATGGATGTCTATTTCAATGTGCATTTGATCTCTGAGATAGTTGAACCTGATGATTTGGTGTCAGGCTGAAATATTTAATTTTGTGATATTTACAAAATATCAAATTCTGATATGAAGATGGGGATTTCTAAACCATTGGTCATGAGGGATCCGATCATAGCTGAGCGTATTTGGAGGGCATTGCGGGGTAGGAAATGATACAACATATATGATATAAATAAAATAATACACATAGAGGTAGAAAGCAAATGATTTGCAGCGTTTTTTTGGGCCAGGGTTGGGCACAGTTGCGTACTGTTCAAGGTTGAGGACAGATTTGGGGAACCGGTAATAGTTTCATGGGAAGGTGATTGAGAAAGAGACTCGTTATTGCTGTCCATTGCAATAACGAGTTTCATTGGAAGTTTCATGTGTAGTTATTTTTTATAGTCAGAAAAAATGTGAGAGGCTCGGTGTTGCTGGATGCAGAAAGTTTTGTCACTGGTTATTGCTGTCCATTGCAAGGGACGAAGATTGCGTGGATACTAAGCAGAAGAATTGAAGATGATTAATTGGGATCCACTTTTGAACCATATTACTTTTGATTGTGATAGAGACCATTCATTTGAAAAGAGAAAGGTATGATGAGAGAGGGGAATGATAGTGCAGGGATGGCATGAAAAGTTTGGGAGTGGATTAAAAAGTTGATCTTTCCTTTTAAAGATTCCACATGGTCATGCTAACTTGATTTGGCTTATCCTGACGGTGGATGATATTTGGTTTTGCCTAGTCAGCCTTTTCAAATCTTAAATTTCTTTTGCTTAACATTTTATCTTGCTTTGCTTACTTTCCATTTTCTTTTTTGCAGGTGTTTAAGAGTGGCCCACTGTTCATATCATCCAAAGGTATGTTTCTGTTGTTTCATACAGGATCAAGCATTAATGTCTTCCTGTTATTTATTCTCTGCGAGTCATTTCATTGATGTTAGCACTTTCTTGTTCACATAGCCCTTCGTTCTGAGGGTTTCCCTTTGAGAAAATTTGCATTTTATAATTTCATCTTTTCAAGGGACTGTAATTTTTTTCATGTCTGCAATGTCTGTGTCATGCTTCCTTTTTTCTGCGTAAGATTGTTTAAATTTGTCTTCTTGGATCTGGGCATGTTTTTGGTTACTTTGACTGTGCTCATGTCTACTTAACTAAATATTGACACATTTTCTACCTCTTTGTTTGATGGCGATTGTTTGACATGGAATTGTTTGCATGTCTAGGCCTTTGTGTGCAATGCCTTTTTAGTTTCGATTACTCATCTTGTTCTTTACAGTCTTTATCTGTGAGATCTTAGGACACCAACACCCCCCTTTCTCATTCAGAAATATTTGAATACTTAAGAGGACTTTCTACGATGGCTCCTCTCAGTCTCTATATGGTATATACGCGATCTTTGGTTGTACAGTCCTATATGAACGCATCACTCCCAATTTACGTCATTTGAATGTCAGAACTTGCTCCTTTTTTTTGGTTCGCATTTGAATTACTCATACATATTGTAGTTTGCGGCATCATGTGTATTCAGCGCATTTAGAGTGCTTTCTCATTGCTAATTTTCTTGTTGAAATTCTGGCATTCTTCATGGTGTTTATATTTTGGTCATGCTCTCATCGTTATTCTCAATAGCATGATCGTCTATGAGGTCCTATTGATCTGTCAATTTTTTCTTCAAATCGATTTGACGTGACTAATGGCTTATTCCATATCCAATACTCTGATCATTTGTGAACTGGCACTATTCCATAACCGAGTAACTGTTTCTTTTTATAATGTCTTCCCTGTGGGATGCCTTTGAATCCCTATCATTTTGAAACCACTTAACCCACTGCTAGCTAGCAATTTACCACTTACCCAGGTTTAACGGTGATAAATGCTGGTTTATCTTCTTTTCACTTCGTAGTATGGGCTAAGAATGCCTGGGACGAAAGTGGATAATATGTTACCAGCAAGAATTTTGAGTTGGATCACTCTCCATCTCCTGACGTTAAAAGTTACTGAGGGTGTATAAGGTTGAGACACCACGTTTGAAATGGGTGTCTGATGGCTCAGACTATGTAGAAATCATCTGAGCAAACCGGTGGAAGGGCCTGTGGTCACATTACCTATTTCCCTCTTTATCTTTCACCGCCAGTTTCTCCTCATCCTAGAACCGGGTGTCTTCTCTTCCCATGGGTATTGGCTTAGAACGTTTGTGCATTTTATCTCATCTTACAACCTTCGGAATTCCAAAATTGCTTTGGAATTGGCTTTTTTTTACCGACCCAACCTTATTGGCAAAACTTATCTTGTCCGAAGAAAGGGTGATATGTGTAAGGGATGCTTGCCAAGTGTTGACACGACTGAAAAAGTTAAACATGATGTGGGTGTACTTCATATGTGAAATTATGTTGGATAATTCCCTCTTATTGATTCTGTATGATACTCCGATCCTGTACAATTTTTTTGAAGACATGGTAAATACACTTTGCTGAGAGCATTTTTTTTTGGCTTAATACCAATTTCACAAAAAGATGCTTTAATAATTGGTGTATGTATGGTTTCTTGGGACGCATCTGCATCAAAGTCAATTGATCCTATTAGAGCCCATATTCTTCCATGGCAAAAACTGCCTTCTGAAGACTGCTGAATCCTCTGGTTCCTTTGTACTGGATTCTCTGTGCTCCAATTTGGGTTCTGCTATTCAAACTTGGATCGTGGCAGTGAATCCAGCTTTTTGATTGTCCTAATAAACCATAGAGGTCCTAATAATCCAGCTTTCCTGAGGGGAATATATGTTCTATATGCAATTAGCTTCATGGCTACAATGATTATAGTTTTTCCGTCTGCATATAATATTTAGCTTTTTAAATTGGTGCCTGCAGGTATTGGTTGGAAATCATGGAGAAAACGGTGGTTCATCCTCACCAGAACATCCTTAGTTTTTTTCAAAAATGATCCGGTTGGTACTTTTAAATGTTTTGATTGTTGATATATTTCCCTCTAACTCAGATTTAGTATGATTCTTTCGTCAAATATTTTGTATTCTCTAGTAGTTCTCTGCTCTACCATGTCAAAAACATCCGATACCCAATCTTTCCTAATTTGATATTTTCCATGGGATATCTTTTTGTGCATCATCATTTTCATGAAAAAATTGAAAGAATCATCTTATATCCAAGGGTTTGAAACCAGAATCGCTAGGGTTTCACGTCTTCCCATAGGCTGTTGACATATAGTCTGCTTTATCTTGAATTGCCACCAACTTTATGAATACATTTAGAATGTATGAATGGATGGATGCCCTTATTGAAGTATCCGGGTATTATAACGGTGGCAGTTAGTTTTAACTGTAAGAGTGTTGCTTATCTTGAACGTGATAACGTATTTTGTGTTGTTCTCGCCCTTGAAATATGGAAGTGTTGTTCTTTTTTATATGAAAGTAATAAAGTACTCCAATAGTAGTGACTGATGATGTAAAAATAGTAGATTTGGCTGCCTTTAAACTGAGTCGCAAAGATTCAGAAAATAATCTTTCAAGAACATAATTATATTTGCATAATGTCCCGAAGACAATGCATGGTGAGGAATGTTTGGTGAAGAAAAACGAAAGCTTTTGTGTAACGTATTGTAAAAGGGATATCAACTGAAACTCTTCTGTGTTGGTGCTGTGGCCCAATCATCAGTTAACATGCTTGCCTTGGCGATGATAACTTGGGTGTGAATCTAGAAGGCAGAAAAATTTCTTTTCTTTCTCTACCATGGTACTTCCTGGCGATGAATGACATCACCTTTTAATAATTAGCGCGAATAGACAATTATCTGCAGAATTCTGCTTATGGGGAATTTCCTTAGGAGAGTTTTGTGATTCCCTGAGCTTCCTCACATGGATTTCACCATGACCTTGTTGTAAAATCCTCTGTAGGAGTTCATTTCCATGTCTTTGCATCTTCTAATGAACCATAAATCTGATCGTTGATCATCACATATTGTGTCTCTATGATGTCATCTCTGTTAATAATTGTGGTTACCTTAATCTAGGCATTCAGTCTTGATTCTTGTACTATCTGCCAGCTGTGAGATGAATTTATTTGTCTTTTGATGGTGCACTGATTAGTCAACCTATTTGAGAAAGATGTTCCTTCTTTCATCGGTCATCACGAAACTAAAGAGATTTGCTATCTCCTAGCTGAAAAATCGTAGAGGCGGACACAGAATCTACTTGTCCAATAATGTTCCCTTGTATCAGTGATGTGTTGGACCTCCCAATTGGCGAAGGCTACTTCTGTTGCCGTTTCTGCTGAACATTTTTCTGACAGTCATTTACCTACAACAAATGCCCTTCATGGAGTCTGTAAAACTGCCTACTAAAATATCAATGCTAAACAAGCCAATGCCAACACTTTTCTTTCTGAGCTCTCAATCTCATCTCAGGATGAAAAATCTATTCTATTCATCAGAGCCTCCTCTCTGGAAAATTGAGTTTTTGTGATGCTTCCATTTCCTTGGTATGACTCTGACTCTGATTGATTGAGGACAAACGACTAGGGAAAAAAATCATCTTTGTTTGAATCCATCGTCCTCCTGGTAATGTAGATCATCGTCTCCACTGTTCTTTTGTCTTTTGAAAGTGCTTGTTCATACCATTTGCGCATGCCATCAAAAAGTAGAAGACCAAAGTATTTGACTGGCAATTCGTGAACCCAATATACTAGAGTCATCTGATGAACCTGTGAAAAACCATCGGATTTGTCAAAGTTAACTTCGGATTCTACTTCATTTAGAGGAGCTACCTTTTGAGTTAGGCCTGTGTGTCATATTTGATCTTTTGATATTAATCCTCAGTCTGGCCACCATTTGTGAATGCAGTCTCTTCACTTTGCAGATCTTTCTGCCATCCCTAGGATAGATGAATTGATCATTATCAGCAGAATAGATATCCATTCTCTATCTTTTTACTTTTCAGTTTTGTACATTCACTGAGACGGATCGGGCTAGAGAAAGTGGATCTCCTGGCCTTGGTCATTGTTAACTCTAATGTAGCCATGCAAGAAAAAAATATATGCCTTTGGTTGGGGATACAGAGCTCATATAGTTGATATACAGATGGCCCATTGTCTTAAATGTTATGTTGTTGACTTTTGTGACGTATCTATCCTGTTCTTTTGTTTATAATTTGATCAGTTTCGATTTGTTCAGAGTACTGAGTTATAATGGATCACTTTTCTGTTTCCTTTCACTACCTCTTCTATTAATTGTTAGAGTTGAGGTATGTTGAATTTCTTTTGGTGATAATGCCCCTAACTTTTGGCAAATATTCCCATTTTCAGTACCTCTGTGCTGCTATCTTTCGCTAATAAAACGTGAATGTTCATCTTCAAAAACAGTTTGGCTGTGCATTCTATTGATATAGAAAATTGCCTCTTCTTTCTTTCTCTGAGTAAATAATGAATAAAATATACTAGGATGTGGAATTACTACACTTTGCAATTATCTTTACTATGATAATTCGTTATGATCTTTGTTTTTCAGAGTGCATTACCCCAGAGAGGAGGTGAAGTGAATCTTACTTTGGGGGGTATTGACCTAAACAACTCCGGGAGGTTTGTGCCTGTGTAGTTTGCTGCAGAATTTGCTATCAGTTTACCATCTGTTTTAACTTTCTTTTTTGTTTTCAGTGTTGTAGTTCGGGAGGACAAAAAACTGTTGACTGTTCTGTTTCCTGATGGACGTGATGGCCGAGCTTTCACCCTTAAGGTACCTGGTCACTGCTGTTTGATTGCCCTCTTGGGTTACTGGTGATCTAGCAGCACTGCTTATTTCTGCTATATTCTTGTGTTTGAATATGATAGGCAGAGACGTCAGAGGACTTGTTTGAGTGGAAAACTGCCCTTGAGCTTGCTCTGGCACAGGCACCGAATGCTGCCCTTGTTATGGGACATAATGGGATATTTCGTAATGACACTAGTGATGCATTTGAAGGATCTGTGCAGCAGCAATGTTTGTGGTTCCTTACAATCTTATTTTATTTTTGGATAGATAGTCAACAGCTTTTGGTACGTTTTCCTCCATAGTAGGTTTGACAAAGGATGAATTTATGCAGGGAGAGACAAGCGTCCTGTAAAGTCTATGGTTGTTGGACGGCCAATTTTGCTTGCTCTTGAGGACATTGATGGAGGCCCATCCTTTTTAGAGAAAGCATTATGTTTTCTTGAAAAGTTTGGTAGGTTTTCTCACTGAAATGTGTCCACCACGACATTGGTTTTTGCATGCTGTTCATATTCATCTTCTTGTAGGATGAAAAATCCCTCATTCAACACGCTTTTGATGCTGGGATATTTATTGATGCCTCTTGGATGTGGATTTTTATAAATGTTTGTAATATGTTGAACAAATTTAATTTATCCAAGATACATCATACACGCATATCAAGTTTTCGTATTTCATTTGGTGAATAAAATCTACTTTTGCGTTGATATTTGATGGATTAAAGATTCTAGGATCAGTTTTGTGGTCATTTAAAGTACCTTTTTTACGTGTTATTTCCTGGAGAAATATGGTGATCGAAAGGAATTATTTGATGAATGTTTGTCAATGTAAATCATTTAGAAACTGTGTTGTAACTGGCTCCTTTAAGCTGCACTCATTACATTGAACAGATTTTTATTTTTTGATGGAGCTAGTATCTTGGATATTTAAGATTTTTTGTAGTTTGAGCTCCAAATTTTCTGCTTCTGGACAGAGATGTATTTGCAAGGTTGAACTTAGTTTCTTTTTGAGTGCTGGTATGTTTTACGCTATTTACAATGTTTGTTCTGCACATTGCACATTTATATATTTGTGCTCAGTTCCATGGAATGTCTGATCGAGGAGTTTTGGCCTATTCGTCCCATCAATTGAGAAAATTTCTAACGCTGAGATTTCAACAGGAACCAATATAGAGGGTATCCTTCGACAGGCTGCTGACGTTGAAGAGGTTGATCGTAGAATCCAGGAATATGAACAAGGTCCTCTATTTTGGCTGTGCCCAAGTTCTTGTAAACAGTTCTTTTTTGTCCCCTATGAACTGAAGGTTATCTTTGTATCAGGGAGGACTGAATTCGCATCAGATGAAGATGCACATTTAGTTGGCGACTGTGTGAAGGTACAGGTTGATTTTTTTTTTATTGTGTATTGTGCTTTAGCCTGTGAAATCTGTCGTCTAGTTCTTGACCGACTTTTTTTTTGCAGCATTTTCTCCGGGAGCTTCCATCATCCCCAGTTCCAGCATCTTGTTGCACAGCTTTACTAGATGCATTTAGTAAGTCCAAGTATTTTTAGTTTCTTTTGCCATTGATTTCCTGTTGTTTTATTCCTATCTAGTTGCCTATGGATTCCTATCTGTTTGATACTTATTTTGTACTCGTCCATGGCTACCATCACTCGGTTTATCCCATGATAGCCAAGGCATTGCCTTGAGTAGAAGGTGGCTTCGAACACTTAAGCCATCCTCGTCTTGGTCTGGTTAGGACGATCATGAGTTTACATGCTTAAAGGATGTGGAAGGTCCCGTACGTTGACAAACACGTAAATTTGCTTGTACTCACGTGGACAAATTACCTGTGTTCAAATAAACAGTAATCAGTTGGGATTTATATGCTAATATTTTGAACTTTAAACATGCCTTTCCATGATTCTCTCTTGATGGCATGGAAACAGCCACTCATGAAAATAAAGTGATCTTATACTAAACTAAAATGGAATTCTGGGACTGATTACGCAGTATGCTAAACTGTCCTGGTATGTCACGCATTATTAATATTCTCTACTTTGTGGTCTGACAGAATAGGATAGTGATATGTACAAGATGCACCGACCTAGGTTACGAAATAAACTATACAGAATCACATATGATAACATACTTTACTTTCTCCCAAAATCACCACAAGAGAAGTTTCGCAATATGTAGATGTTGAATACATTCCAGATAAAAGAGATTTCAGTTACCTTAGTTGCAAATTCCTGATTTACTGTCAGCAACTGCACTCAAGCGGGCAGTGATTTTTGGGGCATTGAATCATCCTCTTTTTCCCTCTCCTTTGGTGAAAATAATATACTTTGCATGGTGTTTATCATCAAGGAAGCGTATACTAGGTACTAAGAAAAGATATCTGCGGAACCTTGGGAATAAATAGTTGTCTAGCAGTTGCATAGATGTATTACGTTTGAATTTGGGTTTAGGACAGGAGTAAGTTTTGTGTGGGCAGTATACCGACTTCATGATTTTCTTCTGAACTGGTGTTATCTCCCTCTGGTGTAAAATTTAGTCATTAAAACTTATGCTTCTCGTGGATGATATAATATTCCTCTACGAAACATTTTCTGAATAGTTAGTTAAATATTTGGAGTCAGGGTTTTGAGAGTGAAGGCTCTGTTTTCACTATTCCAAAAATTAATAGATAGGAAATTCAAGGAGTTTTAGTTTCCGTGTATCAAAATGTTTGCGAAGATGAGACTCCAATGCATTTAGGATAAAATGGATACATGTGTCATGGTGTGAATACTTTTCTATCATGGAATATTTGCAGAAATTTGTGATCTGACTAAAGGAATATCCCTAGTTGCCTATTTCAATTCGTACTGCATTGTTTGACTCATTCCACTAGGCTTGGCTCATGTTTTAATTGAAGCTAGAAAACAACGACCATTGTGAAATTGACATGGTTTAAACTTGTTAACGTGAAGAGAGACTATGAACGGCAGTGACCTAATGCTGGTTATCAATTTTAGTAAATATTATTTAGTTAATTCTGTGCATTATGGCCTTGTTTATAACGGAGTACCATTTTTAGAACGGATTCCAACACAGTGAACATTAATTCTGTTCGTTATTTTTATATTAAGTGCTTGATTAGGCCCTGTGATTTGTGGAAATGGCGAAAGTAGAATTGTTTTCGAAATTAAAGCGCTTTCTAAGGTCAGGATTTTTTGTTTCTGTCAAATTGGAATTCAACAAACTAAATCACTTTATATAATCAAAGAGTTGTCAAAATAATTGGTATGATGATTGGGGAGCAAGATTCCGTCTTATCAGTGAAGGAAAGTTTCCATTAACCATTGGTCGTCAAGCTAATTTCTGTTGATGCAGAAAATGAGTTCGTGATTAATATGAGGATCTTCGGGTGACAAAGCAGAATACCTGACTCTCATCGTTAATTTCACTGTGTTGCCTGCTTGACTGAGTGGTAGTCTTGTATTGTATCCTTTAAGTGAGCTGTTCTTTTTATTTTGTGGTAGTGGAAAAATGTGTCTGATCCATACAGAACATAAGAAAAGGTTCTCTATTGATTCAAACGCTGTACCTAAGGGTTAGGGATAGAGGAAGATGAAAAAACCGATTTCACATCTTACTTTTGATCAAAAAATCAATTTGATTTATCTCGTACCCTTGGCTTGATGAGAAAATGGGTCAGATTCTACAGGATCAAAACGACGGGACTTGAAGGAATGATGGAATCCGAGGTGATGCTACAGAACTTGTCATAATGTGCCATGATATTGTGTTACTAGTTTTGAGCGCTGTATCACAGGCGGCAAAATCTCAAAACCCAAATGCCGAACAGGAAGGTGGTGAAATAAGATGCTCTTGATTTGATTAACGTTTGAGTTTGGTATTTATACCAGGCCCATAGTACAGGAGTTGAACCGGACCAGACCGGTCCAGTTTGACACTAAAGTAATAAAGAAATACTACTTGTTATCTAATTCCATACTTTTGTTCCTGCATGTCTTATGCTCTGCATTGTGGTGAATAATAAATTGTCTGGTTTTTATGGAGTGTCATGATTTTATTTTCATTTAAGGAGCCTTTTTTTCGTATGTGATGTGTTTTCACTAAAATCAATATGTTGACGCCTGAAGTCTATTATGGCTTACCTTTGTTGCTGTTCTTTTTCCCTGAAATTTATACTGCATCTTCGTATTATTTTGGTAGGAATTGAGCGGAAGGAGGCTCGTGTTAGTGCGCTACGGTCAGCAATATCCGAGACTTTTCCGGAGCCTAATCGTAGATTATTACAGAGGTAAATAACCTATTATGCCATTATTTTTTCTAATGTACATTCTGTGCTTGCCTGTAGCCTAAAATTCGGCAGTCCATATTTCACATTGGGTTTTTTATTCGCTTGCACTCTGCTATCATTTTGTTTTTACCGTAGTGCAATTCACAGTGCTGGAAGCTTAGGGAGGAAGTCCTATGCATGGGATTAGAAGCTCAGAAAAACACAGCTTCACTGACGAGAAAAAGAGTCGTATGAAAGCTCAGAAAAGCACAGCTCCACTAAAAGAAAGGAATGCCAACTTGTGGTTGTGTAGATCTTATATACCGCTTGCTACTCTACCTGGAGTCATCTAATTTTTCATGATTTTGGTTGGACAGTCATCTAGATAATGTTTCATGGATCGTGAAAAGTGTTTACCTGGGCTAAAATTGGTGTAACATTTACCTTATCGACAGATAGTCAGCTGGATTTTTATTTTCTCACAATACCCATTCTAAAAATGAAAAATGGATGCAGTTAAGTAAGATTTTTTGGTGGAGCTGGGAGATTGGGATTACTGGAGGTTGGATGATGTCTATACACCCAATAACTGGGCCTTTTTTGTCTATACTCTAGTGGAGCCGCTCCGATATTCACTCTACTTTTCAAACAACAGATTTGACGAAGTCCCACGTCTATCTGATCTCAGTGCTTTATTGGTGAGAGATTGAACAGATATTCCTCCTTCCCCTGGTTCCTTTTTCTAATGCTAGAAACCTCTTGTCACTTTTTGTAAAAGTTCTGTTAGGTTCTTAGTATGTCAGTGACCTTTTTACTTCACATGGCTTTTCATCTCCTTGAAAGCCAGAAGTTCTCCAAAAGTATGAAATCCTAGAGGACTTTGTACCATTAAAGTGTGGTCTGTTCACTAGCTCCAAGGACTTGGAGCGCATCTTTTGTTTCTTTCCACCTGAATTGACGATTATGGCCACAAAGAAATGTCAAATCTCATATGAGAATGAGAAAGAAACTGTTTGGAGCATTCCATCCGGCATAAGCATCTGGATAATCTGGAATGCAATGTTCCATAGCCAGAATCCCTGGGCATGCTTGGGAAATAGAGTCAGATTAATTTCAGAAGAAGTAATGAAAAAATGAATTTGTCTTAAAGTTTCAGGGTTTGCCAGATCAAAGATTTTACCCATCCATGGTAAAATCCTGCAAATTTTTTTTGAAATATCTCACATAGAACAATGTGAAACAGTTACCCTCCTATTGTGACAGTAAGCTAGATCCTGCTCCTGATTGATATTTTCCTACGGCTTATTCTTTATGGTAATGGTTTTAACTGGTTATGGATGACATGAGTTTAAGCTTGCCAGTTTATATGATATAGTACTATTTGTTACCTTAACGGTGGGCTGCAATCATGGACTGAATTTCTTCTTCTCATTATCTTTAATGTTCACGTTTCTCTCCATGTTGAACTTCAGGATCCTGAAAATGATGCATACTATCGCGGCTCCCGCTTCTGATAACCGGATGACTCCGTCAGCTGTTGCTGCTTGTATGGCACCTTTGCTGCTTCGTCCGCTTTTGGCTGGCGAATGTGAGCTAGAAGATGATTTTGACGTGAATGGCGACACCTCTGCTCAGCTTCTAGCTGCTGCTAATGCTGCTAACAATGCTCAGGCCATCATAACTACTCTCATTGAGGAGTATGATAATATATTTGATGTATGCTCTTGTCATCCGTATTACTAATTTCTTTCTTTGTGTGATGTATAGACTTATTCTATGTCTTATGTTTTTCATTCTGTTATTTCTGATAGAAAAGGAATCTGATCATTTTTCTGGAGTGCTGTAGTTTTTTTATTTGTTTGTTAAGTGAAGTTCTTTCAATCTTGACTTCTTAAAGTTGATGAAATTATCATTCAAAGGTATCTTTTGGGGAATACTTTTATTTCTTTAAAATGTTGCATTTGTGGCTCTTCATGATTATCTTATTAGTTTAAATTTATAACACTGTATGGTTATAGTCGATACCTGTTGATAAAACTGAGATTTCTTCTTCTAGAATTTTTGAATAAATATTGTACTTTGTTTCACTCATATTCAATTTTATTCAACATTCAAACATCTTTTTTTTTGAGACCCAACTCATCCACTTGAAAAATAAAACAAGGATCCAGAACAATGATTAAAATATTGTTTCTTTACTATAGACATGGAGTGTACCTCCCGGAGATTAACCCATGGGGTGAGGGATTTCATCCGTTCTATCCGCAGCACCATCCCCTGACTTGATGACAGTCCTAGACTAAAAGTGTATGTCTTCCAATCATTTACCGCCCTCATTCCACTCCAACCTTGGGACTGTGAAGGAGAAGCTTTGGCATAGTTCTCCATGCAATCCAATATCCTTAATGACCACACTTCCTGACAGATGCTTTGGGAGTTGCCTTTAGCTTTGAGTTCTCTATGAGATCTTTCTGCAATTTCCTCTACTTTTCCCGTCAAGATAGTGGTGGGATGTGAGATGACAATCATTGAGGCAGATGTAGAGTGGCTTGATATGTGAGGGCCTGCGAAACCAATGAGAAAGCTATTTAAGTGTAGGAAATTATCTCAAGCCAACGGTTATGGATATATGGCTCGCCAAGATGACCAGTGTAGAGGTTGGCGTGAAGTGATTCTGGGGAATAATTGGAGAGGGATAATATTTATTCCTTCACATGAAGAGAAAATCTCTTCCATGCGGCCATCATTCCTTGTTAGCTATCTCTTCCAAAATTTCGAACAGGTTAGGCTTTTGAGTCCTTTATGCCAATATATATATATATGGTCTTATTGTTTTTTACTTGGACAAATCCATATATATATATCCATATTAATGTATATCATTTCCAATTCTTCTGTTTTTCATTTCACAACTGGGCCATTTCGGTCACTAGTTTTTTTCCCTCATTGGTCATCATATGGGATTCAGTATTTGTCATCTTCATCCAATTTAGTTTGATACCCTTACATATGGTGGGGTATTGGACCTCAGGAGTTTTTACCTGCATGGGGATCTAAGGATCTACTTGCCCTGTGAAATATCTGGGACTTTCGGCCTATAATTACATGCCTATTGTTGCAATTTGTTCCTAGTTGCACAGGTTGCTGGGTGCAATCAGGACTCGTTTTGGATCTAATTAGCTGGGTGCCTGTAGGGGTATATCATGACTTCATATTATCCTTCCTGCCACTGGGGAAGAGATCCTTGGAAGAAACCTGTCAGTTTCCCTTTTGAACCATAAATATTTAGGCATTGGAGGATGTGCAGTCTTGGATACATTAATGGAATGCATTGCACAGAATCTAGACCAGTATGAGGATGAAAGAAAAGTGGTTTATTTTTTTCAGACTAAGAGGAGTAAAAACTTCCGTGAATAGGCTTTCATACTAATAGGCTGAATTCAAGGATTTGATGAGGGTAGTAATTGAAGGGTTCTTTGAAAATAACATTCAAAGATGGTTAGTGAAATGTGTCGGTTTAGCGATTTATGATCTTCAAAGATAGAGACATATAACTGATCTAAATTTTTACGACGTTTAAAATACCTATTACGACTCAATTATTAAAATGTCGGAGGAGAAGGTGCTAAAAGATTACAACTTTAACATACTATCATACGCCACTCATTGTTGATAAAATTTATAACTTCGGTTCACCTGAAATTGCATTATTCTGAAACTGAATTAATGCGTGAAAGCTTCTTTTTTGATGATTTATTGTTTAACCTTCTAGCGCCTAGTGTCCTTTTTCAGTTTGTTAGTGCTTCTATACTGCTGTCTCATGATGTAATCTGAATCCTTCTCTCTTTTTTTGCAGAGTGATAGCCTGCATAGTTGTGCGATTTCACCTGGTACCCATGTGGAGGAAAGTGGGAGTGATGAATCAAGTGACGATGGTAATTTAGATTTTAAAGGTGATGGATTCCATGATGCTGAAAACGATGTTGACCTGGAAGTAGAAGATGATCCTGACCGTGTACTGAGTGGAAAATTGAGTGAAAGCAGTGGGTATGCTGGGAGCGATCTTTATGATTATAAGGTATTGATACTTGTTGATAAATTTCAAGTGGCATACTGTAGAATCACTGTTTTGGTCTATTATATTAAATACCCCGTATAAGCTAATGATGCTATTCGTAGCTGGAAGGCACATGGTGATTGAATAGTAAAAGAGATTGAGTGACAATGCACTTCAGGCTCTTTGATTGTTTTTATTATTTTTATTCTATATTGAGGGAGTACAATAAATTGGTTTATTTGATTTTATTTGCTAACATTTAATTTACTTAAAATATGTTGAAGAACCTCTGACAAGTGAAAAATATCATATTCAGTGTTTCCTTTTTAGGACTCGTGGACCATCACTGTAGCTCTGCAGGTGCTCCTCGTTTGCTACAGTACAAGTTTTATAGGCAGTAACGTGGTTCTTCTTGTTCGAGTCGCATTTCAGATTTTTCATAGATACTAAAACATAGTTTTATTGTCAAAATTATTGACGGGAGTGAATTTATTATACGGTGGCTGTTGACGTATTTGAAATATTTCAGGAGTTTAACTTGTTTTGGGAAATTGAACGTACTTTATCAATATTTTTTGTGTTCAATTCAGTTCGTCTTGTCTCATTGTCGTGAGCAGTGGCATGAACTCAACTCGTATTCACATCATAGATGACTGTTATGTACATGTACCAGGACCGCAAAACAAGGGAACTAGCTAACTACTAGGAAACTGAGAAAGTAGAAATCTGTCCAACTAAGAACTGCACTCCTAATTATACGTTCTTTCCCACATTTAAAGATAAATTGTTGCTGTTGCATCCATTGGGTTCCTAGAGCTTCCTTTCTGTGTGTTGACTTTATGTTTTCTCTAATGTAGTATGCTTTGTATCAAATTCAGGTAATGGGTAGTTATAAACAGTTGCTGAAATGTTGGATTTTGTGTCAGTTTGTTTTTGTTGATTATTGATGAGGCTTGGGAGTGTTGTTGTCTTACTTTGTCCATGTGGTTGGTCTGGGACATTGTTTGCAAACTCAGTCCGATTGGACCACCTTGTGGCTTCTAGTTTGATAGTGAGGCACTGATGTGGAGGAACTAGAAAGGGCCAATCCATCGAATGGATTGCTTGCATCCACACATATGCCGGTTTATATAATGCTCACACAGTACCAGTTGTTTTATTTTAAGTGCTCCTGTCGATTTAGCCCTCTTTTATTTTTGGTAATGGATATGTGGTTTTCCAGGTTTATGGCGGTGATTCGGATGCTGACACTCCTAGAAGAAGTCAGCCTTCAGGGACAAATTTCGATTTACATGGAGTTTCTCAAGCTCAATCTAGTGACCATGAATTATCACATAAAGCACCAGAGAAATCATTAGTAGAAAAGAATGCTAATTGCGTGGAAGTCCAGGAGTCCCCCATGTCAATGGGAGACATTCTATCCTCTATGGAGCCAGGAATTTCTTTTCCTGTGCAAGGAACTGAATTGCGTGAAGAGAAGCCGTCAAGTAAACCAAACGGTTCAAGTGGCCATTCAAAACGGCCAAATTTTTGGGGCCGTAACATTGTAAGCGACTGGCATCCACGGAAACTATAATTTGATATTGCTGTCTGCGTGGTTTTCTGGTATATTGCTAATTTGTTTCCAACTCTGCAGGCATGGAAGAAGCATTCTGTGGATTCTATAGACTCTTCAGAGGAAGAAGAGTACGTGACTTTCATGACCAACTCATCCTTTTCATAGCTGATCAGAAATGGAATTTGATTTTTGTTTTCTGCTCTGTTTTTTGTCTGATAAATTACTCACTGGTCTTTCGGTTATCACTTTCTGTCCTAGGATTTGCATAGTTGACTTCAGGATGATGCGAATAGCACAAACTCGTTTCAATTCTGCATTCTGGCCTCTTCACGATTCTCCATTGCATGTTGTTCTTTGATGAATATAAACTCAAAATTTAATTCAATCGATGTTTCTGTCTGAAGTTGATTACGTTTTTTGACAGAACCATTCTAATTGGTTCGTGGGAATCTTTTTGCTGGACAAAACGGAGTAGCGTAGTATCTCTAAACCATTGAAAATAATTGAAAATAAGGAGTTGTTCAGATTGTGCGGAAATTTTTTGTAGTCTAGGATTGAAATTCTTTTCACTTCGAGAGAGCACACATGGTTGGGCTTCTTATGTTATGACCACACATGGTCTGGATTCTTTATCACTTTGAGGATATTATGGCCATATCTTGCCACGGTATTGGGCAGGCTCTATCCCTTAACACTATGACCTGCACATGGATGTCTGGAGGAAGGGTACTTTGGTGTTCTCCTGACAAGTTGTGAAACGGTTGCCTAGTTTGTTCTTTCTACTACTGTTGGGTCAGTGTGTTTGTTGATTTTTCGGACATTTATGGATCACTTTAATATTAGTACTACAAGTCAGTTCGTCCACCAATGGCTCAAATTAGTTTAGCAATATCACCTGGTTAATAGTGTCGCTATATCATGCAACAATTTGTGAGAGTTTGTAAAATACCTATTATTCGAACCATATCGATACAAACTCACAAAAAAAGGCAAAGAAACTAGAGACATAGACATCCCAAGGATAACTAATTTTTACTAGTTTAGAATTTAATGCTGAACTTGAACAGTTAGACGAACTTTTTTGATTCATACTCGATAAGTAGATTGATTTTTGAAAAAAAAGAAGGGTCGAGGGGAGTACAAATAAGATGGCCAATATTTGAATACTCCCTCTCTCTCTCTCCCTTTGTTCTTGTGCTTTTGACATTGAAATCAATATGGAAACTTATCAGTGCTTCATTATTAGGCTTGCTATTCAGAGGCTTGAGATTACAAAGAATGACTTGCTGAACAGGATTGCCAAAGAGGTATGATTATATTTTACCGTTCCAAGTAGAGAAGTAGAGGACTTCTATGTGAACAATGCTCCATTCTTTCTGAACAGGATTTTTGCTTTTTATGCACTAGTACCTTAATGATCTACTTCAACCTCCGTAATGTATTTGTGTATTTACCCAGGCCAAAGGCAATGCCATTTTACAAGCTAGTTTAGAAAGACGAAAGCAAGCTCTGCATGAACGTCGCCTGGCACTTGAGCAAGATGTAATTAACTGTCCTTTCTACAGTAGCGTATGAGCTATTATTGCTGCCGAGTCTTTTCTGCTTTGAAAATTCTGTTGTCCTGACTGCAGCAATGTGAACAGAAATATTGTGTGATGAAATGAAATGTTGGCTAACAAAATGTGAACTTTTGCTATCTCCTCTCTCGTGGATAGTTTTTCTGTCTCCTAGGTGTTCTTGAGCATAGATCCGGCTTGAGCCATAATGAATGTAATGATTCTCTGCTAATCAATGATACTTAAATATCTTGGTTTTGCTGAATATAGTATACGAAGGAAACTATTTGATGATTGTAGCTGCACAAGCTCTTTAATATGCCACAGGGTTAAAAATGTTTAGGTTGAGAGAATATGACTGTTGAGAGATTTATGGTTGCTGGTGGAACATTATTTGGCCACTCGTCAAATTTTCATGTGGGGTAGGGCTAATGAGCATAATCAAATACACAAGCAGATTTTATTTCTTATCATATACCATCATTATAAGTTTGGTTTTTTCACTTTCCAGTTTTGATAAACGGCCTAATATTCATTATCAAAATACAGTTTTTTCTATATTGCCAAGGATTATGCTTTTCCTACTTTGTTTTTTTTTTTTTTCTGTTCCTTGATGTCGTCTACTGTATGTTTTATTTTACTTTTTATTGTCAATAAAAAATGTCCTTTAAGAATGTAAGTTTCTGCAATTCGCTTCATCAATGTACTTATGATTCCTTTTTGTGGAGAACGTCAAATAACGTATTTTTTATTGAAAGTATTATCAGCATGCAGCTTATGAAAGCATTGAATTATGGGTTAAGCTTGATATTTCTTATTGTCGTGATATTTTTAATTGGATTATTGTGTTGTTCTGTTGTTACGTACAGTGTATACTACGTGCAAAGGTGGCAATTTGTTGTCAGGTGGCACTATTTTAGGCCAATTCCTATGCTTGGTCTGATCCTCTTGAGGATTGAAAACTGGTCCAACACTAGTGAGTCTGCATAGGATGGTCTGTTTTAAATGTGCCTGAATCCGAACCGGCAGACAGCGCAACAGTTCGTTTGCATGTGTATTTCATACATTGTCATAGCTAAAAATGTGCCTCAGAGTTTTCTCAACCGTTGATTCTATCCAATCTTGCGTCGCTTCTAATTCAGTCTTTAGGTCAAAAATGGCTTTTATCTGATTTTTCTCATGGTTGCTCTGGGTCAGTCAAAGCTGTGAAACTTCATTTGTAGAGCATAGCTACCTTTAACCGATTATTGTATCATTAGCCCAAGTCTACATCTAAAAATTTATAAACCCTATAGCTTTCTGCTTCTAAATGTGTTTCTCTATGAAATGTTGCTGTAGGTTGCGAGACTGCAAGAGCAGTTACAAGCGGAGAGGGATCTTCGAGCAGCTTTGGAAGTTGGTCTTAGTATATCATCTGGACAGTTTTCTAGTTCGCGAAACATGGACTCTAAGGTTGGTAGTTGCAACGTCACATTAGATTCTAATGCCCAGCTGGGCTCAGTTCAGGTTACATGCCTCGTGTAACATCTTTATTATCACTTGTTAAGCTATGAAGCTTGTCTGACATGTTTACTCAGTTGAGAAAGTTATTCGACTGTTGAATCATACGAGAAAATGCATTCCTGTTGAAATAGAAACCAGAGTAAGCCTTTCGTGGTTAGGGTTACACTTTCGTAGGACAAACCCTTGATGCTGAATGACAGTTTTCGTTCCGAAATCAACTTAAATAGTTCCATTTTATAATTTCTTCAAGCACAATAGGCGGTCTGTCTGTCTCTGAATCCAGATATTCACATTAGGTTGGGCTGAGGTTTAGAGCTTAGTGCTTCAGACATCACTCATCCCTGAAGATATTTGTATGTGAGCTCTACATTGTTTGTTAACTTATTTTTTTGTATGTTTTGTGAAGACGAGGGCAGAGCTCGAGGAGATTGCCCTTGCTGAAGCAGATGTAGCTAGATTGAAGCAGAAGGTTGCAGAACTTCATCTTCAACTTAATCAACATCGACAACATCACTATGGATCTCTCTCTGATAATTGTGACCATTTACAGAATGTTCAATCGTGAGATCCTAATTCCGATTTCTCCTTGAAAGGCGTATTTTTATATTAATTTTTCTACTGTCTGATGCATAAATAATTTGTGATTATAAGTCATTTGCAATCATTTGCAATCATTCAGACTCGTATGAATAAAAGTACTATTTATATATGCCACAAAAGATGTAATAAATTCTGTTGGAAAATAACAAGAAGTTTCGAACTAGTTCTCATGCTGGGATGATTCAGGATTGCTATTGAACATTCTATGCTGTTGAAGTCCGAAAACTAGATAATCTTGATATTTTGTGAGACAGAAAATTGTTGCAGTGTGTTGAGTAGTACGAGGGTTTTGTACACCAGAGATATGTAGACCTGTGGGTGATTCTTTTTGTAGAGCTTGCATGTTTTACGTCTTTTGATTCAGAACATATCGGTCTCTACTTTGATTTATAAAAATAGAAACGAATATTGGTGGCAAATGTAATATTAGTGCTGCATGGCAAGGATTATACTGTGACTATCTATGGTGACACCTCTTTGCTACCAACATGGTCGAGAACTGGGCTACCGCTTGCTCTTGAATGGATAATTGCCATAGAAAATGCTGCAAGCCCCTTTGTATTGGGAAAAAATTAGCACTTTCATCTCTCTCTCTCTCTCTCTCTCCCCCCCCTCTCCAACTCCGATCCATTCTTCTCCATTCAAATGCTCTTGTTCATGATGAAGAAAGAACATCATTCTGCCAAAACCATATGTTTCCAGTTCATGCATATCACACTATGCAATTTGAAGAAATCTTGGCATTATGAGATAATATATCAAGTTTCTGGGAGAAGGCGTTTGAATTGTCTATTCATGGAATCTGGAAATTGTTCTCCAAAACAAGAGTTTATGATACGTTGATGATGTATGGAGGAGAAATCTGTGTCTACGACATGATAAGTTTCTTTGAAGTTTTTGTGAGATCTTTCCAAGCTGTCATTATCAAATTTATTACATCATGTCATATGATAAGTAAACCTCCAATAATATTTGAAACTCCTTGATTATTTAATCAGAGCTCATTCTTCATGCTGGCATGAAAAATCAACCGAGCATATTTCTTTCTGACGTTCTATAATATTGTTCATGGAATTGCCTGTTAAATAGCCGCACTACCATTCTGCATTGTTGCCAACACGATTTGCCACCATGCATCAAACGGAAACAGATAAGAGCAACGTATTCACAATGCTATTGCAAGAAGTTAGTCCAGGGTTCTTGCGTCACTCATTCCATTGATCACGTTTTCTAGTACATCCAGTTTTGTCTGCTCATTAGCTGTGTCATCACTCTATTGGCATTAACCTGATCGATTGGATGGCTGCAGGAGGATTTTGCAACAGGATTTTGACATGAGTCTTGCTTTCTGCAATCATGAGAAGAAACAAAGGAGTGATGTATGGTTCTTCTCTTCTGTTTCATCCTTATTTGAACTATCTCCATATTTTGTCAGGCTTTCAGGATCCAATTTTATGCGCATGCAGATCATATCTTTATCTTGATTCATATGCACCGTATGGCCATCTTGGTAGGTGTTTGCCCATATGGATCTTGTTTTAGGCAAACGACCATGGATCTTTCATCCCATGCCACACATCCTACCTCTACTGATGCAGCCCTAAAGTGGGATGGGGCATTTACCTGGTGCATTGGCATTTCTTTCTGAAAGAGTAGTGTGCTTATGTGTGCTTGCTTAAGGAGAACTTGTGCTCAAGGATAGCCTTTCATGGGAGTTCATCAGGAACTGATCTGCTGCAGGATGCTGGTTCACAGGCACCGTCTGCGGGCAAGCAGCTCTCCCGAAAGATGTCCCTAGACTCACCAAGCTCGACGGACTCGAAGAGCATGGAGGCGTCTACCAGCATGTCTGCCGACATCAATTCCGGGGTCAACAGTTCCTCCAAACCCACAGAGGTCGGCGATCCGCTCGACACACGGCGGAGAGCGCCATTTTCTGGCGCCATACTGCAATTGCTTACCAATGTGCAATATGCTGCTGCAGGCAGTGGACTTTGACAGGCAGCCGTCGGTTGCATCGTCGACGCTGGTGGAGCTGACGGCACGGCTCGACTTCTTCAAGGAGCGGAGATCTCAGCTCATGAAGCAGCTCCACAGTCTTGACTTGAGCCATGGGGGGGCATCCTCCCAGGGGCTGAGGTTCAAAGCATCGCCGCCGTGGGCCAGCCCGCGATGAAGCTGGTGTCCATCCCGGTGCGTGCCACTTGTACATTCCAGGGGATGCTCCCTCCTACGCCCTGCATGAAATTCAATCATTCCTTTATTTTTCCTGTCTAACGCCAGAGTGTCTGCGGTACTAATACTCTGTAGGAAAGCTTCTTCTTCTTCGTCTTCTTCTTCTTCTTGCCCTTCTTGTTCTTCTTCTTCTTGCCCTTCTTGTTCTTCTTCTTCTCACTCTGATGTATATCGCTGCACGCTTTGGTGGTCTTGGTTGTGCTCTCCTCTGATCCATTTCTCTTCTGGATTTATTTTTTTTAAAACATTTGTATAGAATTTGAATCGCCAGACAGTCTTCCTAGCTTTCTCAGAACTGCACGGAAAAGCTGATGAGCATCACCTCCCTCTCTGTTTAACCCAATTTCTGGACCTTATTTGGGCATATTATATTCACAGCACCGGTCATTTATCTCGTTTGATCTGCTCTGCTCATAGTGTGGATACAAGGTTTAGTCAAATGGGAATGATCCTTCCAAATAGTGCACTTGGATTCATGTCCTAGTTGACTTTATGGTAATAATGTGTGAGATCGATGAAGATGTGAGCCTGCCACCCTTCATTTATTTTAACGAGACCCTAAAATCGTTGGTGAGCAAGCTGCATACCCAAATCATTAGGGGACACTCTGATTTTTGATCTTCTCATTATGGCCCAGTTAATGAGACAACGTAATGGCCTGACCATGACGTCGTTGCATGCCAAATTTGCTCACAAGTTCATCTCTCTGCGGCAAAAAAGCCTTGCTTCCGGAATTTGATAAAGCAACACATAATTATTTTGGTAATATGCCAACAATTACCCATATTACTGAGATAATCCCTATAGTCATTTATTAATTAATTGTCCTCCCATAAAAAATTATGGGGCCGTTCCACTCTGTCCTATATCTCTACACATCATATGCTAAATAGACCACCAAAAAACAACATGAGAGGAACTCATGTTTTACTTTCTTGCAGGCAGACGACACGAGTACAATTCTTACAAGGGTGACCTCCGCTTCTCCCGCTTGGCCGAATTTACATGCCCATTTGTGTGCGCTAGCACTTCTTGCCTCTAGGAGTAGAATGGAGGTTAGGTCAACCCACCAAGTACGAATTTACGAGCTTGTCTTCTTCATGTTAGACCTTGAAATGAACTATTGCTGATGAACTAAGATTGTCAAGTAAACCCACCAAGTACGAAGTTCCAAATCGTCAGTCTAGCAGGTTCGCTTCTTCTTCCCCCGCATCAAGCAAGATAGAGGTCGGGCTTCTTTAGCGACGACCCGTTTGAGTGTGCAAATATTTAAAAGTTCATCAAGCGAGTTGATGGGTTCTCAGAAAGCGCATGGGAGTTTCTCTTGTTGGTCAGTTTACGTGTCTCCGAAATCGGCCGCGGGATCAACGCCTCTCAGAGCTTTTAGAGAAAACAGAAAGGTCCAAAGGAGGTGGATGCGCAGTTTTGCTTTGATGATACGGATGTGCGTGAAACGGAGACAGATCACTCTGCACAATGAAACGAATCCCTGAACCGTACAGATTAACGACCTGCATGAATTCCCTGAGGCGCAGACTGTCGAACCTGAGCTTCCTCTATCCTAGTGAAGCTTCTTTCTTCCTAAGATTATGGTTCCCCGCTTATCCGATGGATCAATCCTCCAAAGAAGGTAAACGAGGACCTGCCAATCCCTCACAGCTCACAGTCTTTATTCCTCTCTCTTTTCGCCCATCCGTGGGAGCATTCAGCTCTGAAGAAGTAACATGGAATATTTAGGCTGAAGAAGAAGATTACGGAGTCGATTCAGCACTGATACAAAGCATGTGTTCTACATGATACATAGGGCTGACTTTGTGAGTATGCTCCTGGATGAACCATATCGTCCGTAACTAACATACGTATCACAGACAACGCTAGATTTGAAGTTACACAGATCACACCTCTATTTCAAATAAATCTCATGCAAAAACATGGAAGGATAGAGAGACCAGAGCAAGCCCGTTGACGAGAAACATGCAGAGTGAAACGTACATGACAGGAGGAGCTCGATGCATAGTGTAACATTTATGGGAAAAAAATATTTGATAGCTCTATCTTCGCCGACTAAGGACATGCGAACCCGATCGGCAGGGTCACGTTACATGAATTCAGAAGAAGCCTGATATCGCCTGGGATGGCAATGTTGATACCCAGGATCTTCGCTCTGACCGCAATGCAAAGGCATGTAGCGGCCTGGTTCGCTGACAGGGTTCTGATTAGAGAACAGCAGGGCCCGTTAGGATCTCCGATGCCAAAGATTTTCAGGATGAACAGCACCGGGCGGCAAATAACTAGGGATAACACGTTAATAACACAGCCAATAAGCGAAATGGGTTGTGGAGGAGGTGGAGGCAACGACACCGGGACAGGGCTTTGGCCGGAAACTAATGAAGAGAACAGCAAATGGAAGATGAGGAGAGCAGCTGTGACATGAGATTTTGAAGCCATAATGAGTCTGCTAATAGAACACCTAAGAGCGGAGGATTGGAGGAATGGGGAGGGTGAACTTATAGTTCTCGTTCTAACAGCAGCGAGAGGTGACTCTTCCAGGAGTTTCTTTCTTGAAAATTTAGCAGATACAACCGACAGTTGGCTGCTGGAATTGATTGGAGCCGTAGTAGGACTTTCGGGCTGTTATCAGGCTTACGTTTGCTGGTCTTATAAATCCGTTGACTATCTCATTTATTGGACCGCAGCTACAACTACGTGGTGCGTAAGGCGGGGAGACGATTTGGAGGCCGACCTCTTCAATGAAAAGATTTATTGAAAATAAGATTATGTATAGGTGCATTCCATGTCGCATTTCTTACGTAGCTTAAGCTCGTTGAAGAATCTTGGATTCTGAGGTGAACGGATGCTCGACGTAGAACGAGATGTACCGGTATAAGAGGATTGTATTAATGTTTTCTACTTCCAAGATGTCGAGCGCTTATGTTGTTGCACGGATCTTCTTGACTAACAGTGAACAAGGACTATTATCTCCACAATAATATATCCTGTTTGCAGTTGTTAAGCTTATTGTACCGGGAACGAAAATATGCTAAATTAAGGGGTTAGCTTCCTGATCCGCAGCGTTGACTGTCTGTCGCTATTGATTAACGCAAAAATTTGGAAATGGTAATACAGCTTGGGTTCACACTGCCTTAGGACAAGAAAATCTTTTCTTTTATTTTTCTCACTAATATTATTTATGGTCAACCCACCCTGAAATTAAGGATGGAGTCATGGTCCACCACATTCCCAACTACTTTTACCCGTCATAATGATTTTTAATTGAAAAGTCATATTGAGATTCTGCTTTGACTGTCCACAATCACCAAATTGGCTTGACTTAAGGGAATGATGGCAAGTTGACTTGGGGGACCGGCAGACAGCAGTGCATGCACGGCATTGCTTCAGCTGACCAGCTAAACGCCAGCCGTGGGTTAACATGCCACTAATCGCATCCCGATGGAATGTATGCATGCAGTAAGTTTTGAATCCGTGGGGAGTGGGATAACCAGGCGTTCACGCCTCAAAAAAGATACTTGTCCCCGGTAAAAGAGCTCATCGTTAATCACGGTCTGACTACAAGAAAGGTGAAAAATATTAGCTTGCCTTCTATTTAACTGCAAGACGATGGTTCTTCATAAAAATCTGTGAGGAGCCTCCCATAGCTATGTCAAAACCTTTGCCTTTTGCACTCGCCTTCTGCGTAGTATTTAGCTGTTGGAGGATGGTGATGGGTTGATTGTGGTAATCTGTCTGGATTAGTGATTGAGCCTTGCAAGATTTTATAGCCTGTGATATTCACATATCGTAAGAGCTTAGTTTGCTTGTTAAAGTCACCAACTAATGATTGTCCATGATTAATCCCTCAAGAATCTAAGAATAAGATTCTCCACTATAGCAATTACATTGTTTTACATTTCTCAAACATTAAAAACTGTTATACAATTACATCCTTAGGCTCTTGTCTCAATGCTTAGAGAAGTCACGTGCCACATTTTCAAGAACTCCTATATTCTATATAAATATACTTGAGTAATTCATGTGCTTAGGTCAATCTAGACCTTTCAATTTCAAAGAAATTAGTTGGGGGCTAATCCTATCTGGTGACTTTAGAACTATGAACTTAGAAAATCACTATTTTAGGAAATGTTTGGTGTGTGCTAAAGCCCTAAATCTAGTGGAGCATGAAGGATGGCATCTTCATATATTTTAGTTTACATTTTTGACCTAATTAATTAAGGTATGCAAGTAAAAAAATAATAGGATTTTGAGAAGCTTAAACCACCTTTTCCCTCTCCATTTTTTTTGCCCTTAGTATGTCAAAAATCTAAAGATGGGTCTTGAAAAATGGAAGGATTTGCTCTTAAGGGATCCCTTTCTATGATCACCCTCCCTGTCCCTTGAGGCACATCTTGTGGGGGGTGGTGTGGAACAATGAAAAAAAGGTATAATTAGATAGGGGTCCTTGAAAACTAGGAATTAACAAATATCCCTTGGAAGTATATCTAATAACCTATGTATTTCAAGAACTGATTCAACCAAAATATGTACTTAAAAAATGCAATTTTTTAAAGTACATATTTTGGCCAACGGGGGAAGCCGGAGTGGCCAACGGTCATATCTCCGACGGTCGCGCTAACCCATCTTGCTTCCTCTCGGCTTTCTTGCCCCCCCTCTCCTCTTCTCTCTCTCGTGCAGAGGAAGAAGGAAGATAAGAGGGAAAACTGCGGATTGGGAGGTGAGATGACGACTGGAGGAGGAAGACATGGTGCGGAAGAGGACCCGGATTTCGATTTCGACTTGGAGCGGAGCAGCGGCGTGGTGGAGGTAAGTATGGCTGTGGAAGACCCGGATTTCGATTTGGAGAGGGCTGTCTGCAGCCACGGGCTGTTCATGATGGCGCCCAATCGATGGGATCCCACCACCCGCACCTTCCAGCGACCCCTCCGCCTGCGCTGCTCGTCCTCTTCGTCCTCCCCCCTTTTCGTCGTCGTCCGCATCTCCCACCCGTTCCCCAGGCCTTCTCTCCTCCGCATCTTCGTCTTCGGAGCGGACGCTCTCTCCCTTCCCCATCAACAGTCCTTGCTGGTACAGTCCCACCTCTCTCTCTCTACTCTCTCTAGAAGCACGGGCCTGATTTTTCCGGTTATTACAGGCTCAGGTCAGGCGGATGCTTCGGATCAGCGAAGCGGACGATCGGGCAGTGAGGGAGTTCCACAAGGTTCACCGTGTCGCCAAGGAGAGGGGCTTCGGGCGGGTTTTCCGATCACCCTCGCTGTTTGAAGACATGGTCAAGTGCATCCTTCTCTGCAACTGCCAGTGAGTGACTACTCCTCTGCCAACCAACCTCATTCACCACCTACCCCCTCAAATGAAATAATGATTAATTATGGAAAAATGAAGCGTTTCTGCGCCCATTTCAGCACTAGCTTCGCTTGAATCCTATCGTTTGCATTGTTTGATTGAGTTCTTCATTTCCTCGCAGCAATCTGCGTGCCTTGCTTAGAGATGCATGAATTCTTGTCGCCATGCTCTTTTTATGCAATTAGTCTAGAAGAACTTCGACCGCCATGGCTGACTATTCTGATCCAGGTGGTCAAGGACTTTGTCGATGGCCAGAGCGCTATGTGAACTTCAATCAGAGTTAAAAGATGGCTCAGTCGTCAAGAATCTTCAGCCGAGGACCCCTCAGAAGAAAGAACTCAAAAGAAAGAACTCTCGTCAGGAAAAAAGCAAGCTCAGGTTAAGTTTTGTGGGGGAAGAAGCTGAAGCATCATCAACATGTGGAACTTCAGGGAACTCTGGTGACGACCTTCATCAATATCCAAAACGGCAGAGGTTTGACTCAAGCATCAATCACAAACCTCGTCAACTCCTGGGGATAACTGATGCAGAAGAGATTCTCTCTCCTCTCCTCTTACCTGAGATTGGAGATTTTCCTAGCCCCGAAGAACTGGCGGGTCTTGATGAAAATTTCCTGGCAAGACGCTGTGCTCTTGGGTACCGAGCAAAGCGCATACGATCACTTGCTCGAGCCGTAGTGGAGAAGAAGATCCAACTAGACGAACTTGAAGAAACATGTGACGTATCGGATCCATCAAGCTATGAGCAACTGAATGAAAAATTATCTTGTTTAGATGGGTTTGGTCCTTTCACATGTGCCAATGTCCTCATGTGCATGGGATTTTATCATAAGATCCCATCAGACTCTGAGACTATTAGGCACTTGAGGCAGGTGGGTGGCCCTTTTTTCTTCCATTTTCTTGACACTCTTCTCCAAAATTGTATCCTGATGCTTCATGGAATTTTTCGAATGCTCCATGCAGTTCCATTCACAGAGCTGTGCCACCATTAGAATGGTTGACAAGCATGTTGATGATATATATGGAGAGTTTGCTCCCTTCCAATTTTTGGCTTACTGGTATGAATCATTCCTTCCCAGAGTTTCTCTCTACTAGTCATCTTAACTTCACTTTTTTGGGTATAATTGTTGTATATTTATTCTCTCTTTCTTTTGTTTTTAACCAGGTCTGAGCTGTGGAATTTTTATGAGCAAATGTTTGGAAAGACAAGCGAAATGGCCCAATCTGACTATCAACTCATCACGGCAAGCAATATGAAGGACCAGAGGATGATCAAAAGGCAGGGTTGAGAGTATCCTTGGAAAACAGCCACTAATGGAGGTTCAAAGGGACTCCCCAACAACGCCATTTTCTCAGTGTTACCTGTTATCCAGCCTCTAGCAGAAGAGCTGCGGTTAGACTTTGCTGTGAATGCTCTTTAGGACAGGATGTGATCCTTGGAGTGAGCTGAAATATATCCCACCTCAGACGTTGGCATGTCTACAAGGTTGTTGGCCTGGATTCTGCCTATCGTCCCCATCCTTTGAGCTTTTCTGTGATCTTAGTGTGCTTCTGAAACGTGCCAAAAGATATCTATGGGCAGGCATAGGCCATGGGCGGGTCGCCCCCTTTCTTAACAAGGACGTCGGATCTAGCAGGTGGGGGAGGATGCTACGCCTCCGACGTCATGGAGCAAGGTTCCTACTGGGGGCCTCAGTGTGCGCTTGAGCGGCACATAGGTGCGTGGACGTGCAGCGGACATGCCGTGGCTGGATGGCACGCATGATGAGTGCGGCAGCACAGCACAGTATGCGCTGCAGTGCATGGGAGGTGCCGGGGCAGGCGGTGGACTTTGCTAGTGTGGGTCAAGGCCCTTATGGGTCTCACTGGCTGCTAGCAGTGTGCGGCATGGCACCGAGACATGAGAGGCAACGTGCGGTGAGCGTGCGTGTGGGGCAGACGCGTGGTTGAGGCCGACTGCCGGCGGCCTGTGCGTGCAGCATGGGCATAACTGCCGGGGGATAACCAGCACGCGCCCCAGATGTGTTGGGTGGCTGGTGCAAAGCGTGCTAGATAAGGAAGGCAGGACGTGGCCACGTCTTGCCTAAGGAAAGTATAGTTAGAGAAAGAGGTGGCCCATTCAATCATGGAAGGGGACAGACACCCCGGTTTCACCTCTACAAATGGGGGGGGAGGGGGGTGTGCCTTTGACTTGGTTGAGGTAGAGGCAACGAGACGAGCTCTCTCCCTGTCCTTCCTCACTTCTCCTCCTTGTGTTTGAGGATTGAAGTAGAAACCACCTTACTATGATACCTCTTGTTTATGATTCCACGAATTCTCTTGACGATTGGGGAAAGGAAGGGCTACTAAGGCCTCACATGAGCAATCTAAGCGTCTGTGTGACATCTGTCCATTGACATTTCTACTTGTAACCTCGGTTAAGCATTTTTTTAATTAATATTTCTTGATATACATATATCCATGAATATATATATAGCAAAGCCTTTAAGAATGAGGTAACCATGCGTTGAAATGGTCAATGTTGACTTTTCAAATCCATATATGAAGTTGTGGTAGAGAGGACATGGTTGACTTCTGCCAGGTCTCTGCTGTAGTTTGGTGACTGTGTGGGGTTGGTAATTGGCAATAAAATATCCAAGGAAATTTGTGACCCAGTTTTTATTTGGAAATAGTTAAAAGCTATTTATAGAATAATAAAGGAAAATACTCCTGATAATTCTTCAATGGTAATTAATATTCAATATCTCCCATATGATTTCTGCCATTTGAGAACCCCCCTTTGCTCTAAGATGCATGAGTGGTTCTGCACTTAGCCTCCTCAGCTTCAGCTTATTTTGTTTTCCCCTTTGAACCTGAAGTTGCATCACTAAGACGGGTGGGTCTAAAGGAGGAAGCTTTAGCTTCCAAACATCTGGTTGATATGATTTTCAGTGGATGTATGTAGCTTTAAATTTATTTTTAATAGAAATGTAATATTCGATTTCATGGGCACCAGGAATATTTTACTCTGTTGGAGTATAATTATTTGTCCTTTTTTATTTATTATTATTTTATTTATTTAAATCCCTATCCTCAGACTGATTTGGTCCGACCCAATTCGATTTCTAGAGTTTTTATCCTCCGGCAGAGAGATTTCCTCATAGGATGGTAATAGAGCTGAGCCGGGAGATATTTCTTTTCTGGCGGAGGTCGCCAGGTTGGAGTGGATAAGGGGGATCTTCGAAACCCTGGGAGGAGCTCGGCGACCAAAGCGGACGGCCGGAGAAGAAACTGGAGGGGCAGGAGGGAGAGCGTGGAGAGTTACCTGAGGGACGTGGGATGATGCTAGCTTGATGAGGTGAGGAAATTTCGCCGCGGTTCCTTTTTTTTTTTTTTCTCTAGGTGGCCATTCGTTTGACGTGTAGACGGCGGCGACTGGTGGGGTGTTTGGGGGGGGGAGAGAGATTGGTTCGGGGTTCCTATGAGTTTGACGGCGTGGGCGGTTGCTGGGGAGCAAGTTTGGGGGAAGGGGGACCTGGGGTTGACTTCTTCTTTGGCTGTGTTTGCGGGGAACAGCGGACGGGCTGTTGAATCTGTAGAAGTGTGGTTTATGTGGTCGGTACCTTGGGGTTCGTTCCATGGTAACAAGCCATCGTACCTCTTAATATCATCCATCAGAGGTGATGTCAAGCTTCTCGGAAGAGTTTGAAGCGTTCTTCCTTTCAAGGGTTGAGGAGATGTACTATGGGCACGTCAATGAAATTATGAGGAGATTATAGTTGCTATGAGGCATCACAGAAATGTGTGAAACATTTGAGGGAAAACCATCGAAAGGGTCCTGCGGTTTGTTCACGTCAATGAAATCATGAATTGTCTATGATCGAAAGCAGTTATGATGAGATGATTCCTTGTTTCCTGGAACACACATGATACCTTGGGTAAAATAAGGTTAGGGCTGTCAGAGCAGTCTGGGAGCACTTCAAAGTCTGCGGTGTTGATGCAGTCCGTCAACTAGGCATTGGGATTCAGAAGGCGAGAGACAATCCTTTCAAGTCATTGGGGGAGTGGGGTCTAAATGCTGTCACAAGGTTATGCCAGAGGTCTATTTATGCTGTCGAATGATAACTTGGCTGGAGCTTTCTGGGAGGCTTTTCACTATCCCTGGGATTCAAGGATGGTAAATTAGGTCGTCAGGAGGTTTTTAGTTTCAGTGTATGGTCCCTGTGACTACAGAGACATGGGTGAATTTGTGTATTCAGGAATTGAGAGGGTTGAAAGAGGCTGTCGTAAGATATGGAGGGTGGGAATATAAATATTTGGTCAGTTGATCCGAGATTATCCTGTTGCATCGAAACTATTAGACTAATTGGATGGATTTGTGCTCTCTTCCGAATGTCACTGAGTATTCTCGAAATCTGATGTGTAAGGCCTCACACGTTTTGTCACGAACCATCTTCTTATTTGACTTAATACGAGGGGCAGCAGTAAATTAAAGATAATTTTCAGGTAAGCAAGAACTTTGATTTCATTGAAAGGGTTTGCTGAAATAATCACAGATAGAATGGCCTTAATAAGAAGCTTAGGTGGCAATGAGCAACGTGTTATAATGGAATCAACTGGGAAAGTGGGAATTATTAAGAAAGCAATATCAACGACGCATCTTAAGCAGGAATCGTAGCTTTTAATGTGCCACCTTGGCAGAAAAATAGGATGGGTAGGAATGGATCTTACCCACGTAGGCTAGTGGCCTTTCATTGAAGTATATTTTCTTAGCAGGCAAAGGCAAAATGTTGGTACTTGCATGCATAGAGCATTGTTGCTGCGAGTTCGCCCTGTTTATGATGGGGAACAGGGCTCTGTGAACAGAACACATATTTTTGTTATATCATTCATATGGGTCATTATTTCATTAAGTATTTAGATTTGCAAATAAAATTATGTGAATCTTTTTGTCGTTTTCGATGTCAAAAAAATTTAGATTATTTATTATTGAAAATTGGGAAGAGGCACCAATACTGCACCTTGTGTTGCCAAGCCAGTGGGAGCAGTATTGTTCTACTGAATTGCCTCGGTTTTGATATGACATTTGACGAAGAGGTTAGGTAAAGTGGTTGAAGGAAGAAGGTAAAAACACAGCCTATTTTTGTTCCATAGCGATCTTTAGGACAATGAATTGGATGGGTTGAATCCATCTGGGCAAGAGATAATTCCGGGTTAATAGTTTTTTTTTTCTCAAGGCACCATCATTAGACTTTTGATTGATTTATTCAGTAAGAAGATTCTTTGAGGATCCAGGTCAATATCCATCACTTGTTCCCAAGTTGAAGTGCTTATCAGTTCCTGCTCAGAGTAGGAAGTAAAGACATGTGATGGTATTGATGCTAATAAATTCTGCAGTTTGGATGTCTTTTGATGAATTTTTTCTCTTTGGATGATTTTCCTTTGATTTTTTGCTTTGGTGTTTGGGTTATCATATAGGTCATTAAAAGGCTTTCTTTACTGAGTCCCATGGAAGGCATCTCTTAATTCAAAATTTGAATTCTAATTTCATTCTTACCTCAAAAAGCAATGAGTGTGGAAGTGTTTGGATTCAAATAAATTGGCAAGCAAAGTGGGTGTTGAAAAAATATCAGGAATATGATGGCTAGGAGATTGAGTTAGATTATTTGGTGGGAGGAACAATGCAAGATAATTTCCCCTTATGTCTGTTAATCTCCCCACTCTCCTATAATAAGGAAAAAGAAATACTTAATGATCAAAGTTAATATTCATCAGATTTATATTAGAAAACTCTGAGAACGTGTTAACCAGTCTTTCTTTTAGAAGTTATGGCAATGGGGCAACAATGTCTTAGTGACTGGGTTGTGTTTCTGTAGTCGTATTTGAGGACCACACTGGTCTATCAAGAAATCTTGGAGATTACGGGAATGTGGCCTGATTCCTTCTCCTTTCCTTATGTTTTTTTGGCCACAGGCATAGTTCTTGCTCACAGTACGCTGATTTTCTTTGACCGTGTATTTTTGTTTTTCAGACGAATGGTACATTAGCGACATCGAGATTTTGTGTTCTGTGTACGTGATCTTCAGTTGCATAGGCATCATTGGCTGTGGTAATTGGGTTTCATGTCAGTAATGGGCTCCCCTATGGTGTCTCCTGAGGATGTCCTGGAATCACTGATGAATGATGGGACAGTTGATTCTATCAGGTTGAAGATAATCAATCAACTGAAGGCTAACGTAAGTCTTGCCTTTCAAGATTTGGGCCCACTTATAAATCAGGCATGCGGTACAGTTCGTTCCGGTTTTTGCATGCAGATTGTTAGTACAATATGATTTTACAGCGACTGTGGATTGTAATCATGTTTTCCATTTTTTGCTTTGGTTTGCTCTTTACCTGCAGCTCGTTCATCAAGCCTTATTTCTTTAAATGGTTTTGTGCTGACTTAGACTAGGTTATGTTTACAGAAATAGCCTGTGCTTTAACTTTGAATCTATGAGATTATTCTTGACATGCCTGCGACCCGGTATGGCTACAACTGAACCTACTATGTCATTGGACCATAATTATAGGATGAAAACTCACTAGGAAATCATCATTGGGAGCAGAGACTAGCAGATTCAAGTTACGATCTATCCATAGATAATGTCCAATACATATACCGATCAGTGGTAAAATATTTGGCCCATGTACATTGGTAGGGTATTTTTTATTTGATTCTAGGAGTAAATCTTTCTCTATTCTGGCAGTGGAATAATACAGTCGCTCCACCCTTCTGGGAACTCTGGAGATATTCTAGACAATCTTTCAGCATTCAGATTTTTAGCAATAGCTGAAATCCCATAGTTCTATTTTGGAGTCCTGCCGAATTTGAATCGGTGGCGGAAAGGCCTCAGATAGGGCATTTGGACTCCAACTCCAGTTTTTGGAACATCATCCATTGAGTCCTGGGCCTATACTTTCTTCTCACGATGAGGATTTATCTTCTGATATTCTGCATCAGATATTGGGCATGGCATAGACTCTTTAGCGATCTTAAAAATTCGGATGGCATTTTGCTCGCTGGAAAGCTTTTAAATTTTCCTTCATCATTTATTGTCCATTAAACAAACATTCGGTCTATATCATATACTACACTGCATCGGAGGATTGTTGTCAGGGAATGGTCGGATGGTAGGTTTGGGTCTGTCCTCGGAAGACATGCTAGATCTTGAAGACCAGGTCTGGCTTGCCCGCATATCTGATTTATTACACGGATAATTAGGGAACCCAGTTAGAATTCAGAAGAATATCACAAAATATGCATTCTTTTGGGTTTTGTCTTTTTTTAGAATTCGTCTCCAAGTGAAAATCATATGAAATCTCGGCCAATTTGCTGAATTTTGGTGAAAACTTGATTGGCAAACCGCGTCACCGTTGCAGTGGGTTCTAATCCCGTATTCTCATTTCTCTCCTGGGTGGTGCAGGAAGAGCTCAAGAACTATACAATCTCAATGGTCGAGCGGAGTAAAGTGCTTAACACCCCTGGTGCAGAGAAACAGACCAAGCGCGAGCTGTTCGATGCGCTCCGGCAGGAACTAGAGTAAGCAGCTTAATGACACTTATTTCTCTCAAACTTGCATTAACTCGGAATTAAACTTGGTTTTCGTCGAAGGTCTAATTTCTTAAAGAGGAAGCTACCATTTTGGGCTGGGTCTTAACTCTGCTGGCTAGCAATTTGCAGAACTTCAGTGCTTGAGAAAGCCTCGAGAGCTGTCTGGGAGTTGATCCTTGACGACAAAAACTTGGGGAAAGAGATCAGCGACACTGTGGAGAGAGTGTATAAGAAGCTGAGCGGCTGCGAGCAGACAGTTCTTCCCACCCCCAGCAGCCATCCTCCTCCGACTGAGAGGGGAGGGGGCGAAAAGGAGTATGCGAAGGAGAAAGAGGCTCTGGATTCCTCGGGAAAGAAGGGATCTCAGGTGGAGGCTGGCGGGCCAGGGAGAGAGGGCGAAAGAGAGCTGCCTATGGATGTAGACGCCTCAACCTCAAGGAGGAAGCGAAGCTTCAGTGAGATGAGCTCGCAGTCCATGGATGTAGACTCTGTCGAAGCCTTCTCCTCTGGACCTTAATTATGACTGTACAGTACCTCTTGTCCCAGCCCTTGATAATTGCCATCGGGTGGGTGAGCTGAGCTCAAACTCTTGTGGGGGAGATGGGTTCGGCTTATTGTCTCATGTTCCTTCATCGTACCAGAAGTTGCCATGGCGAAAGAAATTGATCTTCTGCAGTCTACTTCCTGCTCTTCTTCTACCCACGATCCCCCCTAAGCTTCCCTTTTCGGTGATCATCAGCAGGAGCTGGCATCATATAAATGCACATACATTGCATCGTTCCGTATACATGCCAAGGTTTTAAGTAAACTACCTCTCACAAGAGAGGCCAGCCCACAAGGCTGAAGAGAGGCAAAATGAATATACACAGTTCAATCAGCCAGTGGAGACATTAAGCCCACTAGACCAGCCACAGAGGAAAAAAGAAAACTGATTTCTAACGGTATGATCGCCCAACCTAAACAACCAGTGTTGGGGACTGTACATCGGCAGGATGCATCAAGTGATTTGCTGTGAAGCGGTGTCACTGAGAGGCTGCAAAATGGTTAAAAATAGTCTCCAGTGTTGACTGACTGACGCTGTATTCTGCTATACCAAGTCTCCTCCTAGACAGTGGGAAGAACAGGCAAGGACACTCAGATGAAGATCACCAATAAAATGTGTAGGAAACACTATATTCATACCTGTGGTGCTCAGTGTGTCCAAATATGTCGGCCAAAGATGAACTTTCTCCATATGGCAACTGACACAAAGAAATCAGATCGATGGTGTTACTGACTGAGAAACCAACCCTAAAAGTTCATCTTTATATGATACCAGAAATACATTAGTATAGTGAGCTTAAACAGTCATGGAAGAAACTCTAGGATCACGTATTTGCTGATGAAGGGGGCAGAGGAAAGTCGCGCATTTTCGTCTAAACATAGATCATCATTATTTTTTCAAGTTGTTCATTAGTCTCCCAAAATAAGAAACGCCGGCTACATTTTTTACAATATCCAAGACAGGAATCTATGACTCCGTACAGTTACTGCGACTCACTTACGTACCCTCTACACTCAGAATAGCAAATCTACCATAGTTTTGGTCAAAAAGTCTGTAAGCCCCAGCCAAAAAACCAATAACTGACTCACTCAAGCAGCGTCTCTATCCCTAATATGGGTGTGAAGCCCCTCACATGGAGGAAATAGGCAGTGCGGGCACATATGATGGAGGCCCATCGGCATAACGCAGCAACAGCACGGCATGCATGGAAGAGCATGAAGTGTGCAGGAGGTGCGTCGCATGGGACGTGAGAGCATTGGAGGTTCGTGTATGGAGTGGACAGAAATATAGGGTCGGTGAAGCATGCATGTTTGGCTCAGGCAGGCGACTCTGTCAACATAAGAGGTCTAGAGGGTGCGTTCCATAAACCTTTGACTCCGCTGTGGCATGGCATGATGATGGCACGGAGTGGCAAGGTAGTGACATGGTGTGGCATCAGCGTTGTGCTATACATCTATGGAGGTTGATTATTACTCCGTCCCTTCCTTCAATTTCCATAACTAAGCACCTTTGCCAAATCATGAACCCAGTCTAAAGTGGGTCCATACTCCTCGCTTCTGGGGGCATTGATCTGAAGCATGATCCCCGTGAGTTTGATTTGGGGCGGTTGTTAGCAGTGTCTCCATAATTTTTACTGTTTCCTTCTACCCATCTTTTAGATTCTTATGTCTCCATAGTTTTTAATGTTTCTTTCTTTCCCTTTTGAGAGGTGACTATCTCCATAGATTCTTAGTTCTCCCTATTCACTGTATCTGTAACAACAAACAAGAGAGAAGTGCAATAACTAGGCCATAATTTGGAATAAGATTTAGTCAAAGGTGTCAGCTTTACTCGTTTGCAGTCGACTTCATATATTAATCTATGAACAAAGGGAAAATAAAAAAAATATTTCTAAAGAAGAGAAATGATCATAAAACTACAGATTTAGAATATGAAATTATCAACGTGCACTATCTCAGCCACAATAGAAATAAACGAAATTGGAGTTCATAATTGCGGAAATTAGAAAAATTTACCTGATATTTAGTACTCAATCCATTGCACCCATGAAATGTTGCCCCGTGGAATGAAGTTAGAATGAATTTGTCGATCGAGAAAAACTTTTCTGTAGCCAGCCACCATTCAGAAAATATTCTCAAAGGTATACCACCTAACAGGAAGCAGAAATCAATATTAAATGTTGCCCAAACATAATTTTCTCAAGTTAAAAAGCAGAACGTTTTCCTAGATGATGCTACCCGAGGCAACTAGAAGATTGCTGTTTTGAAAAATGGACAAGCTTCTGTAAAGGCCATTGACAAGGCTACGAACGGTCTGCATACATTTCCATTAAACAGCAAGGAAAAAGAAATGGCATACAGAAGGATACAACATCTAGCATACAAAGTTGAACGACACGTGAACATTTTTAAAGGATGTTTTCTTCAGTAATCTGTTGATTAATGTTCCACTATCCATTATTTTCAACACTTGATTTTCATTCTTTTAAAAGAGCAGGAAAATAATTCGTTGTCTTTCATGTTCAAGTTCTTCTGGACGGTTCTCAACACAGATATTTTACAGATATTGTATTGGAGATTTGAAAGACTGACACATACATATACATGCAAAGGAGTGTACACATGCACAGTCGTCTGTGAATGTAGGATAAACTGATATAAAAAACCTTTGGATGTTCGACGTCAAGTGATCTACATGACAGTTTGTCCATCGTTACCGCTTTGTAGACAAGCATATCATATTTCAAACTCCGAAAAAAAGAGTCTAAAGCAGACATGCTTATACTTCCGATAAAAGGAATGAGGGAGGCTCCAGTAGAAAAATATTGTAAGGGTAAAAAGCTTCGGACATGAACCTATTCCCTGGCAATAGTCAGGAATTCACAGCTCAGTGGAACCATATTCTTCTTTTCCTCGGGATTCCGTGAGTTGAGATAAAGGCAACTGGACAGGTTTGGGAAACATATCCTAGTCTAGAAAAATCATCTATAAAGTGAGTTCCTCCAATTTGAACTATTTCCTTCAATTTTCGATGATTGATTTTTTAAAACATAAATGAGGCCACATGATTCTGGAAATTGTTGCAGTTTTTGTAAGAGATAGGGCAGTCTATTTGAACAAAATAAAATGGGGAAGGAGCTATGCCTCATAATACAATGAGAATGTGCATTGCCCAGGCGTGGTAAATCATATTCTACTCGGTGGTCGTTTTGAGGGCACGTAAACTTTACACTTGTCTAAGCTAATTTTTTGTTATTCAATCAAATTTCAGTAATATCCAGGTTAAGAGACTAGAACACTTCAAATTGGCACTTCACCAGATAATATCTAACACAACTTCGTTTTGAAGCTAATAGAGCTACAGACTCAAAGAAAGGTGATTCATCATTAAAATGGCATAGCTTGCGGAAAATTCAATGGTCAGAGGACAGAAAAGTTTGGTAATACCGTCCCGAAGAAGCTGCTCAGACAGCTGTTCGCCAAGAGTTCCACTTAGAGATGGTTCAGTTGATGTGGTGGGCTCAGAAGACACTAGTATTCGAATACTTTCTTCATGTCCAAGGTGTCGAGCAATCACGCTTATCATTTCTCGAGTTAAACTGATTTCAGACACATTTTCTGAAGAAATGGTGTCACTTCCACCTATGCAGATTTCAAGATCACCAAGTATGCCACGCGAATGACAGGGAAAATCAGAGAGTACTTCTTGGATTCTTTTACACAGTTCGTCTAATTCTGTGGAGTTCACTTCAGTGGGCTTGACCTGATTGCAAAAAAAAAGGTATGATATATAATTCAGGAAAGCAAGATTAATAACTTATTGACGCACCTCAAGCTCAAGATGGTTTCCAAAGCGTGTTTTCAAATGCTGAGGACTTCCAATGCATCTGAGCTGACCTGCAACCTGTTACAATTAGCAGTCAGCACACATATTTACGTTAGGAGGTGATTAAGTTTAAACCTTGTATGGTCAAAGTAGCTGCAGTGAGTACCATTATTCCAATCCGAGTACACAGTGCTTGGGCCTCAGCCATACTGTGTGTTGTGAGAATCACAGCAGTCTTTCCACGTCGAGTCGATAGGCGCGAAATAACCTCCCACATAAATCGTTTCGCAATAGGATCCATACCTAATTTTTGGTTTACAGATCACCACATTTTCTCAAGAAATTCAATGAAAAATGCCACATGATTTTTACAACCCATAAGAAAGACATCATTTGAAACTTTTACAGATAAAAAATAAAGGTGAAAAGAAACCTAAACTGAATACATGCATATAAAATTATATTCAGAAAAATAAAATAAGCATAAAACAAACTAACCTTTACAAAACTAAAGTTCACGAGAAAAGCAAGGTTATGGCTTATTAGCAATCGAATAGATGAGAATCTAGGAAATCAATGATGGAGAAAGACAGTTACTTTATCCCAAGCAAAATAATTTGAAGAGAAAAACGTGATTTGGTAAATGCAAAGAGAGCTTATGAATATATTGATCCTATACCCTGCTAGATTTAGCTTTAATGGAGAGTTTGTTTTACGCATAAAAAAGGCTGTGAGATTTTGTTAGACTAATCATAACCTGATTTCAAAAAATTCTCATTTTTTATGAATTTTGTTATTTATCTTCATTTAATTGCAGTTATGCTACATCAAACAATTCAAAGTTAGGCCCAGACCTGAATCTCATTCAAATCAAGAGTAAAATGGAAATATCTATATTCAGATTCAAACCAGAAAAGCTTATTAAGTCTCACTGATGTCACTCCATAATGTATTCTCTTGGGATATTACGAATTGAGAAGCTCTTCACAACTAAGGCAAAAGTACAAGTTTCTTCACACTTTCAGTTGCACCTGATTCAACATGAAGGTCTCCCCCTGGGTTACCAAGTTTGTTGTCCTTCAGTAAAACTTCAGAATATAAAGGCTACCATTGCATAATCTTGAAGCTTGTACGCTTGCATTTCTCGTCATATCACATTTTAGCACTTCTGTGCTTACTAATTTCTTTCATTGTTTAAAATCCGCAACCTCCTCTGCCATTATCTCAACTCACCTCATCCTTATGTATCAAGTCCAGCCTCTCACCAGCAGTTGCACCTTTTTCTTCTCTCGTTGAGACGTCTTGCACTTAACCTATGATGGATACTTCTCGTTGGCTGAGTCATCAGATTACTACCCATGGAACAGTCGTTGGCCACATTATTTAGCTCATCTGAGGTTGATGGTGCATCTTGTTCTTATGTGACCTATCCGAGGTGGAAGTCAAGTGAAATGACTCCAAACCCAGTAGGGAACATATATTCTTTTACTTATGTCCTCACCAATAAAAAGACACATTATCGTTGGCTCATATGTGTAGCTGGATTAACAGAGAAATAAAAGGTTCAAGGACTTATAGCATTATTCCAGTGAATAATCCTACAATTTCAGCATTACGTGAAACCAATCAAGCAACAACATATTTTACTAATGCAAATGACTCTGAAGGTATAAGAAAACTTGTATGAAAACCTGTAGATGGCTCATCAAGGATTACTATAGGCGGATCTCCAATCATTGCAATGGCAACTGACAACTTGCGCTTATTCCCCCCACTTAAAGAATATGAAGGCTTATCTGCATGCTTCAATAAGTCAAACTCTTCCAACTTTTCCTGAACAACCTATGAAGTTTAGAAAAGAAATTAGAAAATATGCAAACGTAAGAAGATATTAAGAAAATAATATAGAAAAAAATATGGAGACTAGCAAATTTTGTGGTACATGTTTTATTCTCATTTCGGAGACAGCTTTTATTCTCGCATACAATTCAAGATGTTCTCGAACAGTCAGAAACTCCAGAAGTGCATCAAATTGTGGACAGTAACCAACCTGCGACACCACAAGGAAAATATACTGTTACCATCAGAAAAGACAAGAAAATAAAATTTATTAGCAGCATGAATTTTTTTTGACAGAAATCACATGCATGAATCTTATGTTTCGGCCAACTTACATGTTTTCTAGCAGCCTTAGGATGCATTCGTATGTCCTTGCCGAAAATATATGCAGTTCCATCTGTTGGGTATTCCTCTCCTAGTAACAAATGCCGTATTTGTCAGAAAGGAAACAGACGACGGTCTCACACAAAACAAACTTTTTTATCAAAACAATGGAACGTTAAAACTAAAAGACGGTAAAACAACTATATTACCAATTACATGTTATTTTTTATGTTAAATACAAATAAAAACTGAAAGATAGAACAATTGGAATAAAATTAAAACAAAAACTAGCGGTGGAAAGAGAATGTCCTGAAATACAATACATTTTTCTTCATAGATATGCAATTATATTGAACTCAACAAAGGAAACAATTTCACTAAAGCCCTTGTGAACAGCTTCTCCTATGACTGTCCACTTAATACAACTAAATATTTTAAGTCTGCGTCTCACTATCGATATGCCAAAGTCACCGAAAAAGCGTTCATAAGATCATTATGTAACCATTTGGCAAGAGCCTTCTTGCATTTACTGCACCAGATTTTCGACGGCAGGAAACAAATGAATAAAAAAGAAATCATAAAATTATCCTTGGAAGATAGATTTCTGGAACTACTGGCAACGTCATGATCATTTCATTGCTCTGCCCCTGTGACAATCAGAACATAATGTGCCACTTATTAAACTGTCAAGCATTTAAATTAAAACTATGTTTTCCCCAAAATTACGATAATTATGATTTCCATGTTGTGCAACATATGCAATTTTAAATATACATAACTACAAGGAAATCCAAAAAGTGTCTGTTTAGATTTAATCACGGAGAAAGAGTCAACGTGGATTTCAAAGCTGATATTTAAATCCTTCAAACGATTCCAAGGGCTTTGGTAAATAATGTACCAAGGAAACGATCGAAAGAGACATTCAGGATTAAGAACTGAAGCTCTAGATGAGATGGTGAGAAAAATTATGCCTCGTCGTACCTGATAACATTGATAATGTTGTAGTCTTGCCGGCTCCATTTGTTCCTAAGAAACCAAAGCATTCTCCCTCTTGGACGGAGAATGATAAGGAACTCACTGCAACTTTTCCCTTTTGATTTCGTCCTCCGTTGTAGACCTGTTTGGAAATTCTTGTCAAATAACATTTCAATTTACAAAAGAAAGTCTATCTAAAAAAAATACTCTAGAAACACTTCTGCATACCTTACGAAGATTTCTCAAGTATATAATAGCATTATCAGCAAAACCAGAAAGTACCCTTTCTCGTTCTGCTCGAACGTCAATATCCTCATCAATAAAAAGAACATCAGTCTTAGACGGCTCAAGAAGAGGTTTCTGCAAAATTGGCGATAAGCTCTGGCCATTCATTTGGAAACTCTGCCACCACTCCTTGATCATAAGGGAACTGAATCGACAGGACGGTAGGAGCTCAAGGGCAATTGTTAAAAGGAAGTACACCACACTCTGCCACAGTCAAAGAAAAAGCGAAACAGCATAAGAAGATTAAATTCTATGACTTAAAGGGCCTGTAGAATGTAACGAAGTACTGTAACATCAAAAAAATGCCTGAGAATTGAAATGACGCATTATCAAATACAATTCAAAATTGCGAAAACTATGGAATGGAATTCTGTAACATTATTTCCCTTAGTCAGAAATAGAACGAGAAAAATGGGATAAAATTTGAGACCCACTTCTCATCTATTTAGATGCTGAGAGAGGGTGCAACACATAAGGCTGCCATTAAAGTCTGATTAGAAGGCACTAGAGTTGAAGATGGAACAATAGATGACAGAGTTAAAATGCTAAACGAAAAACATGCACAGTGCATCTCCCTTCAACCCTTTGAAAAAGAAGACTCCAAAGGGAAAGAGTACAGATTAGTCAAACTAAAGAGACAACACACCATGATCAACCCTCAATCCTCACATCTCAGGATGGCTTGCGTCATGTCAGTCCTGGTCAACACGTGTAACATTTAGTTGCCACCCCTGCAGCAACTCCTAGCACCTAGATATTGCAGCTGTGGCCTCCGGCAATGGCGCTTGCATTGCAGTAGCCTCAGCCTACATCTAGTACAACACTAAAAATCAACGACGAAAGAGAGGAAGCAGTGAATGCTGTTGCCACAACACTAGAGACAAGGCCTAATAAATTTAGAGCAGTACATGGGCGAGCCACCATCCGTAACATTCTAAGAATCAGAAATAACTAGGTTGATGGTGACAGAGGATTCAAACCACAACGAAACCTAGGCTCTAAACTTAGGAGGATATTAGGTTAAATCATAATCCATATGTAAATAAAGCGGAAGAGATGATAACAACATGAGACCTCATATGAGTCTCATGTCCCCAAATTTCAAATGACTCATTAACGTTAGCATGAGGGTCAGCCTATTTTGCTGTATACTACAGTGGTCTCTTTAACACGATACTAATGGTCACACATTGATTGCTAAAACAGTAATTAATAAATATGAGCATACTCCACTCATTCTGAATTGGTTCTGGTTAAATGACCAAACTGCATTAACAACGTACGTGTGAGTCCATGGCTACTCTTAAGTTATGCATATATCCCATTTTTCTGTTAATTTGATAAAAAGCCAAAATTGACAATGGAACTGTGGGTTTTCCCTGGTTCCAGCGACTGTAAAAAAATACTCTAACTGCTGCAAAAGATAAGTATATTCAAAAGTACCAAGATGCGGTGTGAGGATAGTAAGGTTCAAGGTCTAGTTTAGCTTGAATAAATAGAAAACATTAGTCAATAAATAACTGAGCTTATAAAAACTTGCATTGGCATGTAAACTATTCAGCTTAAATTATTCAATTTGACAAAGTTGGCAGCTATTGAATGAGAAAGGAAGATTCACTATTGTTCTACATGAGGTGGGATATAAAGAACAGTCCTGTTTTAAATCGGATGAACCCACTCTACTCATTATAAGAAGAGTGAAACCGTGATTACTAAAGATGAGACTACTCTACTCATCATCATTTGGCTTTGAATTGGATTACCTGGTAACTTCAGCACACTGCATGATATTATAATAATTACATAGCCCCCCAAAAATAAAATCTCGCTGATCATATGGAAAATCTATCAGATGGAAATGAAATTAGTACAGTAGAAAAAACGCAATTAACCTCAAAGCCCAGGTAGCAAATAGAAGCACCAGTGACATTCCAATCGAGTTGGGTTCCAGATCCAAGTTTAATTCCTTGTCGACGAAGAGCAAGTGATGCGAGGCCATCAGCAAAGCAGAAGCTTGGAGAAAATCTAAAGATGTTCTGCATCGATTGGACGGAAAATCTGTCAGGTTGGTTTTTTATGGCTAGAAGTCTAAAAATAACTTCAAGGAATCAATATGACGGCTCTGAAAAAACAAAAAAATGCGGCACTATGCCAATGCAGAATAGAGAATGTACATGTCAGCGCCAGAAATAGTTTCTTCTGTTCACCCAGAAGAAAAAAATATACGTGCCAGTCAAATAAAAAACAATCTTAAGTTATTTAAATATGTAACCAAATCGCAAATGCTTTAAAAAAATAAGGAAAAAACTTCAGATGGTCGTACAAAAGGGAAAGGAACTTTCATGTAAATAGAACTCTAGATTACCTCTCATAAATCAGGTACTGATGTTTATCTCCCAGCCTTTTAAAGGAACCGTGAAGTAATTTATGAAAACTAGTACCAAGAAGATTGAGTTACAAATTGTATAAATGGATATAAACCCCTGAAAAAAAAAAAACTTCCTAAGAAGCATAGTTTCACTGGTTTAAAATTTAAATGGATGCACGTCCTGATGCCATGACCCCATTAGTTACCACAGGAAGATTCTAACTACCTGTCTTGAAGTGGTTGGTTGAGAGAGCATATATTATAGCAATTGGCCTTCGATTATAAATGGAGTGAAAGTAAAGAAATAAACATTCACTTCTATCTTTAGGAGATGGACAAGGTGTACAAACAAGATCAGAGATTTGATCTGAGTGAAAAAAGTGGAACAGATATTTGATATAGGTAATAAAAAAGAAAAAAAGGGAAAACTGAAGCCACGCTTGCTTGAAGTAAAAAATGAATGGTAAACGAAGGCATTCATAAAACTCAACAAACCTTCAAAACAGAGTTTATTTCACTAGTAGCTCGAATAAGCCCCATAATGAATGAAATAACCATCAGGATGAGGCCAGAAAGAAAGTGCACCAAGAGAATCACATTCTGCAAACATTGAAAAGAAACAAACAAAGTTAGGGAGCGAAAACAATAAACCTAAAAATAAAACAAATGTTAGAAAGACACCTGTGCTGCTGTGTGGTCAGAGAAAAAGAACGTCAGGCAGTAGGTTGATGAGGCAATGGATAAACCATACCCCAAAAATATGAATACCGTTGGCAAAATGGAACCACTCCCCACAAACTGATTAAGACCTACACAGGAACCAATTGTTTCATGAAGCACTTTAGATTTCCAAACTAGGGGCATGTGAATCAAATGACTACTATAAAGAGATCAGACATTTATAGCCAGTTAATGAATCCTAAACTAACTAAAATCGCAAAAACTACTTATGAAATGGAAAGCAAAATAAAGCGGAAACCTTCACGTCTTTTAGCACAAGTTATTTACTCAATAAACAGAGCCTTTTAAAAAGTCATGTTGGTTTTTCAAATTGCGATCCCAACATGTAGTAAAAAAAGTCTTAACAGGAATACACGGTTCATGAATGATATCAAACAGAGTCCATAACTGACGGGCACAGACAGACTTCGTTTTCCACAGACTAGTTTTTCTGGCTGGCCACATTTGCTTACCAGGCTATGAGAGAATCGAAGCAAAGTTACCGTCACATGGATCCATGCCTTCATATTTCCATGATCTTATTTTCCCTTTGTACTGAACCGACAGGCTTGGTCTCTAAAGTATCCAAAAAATCGGTCTCGAAAGTTCGATTTACATTTTTGTCACGTTGAGGAGATGATATCTTTTCAGTAGTACATGATTGAAAGACAGAAGTATCACTCCTTTTCCCTTATCCTGGCATTTTTTAACAGAGGAAGTAAAATAATTTGAAGAGTTATCCACGTACCAAAAAGGAAGAAGAGAACAAAAGCGAATGATGTAGGAAATAAGAAGCTGATGAAGTCCCACAGGTACGTGGATATCCAGTATGACATTATTGACACCTGAAAACAGTCCAATTAGTTAATGAGAATAAGATGGAACAAGAAAAATGCAAAGCTCAAAGGGAGAAAGCATACGCCGCTGATTAGTTGTTGATGTTTGGCTTTGACTTCACGTTCCTACATGAAGGAAAAATCATCTTTTATCAGTTGGACAAGTAATCAAACATGTTAAGAGTGTAGGACACAATTCATTCAGACAAAGAGTTTATTAGTGTTCAAGGTGGCCTTCAAATCTTATTATAAAATGTCATAAATTCAAGGTCCCACTTTCTTTCAGTCTGTCTTGGTTACAAGTCTCACCCTTAATATCAGAATTCACTAATCTTTCAATCATCACCTGTTCTCCTTTTTCCGCTTCAAAGGACATTTTACTCCTAATGGTGGAAATTAAAGAACTACAGATGTAACGATAGAAGACAGTCAAGGTTCTGATTGTCCCACTAATCAGAAGGAGACTAGCAAAGATCAAAGATCTACTAGCTTCCTCCGTAAGAAAGAAAATCATGAAAAGCCCCGTTTTGATGACCTAGCCTAAGAGAATATCAAATCATCAAGTCAACATAACACTAGTTCGCTGACATCATGCTACAAGGATATGAGTGAGTATACTGAGCTTTTTGTTTCAAACATATTAATGATTCACAACTTTCATTAGCTTATTACCCTTTTCTATCCTATTTGGCTTCTGTTAACATATCTCTCTTTGTGAGAGTGGCCTATCTCAATTCAATCAAGACAAATTTGTCCTTCGCAAGTACTATTCTTAATTTTTGTACTTACATGATGTCAAGAATGCTTTCTGTCCAAAACCAGTTATCCTTTTTCTACTTCTCTGTGAAAGAGTTGGTTGGTAGAATAAAAATATCGGACCTTATTTGAGCCCCCTAACATATTAAGCCTCGGATCTACCTTGGGTCCACTAAACATGTATTGTTGCGCCCATGTATAAATCATCACCCTTAAGAGAAGAAGAAAAAGAGATTCTCTCCACTATTCAGCCTCAGGTTTTGTGCCTCCATCTATTCTCCTCTCCTATCTAATCAACACCAAGGGATTTCGTGGTGTTCCACCCTTCTCCAACTCGACAGAAGGTATTTTTCTTCCTATCCTAGGGTTTCAATGGCGTTCTGCCCTTCTGCCATTCGCAAGCATTCTTCTTCTAGTCTGATTCGCAAGCGTTCAGCCGTTCTGCCATTCGCAAGCATTCTTCTTCTCGTCTGATTCGCAAGCGTTCTGTCCTTCTGCCATTCGCAAGGTTTTCTTGGTGGTCCACACTTTTCTCACTATCTGATTGAGATTATATCAGAGCAAGAGACGATCATAAAGAGTTCCCAACTATGATGCTATCGTTGGACGGACAATCTTGCACACTTCCTCAAAAAAAAAACCAATACGCCCAGACGACCTCCTGGCATCACCTGTGAGAGTTTGGTATCGTAAAGCCAATAATTTTTTTACCAATCTTCTTCTCACGGACGTCTTCTTCTGAGAGAGGCGCTCTCCCAAAGTGACTGCTTCTTAAAACAGTGAAATCAATTCTTTTCAATCCCTCATTTCAACAAATTTGGAAAGTTAGTTCTAAGCATACTTTAAGAGCGGTAGCGTTAATGGAAAACTACCCAAGATATGCTAGTTGGAAGTTAAATGACAACGCTAACATGACTTGGACCTTGGGATTAATCAAGTCAATGAGATTCAACACTTTATTCAACGGAAAGATACTATTTTATGTGTACCTTGGATTCTTGCTCTGTCACTGATTCTTTCGCAGAGGTTTACAGGATACAAAGTGGCTACATGCAGTGGATGGGGAAATGAAGGCTCTTCGGCGAAAATAAAATATGGGATCTTGTACAACTCCCTACCCCAAGGAACTTCATTGGCTCTCAATGAGTACTTATTATCACGTACCAAGCACACGAAGCCATTCATTGCTTCAAAGCAAGACTCATGGCAAACGGGTTTACATAAGCCTATGTTATCAACTATGAGTAAAATTTTGCTCTCGTAGCAAAACTCAAATTTGCAAGGCTCATTTCTTTCATTAAATCAATTTTAAAAGGATCTCTATCAGCGTGATGTAAAACAGCACTTCTTGGATGGAGACTATCTAAGGAAAAGTATGTAGGTTGAAGAAGGTTTTATGTAGCTTAAATTAATATCTACAATGATGGTTTGACAGATCTAAAGAGTTGTGATTATTTTGAGTATATAGAAGGAAGCAATGCAAATCATTCCTTCTCTACAAAATGGCAGGAAGGAAAAATTTGCGTTTTAATTTTTTGTATTGATGATATGATGATCACAGGTAACGATAACAAGGAGACTAAAATGCTAAAGATCAAACTTGCTAAGAAATTTGATCTCAAAGATCCTGACAACCATCGGTACTTCCTCAGCATTGAAGCGACAAAATCTAATAAAGGTATCTAAATACATCAAAGAAAATATGCATTACATCCAGTAAGAAAGACTGATAAGCTTGGGTACAAAACTGTTGAAACTCTAATGGAAATAAATCATAGGACTTCCTGAATGGACAAGAAGGCACATTTCTCTCTGATATTGATAAAGGCATTTATCAAAGATTTCCTGTACTTCCTAACCGTGGTCGAGATGTACTTAATAACCTGTATACCTTATATGTTTACATATATATCCTCATATACCTTTCATTTCGTGTTACATCAGTATGTCTAGAACCTCCTAAGGATCTGGTATAAATACTGGATCCCGCTCTCCTTGTAATAAGTTTTCTTGATCAATAAAGTTTGAGTTCTTTTTCCACGAGCGCTGGGCACCTATCAGAGCTCCAGACCGTGTGCTATCTCGACTACACTAACAAACTGTTTTATTTAACTTTGACTAGCCTGACGTTACTTATGTTGTGAGCATTGTTAGTAATTTTTTTCATTCACTAAGAGACTCACATATAAGGGTTGTATAACGGACTCAGTGGTATCTAAAATCAAATATAGGAAAAGGTATATAGTATTCCAAGTGTTAAAACATACAGATTGAGGGCTCTTCGGATATAGATTGAGCTCTATAATGATGATTGAAGACCTATTGGAGGATATTGCGCATATCTTGGTGCTAACCTAGAGATGTAGAGAAGCAAGAAACAAACAGTTGTCGAAAGATTTATGATGAGGTAGAACAGATGGCCATGGCATCGTGTCTAACTGAGTTGATTTGGATTCGACTACTCATTTGATTCAAGACATAGGTATCTAGATTCACTCTCCTTTCAACTTATATTGTAATAATAACGTAACTCTAATTATGTCTAGTAATAATATCCAACATAACATAACCATACATGATATATATACTTCACTTGATAAGAAATTATCCTTCTTTTGTTTTCTTGTGTTAGAGCTGCTGGGCCTATTGAAATATCTGACCATGTTTGGGGTAAGTAACTCATTGAGACTCAAATTCACCTCGGGTCTGCTAAACTTCTATTGTTTCTCTGTCTATATGCAAATTATTACCCTAAGGACAAACGAAGTACAGAAGAAGAAAACGGACTCTCTCCATATTTGGGCCTAGGGATTAGTGCCCACATCTATCCTCCCCTCTTAACTCCAAATCTAGGGATTTCTTCGTGTTCCGCCTTTCTTACAGGGAAATGTATGTCTTTTCCTTCCGGTCCTTGTGTTTCCTTGGTTTAGTGCCCGTCTACTGTTCAAAGACATTCTTCTTCCTTTCCTAGGATTTTCTTGTTGTTCTGCCATTCTCTCACCATTGGACGGCGTTCGTCTTCACTTTCTTAAATGCATCTTCCGCCAGATCTCTTTATAAATTAAAAAGTAAGCCATATGCATCAAACTAAGTAGAAGGATTGTAGAGTATGACGCAATAACTCAAAGAGGTGTGCTGAATTATAATAGCCAAATTTTATTCAAAGATATTTCATTGGAACAGAAGTCGTTAAGGAACATAAACTATGATAATAAAGTCATCCATTATAGGTGCTAACCCATTACATAGTCATAAAACAATTGACAAAGATTCTCCTTCAGAAATTTAGTCAACAATAGTCTTTTTATGAGATTACAAAAAATAGAATTAAAAAATGTATTTCGAGGATAGTAGTTTTACCTTCACAATGGTAACCGCAAATGAGGCGGGAATGAATGAAAACGCAATGCTCACTATAATTGCAGCAGAAAATGCATCCAGATCCTAAAAGACATTAAATACAACTTAACAAGTAAGACACAAGAAAATAGAACAAAATGGAGAAGTACGTCACTAGATAATGTCAACCTTGAAATTATCTAGTAATAAATTTTCTTAATTTTCAAGTTCTCTGCATGCAGAAAAATTAGATAAAAATGGCTAAGAAAAAATGTACATACAGTTTCTAGAAGACAATGAAGTGGAAAATTTAACTTTGAGAATATCAATCATCAAAAAGATGAGACAATAAGAAAAAACATGTTAACAACGACTTTAGCTCTACGCTCAGATCAGAAACTTTTCTGAATTTATTGAGGGAACAACTGAACACCAAGAAAAGACTTGAATGGAGTCCTTTGGTGACTTATGCTTGAATGACATCAAATTAGCTACCCAAATGCATAGATTGCGTGATTTTACTATACACAGAGTCATGACAACTTTTTAGCTTATGGATTGTTGGAGCCAATTGGAACATAATTTAAGACGAATAAACCTTGAAGAAATAGAGGACTTCCTTAGGGTCCAGTCCACATTAAGTAATGTTTCTATAAAGTCCGTCTAAGGACATGAAAGTATGGAAAGCTCTAATGCATGCCTCTTCCTTACTGGAGTAACTATCCACCAGAAAGGCCAAAGGGTAACCATGATGGTCCATTAAGTCTGAGGAAAAGCTATAAAATAAACTCAAGAATTGAAGGGATTTCATCTATAAGGGAATACTGATCCGTCGACAATAGACTACGCACATTTTTAATATAGATTATCCGTTGATTAAGAATCAGCATGACAGTATACCTGTTCAAACTAAAGTCTTGACCCAATAGTCCAGTGTGCAGCATTGAGCTCACGTCCAATCTAAATACATTCCCTAGCCCTCAAGAAAAAATAGATCTGGGAGGGGAAGTCTCAGTATAGAAACATAAAACATGCACTACAAGTGATTGTGCCAAAATAACAGTACATAAAATACGAAAACTGAATAAGATTTATTCCATTTTGCAAAATGCATTCAAAGCTTAACCGCCTGCCCCAACCAAAAAAGATAAAGATAAAGAGATCACAACATTTGAGATGGAGGGCCCAGTTACACAACAGAGCATTTTTTACCTTTCCATATGAATATAGAACATGACAACAAATGAAGAGATACAAAAAGACTAGATAGATCAACATACATGGTGTTGCAACTTCTGAGATACTGTCATAGGGAGAGGATGGTTACGAGTTTGAATGGTCATATTTCTTTCCTCAGCCGCAAGTCTTAAAATTGCAGCATTCATCAAATTTATATATGTCGGAGCAGCATGCTGACAGGAACTGTTATGAAGGACCGTGTATCCTAAGCTTCCATCGTCATTCACATCATCCATTACAACTGCACCGTACCTTGAAATAAAAAAATATAACGAAAATAAATGGCATTTGACGAAGTACTATTACAGTGAATGTGTTTGTCCTTCATTCAATAAAGAGAGGAAATTTCAAAGCATGGAGCAGACAGTGATGATTTTATGTCGGAATTTGTTGAAAAAACTACTAAGGTAAAAGTTGAGATAAAAGGCTATACTTTCATGCAAGAAATGAGTGATAAAGAGAAACTCAAGTGAATACATGATAAAGAAACATGCTGAACTGAACACCTTACTCTTAGTTGGACACAATTGAAGTAATAGTTTAATTGAAAACGCTCACTATACAAACTGTATATTGTATTTACATTTATAACACTTTAATTGCTCTCCACATTTAGAAAACACTCACACTAGGATACTCTTATAAATATTCAGCTTTCTAAAAAGTAACACAATTACTTTTTAATTTGAAGACATCCATTTTCGTTCCTGACTTCTAAACCAGGAAAGAGGTGTCACTTGAATTTTGACATGCAGCAATTTTGAAAGGCATTACTGGATTTGTGGTGTTGGTCTGCCCATAATTGGTTCTCCAAAGGGAGTGATGAACAAGTGCAGAAAACCATGCTTCATTAAGAGAATAATTTATGAAGCGCAAGCGGCTTGCAAAATGCACTTCTAAACAGTTCCAGGTCATTCACTTCCGAGGAGACCAATGTTCCTGCCAGATGACGAACTTGCTACGTATGGAGCTGGGCAAACTTTTACAGGCTTCACTGCGGACGAAGGTGGGGTTACCACAAGATATAATGAGATACTGCCTTCCTGATTATTGGTTGTATATCAGTGGGGCTGAGGTAACATCGCCACTAATCTTCTGACTGAACCCACCAGGTTAGTCCTCCAGATTCAGCTGTTGAGATTTTACTTCAATTACTTATTACGTTTTATCCCTAGAGCCCTTATTACGTTTTATCCTGATAACAGGTAATTTTGGTTGGCTGTCCTCATTGCTGTCTATTTATCCTACTTTACTCTCAAAAAATTTCAAGGTTATTTTAACTTTATTTCAACTCTCATGAGACTCGGATAGAATTATCAACATCAAGGATAGAAGAACTCTCATGACTTTTCTTGTAATGCACTCTGATATTTATAATCTCTGGAAACATGCAGCAAATTTACTCCAAAAGAAATGAGAAAACTTGGTAATCCAAACGCGTGACCATGGATAATAAGATCCTTATACTGAAGGAAAACCTGAAATCGCTTTTGAACTTGACCTCCAGTGTTGCAGTAACAAGAACACTGGTTACCCTCTTGGGTTTTTAATCTTGGCCGAGCATGCACAATTGCAGCTTCAATCTGGAGCTATTACTCTAGAACGACTAATCACAGACCTCGCAGGCAGGAGAAACTATTCAATTAAGTCGCGAATTTAAACTGTTTACAAGAGCTTTGCTGAAAAGAATCGAAAATAAAGCTCCAGATGCTGGAACTCCACACAGAACTATTCAAGTAAACAGTTTGAAGAACATGAGAGACGAAAGCCGGAAGAGGGAACATATCACGAAGAAAGGGAAACAAAATAGAAATTAAGAAAGAGAGAACTATAAAAAAAAAAAACTTTCTTCCTCAAACATAAAAGCATACTCGCATGGCAAGCATCCTGAACCACTGGTCTGATTTAATTGCTAGACCAGCCCAAACCAAATGAACTAATTTCTGTGAAAAATGGGACATCTACAGTATTTTTATTGCCGGGGACACCCTACGTACTAGACTCCCACAGTCTCTCATAAACCCAGGTCATACATGAGTGAATATTGGGGAAATTAACTAAATTGCAAAAAATACATCTCACAGGAAAGATTGGAATCAATTGAATGCCAAGAAGAAACATAAGAAAAAAATTTATTCACGCTAGAATACAGTGATAGTGGTGTTCTCGTAATTTATGTTTTAATAGAGAATTGGACAGTCATTTTTTAGGCACGGATTCCCCTGTATCGGATTCCCCTGTATAGCGGCATTCTCACAAGGATTCCCCTGTATCTACTATTCTTTTTGGTTCATCTTCTTCTCTTCTTTTTTCTTCTATTCTTCTCCATTTTGCAGTATCACTGATACACAATGTCAGTTCCAAAATAAAACAGCTTTTACATTATGGCTTAAACCTGAAATATACAACACAACTTCCCATACAAAAATAATAAGTACATCTACTTTATTCAAAAAATAAATCTAGACGTGTAAAAACTATATCTCAGACAGACGAAATTTCATGACAGGACACAGAAACGAAAAGAAAAAGCATCATTCATACCTTGATTGGTAAGATTCATTTAAGCTAGTAATGAGAAATTCGCTCATAGAAATAAGGGCCGGACCCAATGACTCCCCAGCAGCGTCAATTGCATCAGCCAAAGTCTTTTCAGGATCTGGAAATTCAAACGACCTTGGTTGTTGTTTCTGAATCCACCCTCCTTCGATGTAGGATGAAACCTGTACAAAGTCAAGAAAAAATCAAGGTCCTTCAAAAGGAACTCAACTATGCATGCGAAAGAACGAATCATGAAAACAATTATACAATAAAGGATGCAGAGAATAAAAGTTTCAGGTATAAAGAAACCTTTTCTGCTACAGGAAGTGAAAGATTGAAGGGGATCGGTCCCCCACCACCATCGCCTCGTAGTAAAGGATTAAAATGAGATGTTGTAAAAGTTATAGAACATTGGTCAGGATGTGGTTTAAGCTTTAGAGAAAGAAACCCAAATAACATGAATAGTACTGGAATAAGAAGTTGGAAAATAACTGTTCTTCGGTCTCTCCTAGCAGATAGTGCTCTCTTTATGAGCAGTGCCTTGAAATGATTCCAAAATGTTGACTTCATAATTATTTCACAGCAACAGAATTTAAGAGTAAAGAATGCTATGAAACTGGTTACTTTTGAAAGTATCACACTGCACATTCTTTCCACACCACTGCATATCATCTGAAAAACCAGCATCCAACACCCACAGCTGATCTTACTATTTGAAGATTTTGTTGAAAGAATGCATTGAGAACCTTCAGCATCATTTTCAATTTGTGACATACTGTCAACTGGATTCTCTGAACCTGCAACTTTCAAAAATACTTCCTCCAGCGTTGTCACAGATATTCCATAACTCTCAATCCCATGAGAGCGGTCAGCATTGTCAGTGGATATTCCACCTGTACCACCTCCTCTATTGTTGCAACCCTCAATTTCCCGAAACATATTCTCAAATGAAGAGGAAGACGCAAGAGGAAGACGAAAGGATATTTCTGTACCCACCTGAAACAATGGGGAAAAACGGTAACTAGCTTCAATAACTATGTCGGTTAATGTAGCAGAACAATTACTGGTTTCACTAGCTTAAACATGGAAAGGGAGCACTAATTAGATCCTGATTCGTCCGTTCCTGCTTTTCTTTCACTTCTTACATTGGCCATGATCATCCCACATGAAACCATTCATTAAACTTGTGCCATTATTTCATTTAACATTTTGAAAAAAACATGAAATCTTTTACCGCTTCTGCAGATATTTAAAATCATGGCCAATTAATAAACTCATGGATATGCTCATTCATTGGTTTTAAAATTGACCTCAAACAGATCTTAAAAAATCAAGTAGAGGGTTCCACCAAGGTAAGAACCAACAAAAGTTACACCTACCTCCAACCGATTATTACACAAAATAGTGAAAAGAAAAATAAAAAGAATAGAAACAGTTAGGTTTACCAAGATGGCCTGAAATACGGAAAAGATAAGAAAAAATTACATCAGATAAGCATGTGGCAGACGGAACATGACGATACACGATATCAGCTGCTACAGAACTGGCTGGTGATGCCTGCCAGAAGAAAACCAGGACAATTAAGCATGAAAATCTTCAACTGTTGAATGTAGTTCAGTCTATGGGAATGAAAGTGTTAATATAAGAAGCAGGATGAGACCTTTACTACAGTGAGTGTATAACCGACGCCATATTGGTGCTTCAAGTAAAGGGAACTGTCAAAAACAAGGCATAAGGCGAATTAAATTTCGGATACTGAAAATGAAAAAACGTTCTTGGAACTAAGATTAAAGTTTTCATAATAGCATGAAAATATCTAATGTTCAAAGGGAACGTATCACATCTAGTCATGTAGAAGAAAATAGAAATTCAAGGACCTTCTTCCCAACAGGAGGTTACCAACCATTGCCCATCCCATGTTAACATGGACAGGGAAAAAAGATACGGTTTTGGAGGAAGAATGCAACGTAAGAGACAAGTATTGGAGTCAGAAAATATGCCTATATTTTAGGAGAGAAATAGTCTTTAATGAATGAAGGACAGAAAATAACAAAAACTATCCAGTAGCTCGTTTGAATATCGATTTACCTCCGCCTTTTCTTGAAATAGAAACAACTGTACAAGGAGTTCGGAAGAGGGCCACTATGTAGAGAAGAAATGCAGCAAGCTTTCCTAAATTTGAAGATCTGGTTACATGAATGGAGTGTGCTGGTAACAGGCTGAATAAAGAATTAAAAAAGGCTAGAGAGTTTTCTAAGGTATATTAAGAACGAATCTCATATATAAGGAAAACTATAGTGTATTGGCACCCTAGTGTTGCACATTCAAGATAGGTAACAGATTCTTCAGTAGGGAATGATAGGATGTTTGATCAGTGCAGTCCTGCGAGACTCCACCTTTTTTCAGATTACATAGCCTCATGGAGAAACGAATCTTTGCAACACAAGGAATAGGATCTTCCTTAGTAGAGAGATTCCATCATATTCCAACCCATGCACATCTCTTCTGTGGATTATCCAATATCCATCATTCATTTGAGATTGACTGTTCTTTCTCATATCATACAACTAAAACTTGACCTTAAGATCTAAATCAATAAATCTGGGGTGAAAAGAAAAAACTGAACTTGATTTAAATAACACAGTGAAATATGCTAGAGTTACTTTTGAAAACGGGAGAAAAATGAGTCTTTTCTAAAAGAAGAAAGGCCTTCTTGATATGCCATTGAACTATAAGGGCCGTCTTAAGGAACATATACGGAGATGCTTGTTCTATTTATGTTATACTTCCTTGTCAGACAGTTTGATTCATAATCAACTCAAAAATATTCTACCTGGTATGAATCAAGATTCAATACCAGTCTCATGGCCATGCTTTGAAACTCAAGTTAATAACGTACACACAGCATTTAGACTGATAAAAGACAACATCCTACATAGGAAATCTAGACAACACGTCCTGTGATAGAAAAAAAAGCCCTTATGCGTGTGTCAAAAAATTAACATGTCTGGGGCAAAGCTTTGATAAGTTTCATGAACTATCAAGCAAAATATAGCACGATTAAATTAAAATGTTAAAATTCCAAGTCATTTCAATAATGGGTTGGTTAAGACAAGCAAATGAAATAATTAATGCACAGTTCATTTCAAGAAGGTAAGTCACACAAACCTTCCGCAACATTTCAATGAGCCATTTGCCATTATTGCTATCCGATCCCCAAGTACATCAGCTTCATCCATGGAATGTGTTGTCAATAAAACTATCCGACCCTTCCTGATTCTTTTTATTAATTGCCATGTCGAGCGCATTGAATATGGATCCATGCCACTAGTTGGCTCGTCCAGAATGATAACCTGTATGCAACCTCATTCATTCAGTATAACAAAATAGGTTGACTCATTTGTACTGAGTCATGAACTTCACCTTGCTATCTCCAATCAGCGCTATCCCAAGGGAGAGTTTTCTCTTCATGCCACCAGATAGAGCCCCAACCGTTGTACTAATCTTATCAGCCAAACCCACCTGTCATTAAGAAAATTCCTGAGGCACTTAATGTCTTAACATATCGAGAATGAAAAATTCACTTCAGTTGAGATGTTGATCCTAGACTTTACCTGATTAAAACAAGTGAAACACAACAAAGTGAATTGAAAGGTGTGAAGAAGTCAGATACAAACAACAACTAATTCAACAAGGAATGTGAAAAAAAATGAGTCAAAAAAAATGTACAGTTAATATCAATATGCCGTTTAGCACAATACTTCCCTCAATATACTGTGCAAAAGAACGGATAACTAGGAGTTCGGTTCTCAGTTGAAGTTTTTGGTTCGTTTCCTATTTGTTAGGTAGGTTTATTGTTTCAAGGCCCTGGGTACTTGTATATAACAGTCATCTATGATGTGAATACGAGTTGAGTTTTTTCCTCTGCACATTCTCCTATGGTTTGCATCACTGATAACATGTTACAAGAGCTTATAGGCTTCGCTTCCTTCCTTCTCCCATAGTCTAGGTTTTAGTCAAGGCTTGTTTGGTTCATGACAACCAGGATGATCTCGTTGTTCTGGGCGCTCGACTAGAGGGGGAAGAACCAACGACAGAATCAAAGACAGGAATGCCTAGGGTTCAGGCACTTGAGCGCCGAGGGTTTTGTACCTTTTTCTTTCCCTCTTTCGTGTTGGATGTCTGAGAGCAGCCTAGAGTTGTCATCTATTGCATTGTCAGCAATCAGACTACACTGATATTCCCAACTCTTGTTTGCAAAACTTTTTATTTGATCATCGAACTTCATTGTCGATACTTCAGCCTTGATTGCCGACATCAAGTCCCTTTTTTTAACGACACCAACAATCCTTTCACTCCAAGTAGCAGTCAGTTTTTCTACAGATGTCAAAAATTGTAGAGATAACCTCTACAAAAGAATCTGAGTGGTTTGTAAGGTTTCAAAAATCTTGGAGAATTGTCGGGCATTTAAGCTTCATATAGACTTCATGGAAAAACTTTCTTTAAATTGCTCCAATTTGTTTATACTGTGCTGAAAGGGAAAGGGAAGATCAGCCATCTCACAAGTACAGGGCCAATGATCCTTGGTTTGAGGAATGGGATGAAGAAGATTCTATGATTATGACATGGTTATGGAATTCTGTGATTCCTGAGATCAGTGACACATGTACGTTCATGGCTACACCGAAGGATATATGGGATGCAATTCAACAAACATATTCTAAAGCTAGAGATGCAATTAAGTCCATTGATTGATGATTGTACTCAAGTTACTTGGATCCACTGATGTCAGTACTGTTCTCTAATTTCTTGCTCCATAATCAAGAATCTTTTCGGGCTCAATGTCAAAAAATTTAAGTCACATAATGCAAGGGAATATTGCAATCAAATCCAAATTCCATACTTTCAAACAGAAGGGATGGTACATGAGACATCGTGTGTCAGTACTCCACATCAAAATGGAGTAGCATAGAGGAAAAGTGGTCAGCTGCTAGAGGTAACCTATGCCTTTCTTTTCCAAAACAATGTGCCTCAATCCTTCTGGGGAAAAGCAGTTATGACAACTACTCATCTCATAAAACATTAGTCTTGTAGAGTATGAGGATCCATGAGCCCAAGAGAAATATTGTCGTTATTCTATCCCTACCTACAAATCATAAACAATCTTGTCCTTAGGATAATTGGGTGTGTATCATTTTTTCAAGTTCATGGTTAACATAGCGAGAATTTAGATCCCAGAGTGTTAAAATGTCTCTTTGTGAGCTATTTTGCAACTCATAAAGGGTATAAGTGTTATCACCCTCCATCCAAGAAATTGTCTCAATAAATGTTACTTTAATGAACAATAATCTTACTTCACCACACTTTATCTTCAGGGGGAGAGTTCAATCACTGAAGATAAGGATGGGAATTTCTTACTTGATATGTCATTACATCCTATTTCCACCATTCCTCCATAAATCCGTATTTCAGTTCATACTAGATTCAGAATCCATATCTGACTCCATGTCAAATCCTGAATTTGAAACTTTAGAAAATTCCAACTCTGCCCTGGCAAATGTGAGATTTGGTTAAGGAAAAATGTTTACAAGGAAGAAGACGGTTGTTCCTAAATCTGCACAGGTCCAATAATCAAACCTTGATCCTGAGAATGATGTACTAATTTCTAATCCTCCTTAGCAAGCTGAAACTGAATCTCATGAGTAAGAATAACCAAGATCTTCCCATTGCATAGGAGAGGCACTGGAGAATGGACAAAGAACCCTTTATCCTCTTATAGGCACCTTTTAAACGTTTTCAGCATCTCATAGAGCCTTTCTTGTTAGTTTAAACATCATTCCTATCCCTACCGCCTCATCTGTGACTTTCATTAACAATGAATATAAAAAACTAAGAACGAGGAGATGGAGTCCCTAGAGAAGAACATAACTTGAAATTTAGTAAGGCTGTCAGTAGGAAAGAGATACATGATGTGTAAATGGGTCTATACATTTACAGCTGTGAAAATGAATATTGTCAACATTTTGTCATTCGCAGTTAGTAATGACTGTAAATTGCAATAATTTGATGTTAAAAATGTAATTTTTCAACCGTTTCCTAGTTGTTTGTGTGCTTCCTATTTTGTTGGTTTTGTAGTTGTTGGGTAGTTTTCTTGTTTGTGCCACTGTTCACAACATATATAATTAAAGCTCGACTGAACCCGCCATTGGTAGTTTAAAGTTAAAATTTTAAAGTTGTATGCAAATTATACTTGATGTAGACACTCTCTTCGCTTCTTGTGTAGCACTTCACAAGAAGTGCTAATACTTCGCGATGAAATAACTTGCACCACCAACCTCAACTGTGGGGACCATGCCCCACAATCAAAATTGCCAAGAATTCAGTCTTATCGACCTAATCCATAGCTGCTTCAAGAACATAAATCAGAAATTATTGTGCTCCCTTTTTATTTCTGAGCATGATTCAGACTATGAACAACCAGCAGAAGTGTAAAACGATCCGAGAAGTTTCCCACCAAAAAAATATGCAACAGAAATTAATGAGAAAATTTAGTTTCAAATCCCTCGTAACACCTTGAATTAGAAAAAAATACAGCTTTTATGGATTTAGAAATAAGCCCTTGAAACCTGCTGTCACCAGAAATAAAACCTTACACTATAACTCGCTGCTTTGTTCCTAACTGACCACGGTTTAAAGGCAGTCAAGGGTTTTGCGACGACACAAAAATGCCATTTTGCCAAGAAAAGACAATATTATCAACAAGAATTAATACTTAGGAATCTTGTCACGCCTGATCCAAAACATTTTAGGGGGTCAGGTCTCACGCATCCCTTGGAAAGGCTGGTAGTGCTGACTGCGGCCATGGCCCACACTTCGATGCCAGGTCAGGGCCATTCGAAGCGCCTCAGAACGCTGGTCAAATCTTGTCTTAGACCTTCCAGAAAAAGACGGTTGCACGGATCCCGTTTTGAAGGCTGGTCATCTAAGATTTAAGCCATGGTGATGAACCCCATTTGGAGAGGCAAAGTCCACTCTAACCCCTCTTTTAAGGCTAAATAGCAAATGGGTATTTTCGTCCCTAAGAGGTATTTTAATATTTTTCGAATAGCATAACTAAGGCATAACAAATGCTAATACCTTCTGAAAAATAGTTCTTTTCAATGGGGTTTGACTCCATGGTTTCTTTTATAAAACATCAGATTTCTACTGGTTTATATCTAAAGCCAACAGTAAACTAGCTCTTTTTCAAATCCAAGATGTTTTCAGAGGTTGAAACAAAAAACTTCTTTTAAGAAGATCTGAATGATGAAATGAAGATTCTGAAAAAAAAAATCTAAAACCAAATGACACAAAGTTCTATGTAGTACACGAAAAATTATGTTAAGCCTTTGAGTGAATAGGTTTCAAAGATGATGCAGAAACTCACTTCGTCAACCATTTCCATGACCTTAATTGCTAAGAAGTTCGGATCAACACCCTTTAATGTTCCAAAAATCTCTAAATGTTCCTTGACCTGTATTGAGGAAACATAAACTTTAGTCGATAATTAGCATGATATCACTTGTTTGCAGTTGTCACGTAGATATATAGCAACAAGACAAATACATTTATATTCTCAAAGAAAAAATATAACGTATGAGAGATACAAGAGAAAAAATATTTTTCTGCATATCAAGCATCCTATGAATTTAGCAAGCAAAGAAAATAGTTCAAATTTCTGTTCTTCGTTTCTAAATGAAAAGAAAAAAAGAAAAATCCAGATGTTAACATGAAGTGATAAAGCAAAATGCTCATGAACAGCAGCTAAAATGAATTAATCTTGATGAAAGTCATTACAACAAAGGACAATCGCCCTTATATGCCATATTTTCTGCATAAGGGATAAATAATGGCAATAATTATCAAATAAAAATTCCAATCCTACCGTTAATTCTGGAAAAAGAATATCATTTTGAGGGCAGACACCAAGACATTTCCGTATCTCATCCTACAAAAATAAAAATAACACGGCATAAGAAGCGAAAGGGGTCTCAGATAAAATTGACGAGGTGAATAAATATATTGATTACAGCTTAGATAATATTCTTTTCACTAATTTATAAATTAGAAATTTTATTGAAATGAAAACATTCATCAGGGGACATATTTCAATGACTTTGTCACTTTCTACTGTCTTTTCTAAACATTAAACATCAATTCCAGAGAAGACTCTTTTGATCTTTTTTCACTTTTCTAGAGAAGGACATAATTGGTACTAACTACATCAGATTCATTATTGGTCAAGAAAATGTAGAGAAAAAGTAAGAAAGGAATACAGGAGCAAATAAAAAAATGAACAACTCTAAAATAGTCTGTCTCACGCATTCTGGAATTTTTGTGCTTCAACCCTGAGAACCATGCCACTTTATGGACACTATTATAACACAGTCAGCATTATAATCATCAGGATCATCAGGTAACAGAAAAATTTGTGAACGTTATTCTAGTTTATATAAAAAAAATGAAAGCTTGAATCTCCAAAGAGAATTCAACCTCACAAAGTTTTGAATAACTTCATTGGACAAGTTATAAAAAGAAGTTTCCATTCAAGCTCCAGACAACCACAATTTGATTCCAGAACGACTCATGTTTGCGACAAGACTGGCAAAAATTTGGTAGTCTCTTCCGATTCTTAAATGATCTCAACTTTGTTTCTTAAAATACTTTCTAAATTTTCAACATCATAATCTTTAAACATTGATCCCAAATTCGCCTATTTAAATTTTAACAAGCATTCATTGTTCACACTTGTTCTGTTATAGTTCTAGCTGGGTTCTTACAGTCCAAGGGAAGGACTGGTGAGAAGAAGGTACTCGTAAGTGTGATGTATTGCTGCCTCTACCAAGATTTACACCGCCAGAACCAGTTCTCTTAAACCTCCAAAAGGAAAAACAGTCTTCGTCTCAATTAGAGGCCATATAAAAGCCCCAATCATCTCTTCCCACAATCTGAATTTAGTTATTTTTATACTGCCTAAGGGAGAGCCTGTAGGAGTTCCACTAGTATCTTAGGAATGCAAGACGTGTACAAGAAGATTAGTTTGGAAAACATCCAAGAAATTGAGGAAGGAAAAATTGACCTAAAAGTGCAAATTTGAGTGAAATCAAATGACCGTTGCCAGTGAAATCCTGCCCAGTCTCTTCAATGAAAAATAGGAATCATTATGGCAGTTCACCAGTCTCTTCATTCTGCATTCATTCCTCATGGCTACCTCTATCTCCACATTTTTCGTTCGGGGTCATTCACCCTTTGGCATCCAAACAGAAAGAGATGCAAAATTATGAATAGGTGGTCGTTGATAATGCTGAAGATGGCCAGCGAGGATCTTGATTAAGTTGGTAGACGATAATTTTTGGCTGAAACAGCCATTTAATGAGAAAAATATACGGCTCAAACCGTTTCAATGAAAGAAAAATTACACTCCATGTAATAGGCAACATCCATTCAGAAAATAGGAAAAGTGATATTCTACTACCGAAAAAAAATGCAAACTTAAACAATCAAATAATCAACATATAGAAAATTGAGTATATATTAAAGAAAAACAGCAGAGCGAACCATCTCGTTTCTAATACTTCTGCCAAAAACTAAGGCATCCCCAGATGTAGGAGGCAGAAGGCCAACAAGCATAGAAATAGTTGTGCTTTTACCGGCTCCATTATGTCCTGAAATTCAGTAACCAGTTATTCAGGTTGTGTCGTGGCAGCAAGATACATTTACAAATTTAATGACAGATAAGGAGAAATAACACTAAATAGTATGGACGAAGGAAGGAGAAAAAATCAGCGAATTCCAGAATGATACAAAATATTTTAAGCAATAGAGGGAATCCAGAAGATGGAACAATTTCACTTTTCCCCTTTCTTCATTATTTTACAAGGTATTGACTTGCCACTTCAGCTCTAGCTACGTCTGTTTCCTATTATCAACTTTCCCTCTGTTTCATAGACGTCTGTCCTACAACTCAAATATTGTCTCCGTCTCCTTTTCTTTATGCCTAGCATCACACACCAAATTTTCATCTAGTCTAATGCCTCCTCTACTTTATGTTCGTCTATCTTCTTAGCAGTATACATCCCTCCTTAGCCAGCATCATATTTTGTTCTTCACTTCCTCATGTTGACAGCAACTGCAGCTAATGTGATAATTGGACCCTGGATTTTTCTGATTCTGCTAACCCAAATAAAGAAGATTAGCCCACACTTTCCATCATCCCACCGTTCACAGGGAACTTTATTAACAAACTTCCTCAACCTTCTGCTTTCAGTAACAATATTGATTTTTCTGTTAAACTGTCTTTTTTTTTGCTGGGCACTATGGAGGCATGTAGCATCAGTATCCCAGATCTTATATTAAAGAATAGGTGATGGAATTAGCATCTGCCCAAAAGAACGGAAGAAAAACTGCAAGGTGTCAAGTGTAAGTAGAAAACTTAGAAAAAGTAACAATGATATAAAAGAATGACATGCACGATTAGGATTCCAATGTTCACTCTCAACCCTCCAGTCCACAAATATCATGCAGAACGGTGTCAGCACACCATTTAACCGCATAAAGCCAGAAGTCAAAACGAAACGAAAAATTATTGGGCATCAGTTATGTACAAAGCCAGCTAACGCTTTCTAAAATCTGTCTTTCAAATAGGAACAATAAACTATGAAAAATAAAATTTGGCATTGAGCATCAGATCTTATGTTGAGTACAACCGTTATCCATCTAAAACCCAGTGACTTTGGGGGGGTCTGCAATTAAAATATCTTATTTTACTTTCCTTGGAAACTGTCACCTTGATTTAGAAATTGAATTCACAAAAAATATTTTTGGAAGGTGCTGAAAAATGATTTCAGCAGGATTCCAGTTGTTTTTGTAAGAAAAATAGGAATTAAAATCCTTTCATTTTAATTTTAAAGTCTGAGATTACAAGAAATGTTTCTAGCTGTGCCATTCCATAAACCTAGATATTAATTTATTGATAATTGGTATCAATGTGTCCACAAAATTGAACCTTCTCCTCTCTGAGATTTTACGCTTCTTCATAGCAATCATGAAAATAAGATCATCTGCTCCACTGCTCATTATCCCCTTCTTGTTTTCTGACAAAAACATTACATCACGCAAACAAATTTATCAACCCCTATCCAGCTTGATCATTAAATATTTAATCCTTGAAAGCATTTCCCAATTAGAACAATCCTGGATTAAAGAGGCCCAAGAGCGATTTTTCTGAACATTGTTTCTCTCACTATCTCATTCCACAGCAACCCAACTTTTGTGAAATCCATTTCAGCTAGCATTGGTCTCTTTAAACTGTTTATACTCACTCCTCTATACATCTTGTATTCTATAAGTCTTTTTTTCACGTTGGCGAAATTCATTCAGCTTCATCCATTACAAATTACACCAAATTTTTTGTTCAATATAGTGGTTTCAGGTATTAATATCTAGCCTACCTGACAAAACTGTTTCACCTGGCATACAGTGCAGACCTAATCGTACTTTTATGCAAAGGGTACCCATCTGAACCTAACTATCTATTTCATTATCTCTCAAACTGATGAAGTTAGTGAAGATAGTTAATCAATTAACGGATTCCTATGCATACACATCATCAAACTTTTACAAAACAATGTATATAAATATACTGACATTAAGCTCGAGGACAACCAAAAAAGATTAAGGAGATCAATCGCACCAAGAAGGGCAAGAATTTGATTTTCAAAGAGGGTAAGCTGTAGAGATTTCACTGCACAACATTTCCCTTTACTGGTCACAAAGACTTTATGAAGATTCTTAACCTGTATGCACCTACAGGGGAACAATAAAAAATAATCAGTAAAAATTAATGTTACCCCAGATACAAGTACAGTGAATTACCGGCCATCAAGTTCTTGTTGTTTCATATCCAAGCTTATGGCTTCAATAGCTGGTTTTTCTCCACATGTCACTGATGCTTGATTCTTCACGTTCAATGCTCCCTCTTCGACTTGCTCAAATCCCCCATCACCACAATTCCTCCATCTCGAAAACAATTTAGTAAACAAGAAGTTCCAGGGATAGCGAACGCCATTATCTCTTGGAAGAACCTAGTTTAAGAATGCAACGGCTTAATAGCAAACAAGTACGAAAAAATAACACATCGAAAAAAAATGCAAATCTTGGGAATAGGATGGAATAATGGAACTTGATTGGTCATGAACTAAATATACTAGTCTTATTATCATATATTGAGTTCTTGTTTGTCATTGTAAGATGGCGAAAACTAAGAGGAGGTCGTAATTGAATTCATTTGACAAAGGAATATGAAAAATTTACAAGACAAAAACAGTAACTTACTAACATGTAATAAATTTCATGCAACTTATGGTGCATTGAAAATGCTGTCATTTAGTAGAAGTGACTCTCAAAGTAACTTTTCAGCAAGAAATCCACATCCTAAATATTAACGTTGCCATACAACAATAGATAATGATCCAGGCATGGAATATTACCTTATCAAAATAAAGTCCAAGTACACCATACAGAACAGTATCCAGCATCATCATCAGGAGGCAGACTAAAAAGTTGACTCCAGATGACTCCTGCAACCATGCAAATACAAAAGTACAAAAACAAAGTCATGATCCAATGTCTAAAAACATATTAAATACATAAGTTTAACACTAACCTGCCACATGTTGGTCCAACGAAGTCCAACATGTGCACGTTCATAATCGGCAAAGTTTACTGTTCCAAGCGCAAAAGCAGTGGGAGAAAGCAGGGAGCACAAGATCTTCAATATCCTTTAAGGGCAGAAGACACGAATTCATTTTATATGAAAAAAAAATTCAAATAAGAATCAATAAAAAATGGTGCTAAGAGCTGACACTGACATTGAGACAGAAGAATCATTAACGGTATAATAGGGGAAAAATGCTCCAAGGAAAGTTAGACTGCCCACAGCCACGGCTGTTTTTGCCCGGGAGAAGAATGTTGAAATCAAGAAGGATAACATCACCGCACTTAGACCAAACAAAAAGAAGTAGACGAAAACCAATGATTTATCACTGTATTTAAAAAGGTTGGCCATTGTGCAGACTGTAATTATGGCAGAAGAAGCTGCAAACTGTCAAAAGAAAAACCAATAAGAAAAATTAGTAGCCTCAAAATATTTGCACAAATCGAAATTCAATAAAAGCATCCAAGGATAATTTACAAGACATTACACAAATGAGACATAAGTAATCACATGAAAAAAAAAGAAAAAAATTCTGAAGAATGGTAGCCAGCAGTATATAGGTCTTACAGAATTATTTTAATGAGAATAAAGGTTTTGCACAAGTCACCGACAATTACCTTTAATTGAATAACATAAGCAGGTGATAAATGCATCCTTTTCAAAAATCCTCTGGAATAAGCTACTGGATGAATTTTGGAAAACAGTGCCCCTATAAACTTTATTGGATTGCCTAATCAAGCTAGAAAGTCCAGACAGGGCACGCGAACAGGGGAGTCAGTCATGCAAGGCCCTTGAAGCAGCACGAGCAGTAGGCAGACAATTAAAAATAAAGATGGAGAGATGCAGTGTTTAGAGCTGCCAGACTGTACATCTAGGTTTTGATAGCTGAGGCAAGACGACAAAGGGAAATAGTGCCTGCCAAGCACCCTGAATGGCCCAAAGAAGTCCTCTGTGCAGATGCTTTTTAACTAAAGGAGTGTAATGCACAATTTCAGGCCAACTCATGGTGTTGACATAATCCTATAGGTCTTGGATGCCTAGAAGTATGCAAATTTTTATGTAGAATGAGGTCATGCTACGAGAATCAAATCTGACATCTAAAGTAATCCATCATTCTCGCCTGCCAATTCCACTACGTATTATCAAGGCATACAGTGTGAAATGTCCAACAAGCGAACGAGTCTAAGATGTCAACCTTCCATCCTTCACGCAACCTTCCTCCAACAATAGCATACAGACGCATACAACAGTCTATCAAAACGTTGGACCCCTGTCACTTGGACGTCCTTCATGGTTCAAGACAACAGAGAAACAAAAAAAAAGACTAATGATTGCATAGTTGAATGCAATTTTGGTTGGCAGCTATAACCAGCACTTGCCATAACCAGTAAGAATGGCAGAACCTGGTGCGACCTCAGCAGTAACTTATTTTAGGAGGAAAAGACCATCTCAAAATGGTCAACCTGCGTAAAGAGGGAGGGGCGAGTTTGTAAACTGAGGCCTTTAAGGTGAGTATTAAGGCCATAACCACAGGTGCAAAGGGGAATTGGGAAATACGAAAGATAGTCACTTGGAGAGCGGAAGGCCTCTCAAGAGCCTCCAGAGTGACGTGGGATTATGATAAGCCTACACGCACATATTTTAGAAGGAAGAAGGCCCAAAGCCCAATAAGAGAGTAACAGTCAGTTATAACAAGGAGTAGTTATAACAAGGAGCAGTTATGGGAAGGAACAATTACTTAAGGATGGAGGGAAGGAGCAGTTATTGCAAGGAGTAATTACTTAAGAGAATAACTGCCTAAATAAGGCGGAGGAAGTTATAGCAAGGAGCAGGATATAAGAGCAAGGGAGGAAGGCATGAAAGGGGGAATTTCGGCTGGATTGTGCTCGTGAATTAATGAGAGGGTTTATGGTTCTGGATCGACGGCTGTATGCAACTCTCCAATCTGTTACTGGTTCTTCTATAGTTTTTATCTCTTTTATTTGTTTCTGTTCAGAAGACTGTTTTCATCAAATACGACCAGTTCGTCACTCCCTGGTTTTAGATCTTATCAGATTCCTGTGGGACCGTCTTGTTATTTCCCTTCTTGTTTGTTCTCTTGACTCTCAAACTCGATCTTCTCTGGCATCCTCCATCAGTTCTGTGTGGAGTCGTATCAGAACCCAACGACGAAACGCATCCTCCAAACTACCTATTCTCGCCAAATCTTCCATTTTTTGTTAAAGTGATAAATCTTTATTCTTCACCAAAAGTTTCCAAGGCCTCTCATCCATTTTGAAAGAGAAATTTCACGAAGACTGGCACTGCTATATAAGTGAGAAACATGGAGAGAACGAGAGAGAGAGTGTGAGAGATGTCTTTGGAGGGTAATAAAAGGTTATGTGTAGCTTTTACAAAGTAACTTATGTTATTCAGAAGATCTTTCGAGTGATAAAAATGTGACACTAAAGCAATAAGGGCATCTAAAAGACAATAACGAACATAGCAGGTGCATCCGAAGGACTGACTTGTAGGGCATATGTGATAAGCCAAGAAAGGTAAAAGATCTCATCCTTAAGTCCCATCATGTAGAGGCCTTCCTTAATCTTGTTTTCCTACATCAAGAAAATATGATTAAAATTAAAATTACATAAAAGTGACAAGATATTCATTAACCATTGAAAGGTAGGAGAAATTATAGAAAACCACAAAGTAGAAGTGAACAGAGTCTTGAATAGGATCCCAAACCTTCTCAAAAACATAATAGCTCAGTAGACGAGATATTGGATAAAGAAAACCCAATAGGTATCTAATCATAAGAAAAAAACAGTCAGATGGATGTAACAGATAATAAAATAAACTCTTAAAATACGTCCAATCATCAAAAACCAGAAATTGAAGCCATACCAAATAGCCCTCACAATAGCACTGAAAATAAAATGGTAGCATAATGTAAAACATAAGAATTATTTTTTTAATCCAGAACATCAGCGAAGGTAAGAAGAGTAGATTTGAGATCTCCATTGCTGGAGAGTACCCAGCGAAAGAACGATCACAATGTTATCAAACATTAAAAGCTAACATTACCTATGACATGAAAAAAAATATCATTAGAACTGTGCAGGTAAATAGAACTTGATGCATATCTACAAGAGTAGAGGCAAATAAGTGAGGGAAGAGCTTCAAAAGAATACATACAAGATGGCCATGACATTCTTTATAATTGATTGGAACTCGTCATCCGTATATGCACGAGTAGGGAATGGTGCTACTCTAATATTTGCAGGACTAAATTTTGACCAGGGATTGCCTTTGTGGTTTTGGGTTGCAGATTTATTAAGCAAGTGTCCTCTGTGCTCAATAAGAGTTTCATCACTGTTCTGTGAAGCAAGAATAATAAATGAATCCACAAGCTGCTGCAACTGCAACAAGTCAACAAAGAAAAAAATATATTATCAGAAGAGAGATGAAACACGAGAGGAATTCATCATCGAACTATTTTCAATTTTCACAAAAAGAAACCAGAATACTACAAAGGTGGGTAACTGTTTGAAGAGTGATAAACACTTAAATCATAACATCGTCTGAAATCCCCATAACCAAATGACAGCCGCATGGAGATTACTTTAGCACCCTCATCAAAAAGAACTAATGTATAGTTTACAGTCAACCATTGTTCACGAAATTCAAATTTCGAGAGACATAGATTAACGCCTCTTGAGCATCACATAACATCTACAGTGATTGGCAAACAAAATTCACGGGAATCTTTCACAATAAGAGGAAACAGGATCTTGCAGAAAAATAAAAAGGACATTTCCAGATTTAATACCCAAGCTGATTATATTAACAGGATCATGACGATAAATTACCATCACATGTAATGAACTGTATAAATCAGTCATCAACTTCTGTTAAAGGGATAGATGCATTTAAAATCAGTCTCTTGGGAATAACCAAAAGAGAATATCCTACAGAACACTAGCAAAAACAGATACTAAAAGAAATAAGAGCTCATACAGTGAAAAAGCCACTCATGCTGTATTGGAGAGTTGGCACAGTGCTAACGCCCAGGTCCAAGTCATTCAAATAAGGTCCATTCACATCCATGATTGTCTTGACGTCCGGAAAGCCAGAAAAGGCCCATGTATGGTTAAGCCGTATACTGTAGTCAAATGAATGAGGGCCTTGCTCGTGAAATACAATTGCCCCTTTTAATTTTGGTTTTGAAAGGTTCCTGGAAGGAAAAGTAATGTTAAATTGCACGGGTTACAGAGAGTAAGATGACACCAGATTCTGGGAAAAACCAACAGATGAAATCCAACCATGGAGATGTAGAAATAGTAACTGCATCAAGGTACAGCATGAACAAAAAGATGTATAAAGCATAAGAAGTCACAGGAAAAGATATTAATAAGTCTGATGACAATCAGTAAAAGGTTCCAGGCATGAAATCTTAGTGCATCAACTCCATAAAGTACACATGTAGGACAAGAAAGACGAAGCCAGAATATTCCACAGATAGCAGCTTCCCTTCCAAATCTTTAACCATGGTCGTGACATCCTACTTTAGGATACTCCAAATAATGCTTGCATCCAAGTGAAAGACCACCCAGCAAGCAAGGCGTGAATGACATTTCACACGAAAAGCTGCTCATTGCAGATCCCGTCATTGGAATGAAGAAGTTGCAGCCACCACGTGAGTAGTTTTTCTAGACATATCATCCATTCATTGGATTGGGAACCACATGAATTTTCGGTTAACAAAATACAGTACACATGTACCAAACGATTATCAGTGCCATTCTTCCCTTCCACAGTGTGATCCCTGACCTACAACAGCCTCCATCAGGTCTTCAAAATTGTCAATGCTGCTTTTCTGAATCACATTTGTGAGAGGTAACCGTCGTCAACGCCCCAGGGTACCCAAACCTTTCATTCCCAGCATGATCAGAAAATCTCAGAATTAAAATTGCGCATTAAATCTCGCAGCTAGGTGTGTCAGGTCGAGTCAAGTTCCAAATAAACTTACCCACCTCAGGCATCCAACCCTTTGACAGCAGCATAGGCTTCAGATCTAACCTGCTCTGTTGACATCATCTATATGTCGTAAGTTTATCCTAAAATTCTGTAAACCTAGTCAATCGTAATTTTGAAAACATTGCATACATCTCATCCCTCTCTATTCCTAATCCACAGCCCCCCAAATACACAATGACCATTGCATCCCTCAAGATGTAATAAGGGAACTAAGGGGAAAAAGAAGAGAGGAAATTACTGTGGGAATTGTAGCAGTGCCGCTAAAATTCGATTTCTGGCGGCACCTAGATTTTGCATTTTAACAGTAAAAATTCTCACTTCTCACCCAAAAAGTAGAAAAACTAGTAGGTTTAATTTTTCATTTTCGGATGCATGGGGTTAACATTGTTGATAAAAACAAGAAGGTACAAGTAACATCAATAAAAAATAATATAAAAACAGAACTTACATGATTGGGTCCATGACACCATAAGAGTCAGAACGAATGTACGTCTCAAGCTCTAGTTCATCTTTGTATATCAGTCCAACCACCTAGTAACAGAATAAACATATCAATATAGGAAATGTTTGTCAAACTGAAATATTTCAAGAATACTCTGTAAGCTCGTAACACATCTTCTCTACAGTAAAATATTTGTGCAACATTAAAGTCAAAAAGAGATTAAAGCTGAAATAAAATTTCCACTGTCATTTTGAAAATTACATTTTTTTCCTGAAATTATATTTCAACATAAAATAAAATATGAATAAAGGTAAAAGAAAAAACTAAATTATTCCAGATCCCAAACGGTGAAAGAATAATTAAATTTATTACAGTAAAGGAGATTTTTGATAGTCACTTCTAGACAGATGATTGTAAGGTAATATCAGTGAGGTAATTTTTCTACCTGCTTCACTTAGCCAAAGTCTTTCTGCTAGGGATTAAACCACCTATGGATTAAGAACAGCAAGGGCAAGAGCCAAACAAAAATTTAAAGTTATTCTCCATAGTCCATCACATGTTAGACCAATGGCACTGAAGAATATCAAGATCTGAAAAATGCCTATATGGACAAAAAAGATATCTAATTATTGCACTTCACGCAAAAGTTCAACCTATGGAAATAACAAAGACACGAAACCAAATACCGTGAGTAGAAGTAATAGGAATTTTACAGAGAATGCAACAGTTAAACCTAGTGCACTCAAAATCAATATTTAAATACTTTCGTCTCTACAGTTGACCATGTCACCGACAAAAAAATGAAAAATATCAGCTCTCAATAAATACCAACGTATTCATGAGAAAAAACGAAGAACTGCACTCCAGTAGGAACTCAGAGCTCACTGTTAATAACAGATCAACTAGTTCAAGAAGCATCATAATCCATGTTAGCGAAAGACGAATTTCCGATCTCACACAACTTTCAATAAAGGAGAGGAGGTGTATTTCAATAAACGTGTAAAGTTGCTCCCCCAAGGCCTTAACATCTCCACAACTCGACCCAATCTACCGCGTATTCCCAGATCATGTTACCATTGTATCGATGGTTCATTTTCAACTGAAGAGGTATGTAAAAAAACAAGAAAAAATGCGTTCCCCAATCTTCTGGAAACTCAAATTCAATCATATGCATGGGCATCATCATCCTACTTTGACAACAAGCCGGAAGTTTAAATGGTTTTGCGTTATCATATCTTCATTCACCAACATGACCTCAGCTTAGAGCAGATCTTCTGGTGAAGTGTGAGAGGAAATCACCCTTTCATTCAAAACAAAAGAATGTACATGAGATGAGCGATCTGGTAAGCTGGAGAGATGACAAAAATAATTCATCCAGTGACTTTCAAGGTGGCGTTACGAAACTTTTTGATGTATTTTATTGATTCAAAAGGATACTACCTTCAAAAGGGGAAACCTTAAGGATAGCACATCAACCATAGCCCTCGTCTCCTCTGAGTCGGGTACGAAGGCCAGATGTTCACCTTGAGTTACCAATAATTGAAGGATACTCTCGAAATCTGGGGATACCTCGCTCTTTCCCACTTCCACGAACATGCCCCTGCGAATGTATCTGTAAGAGGAACGCCAATGAGCACCAAAGTTGGTCAGCCAATAGGCAGAAAATACTAACAGGAGAGGAAGAGAAACGAATGCATGGTAGGTCAGAATCATAAAAAAGAATGGTAGCAAGTGGGTGAGTATCCATACGCCTGCACTGGATGGATTTGGGTGTCGACACGAGTCCTCACTCCTATCAGCAGCAACATGACGAACGTGGGCAGCAGCAGCTGCAAGTATTCACGAACAACAGAGTCACCCAAACGAATAGCACAGTCTGATCAACCAAAAGGCCTCCACAGCAAGAGAGCAAATAAAGAAGCTCAGCAAATCGTGTGAAAAAGAGCAACCAGCGTGCGCAGGCAAAACAAAAAATCGGCTTTCTCCCATAATTGGAGACGAAGGTGAGGAGCGACAACAAAGGAAGAACCGGTGGGGAGGAGGGAACGAGGGGGAGAAGAGAGCGATGGAGACCTCGGCCGCGGTGGCAAAGGGGTGGCGGATCTTCAGAAGCCAGTTCTTACGGAGCATGGCTCTCAGCTGCTGCCTCCCACGTCCCCCGCTCTCCATCTTCACTTCCCCACCAGCCTCCCTGCCCATCCCACAGGGACGCTGCTGCCGCTTTCTCCCAGCCTCCTTCCCTCCCCTCTCCTCCCCTCCCACCCCCGCTCAAAAAGCTCCCGCGGAATCCCTCCAACCTTCCGAGACCCCGTGTTCCCTCCCTCACCTTTGCCGCGAAAAAATGGATACCGAAACCAGAAGGACAGTTGATGGAGTAACCTCCCTCTCTTCATTGAGGGTATTCTCGTCTATTCCCCCCATCACCGCCACCCGCTTTTGACTGGCGAGGATCCCAAATGGCCCGAGTCAAAACGCTAAAATTCTCAATTACGCTAAAACTCCAGACAACGCTAAAATTCTCAATGACGTGTAATTCTCAGTGCACATCACTACGTACCAGAGTTCAGTTCTCGTCCAAACTTCCCTCCTCCGTCGTCACTGTAACTGACAGGATATGGTAGTTGATATTCTCCGCCCTCCTTTCCTTAGTCAGGTGGCTTTTCCGCTGTCGCTCTCCCGGCGCACGGCCAACCACGAGGCGCACGTTACGCCGTCACGCTGGAATCGTACGCCGACGGCGACCGGTTTGTCCGCCCGCCGGAAACCACGACCCCGAGCTTCCATCCCCACGAAGGAGCTGAGTGCCCCACCGTCGATCTCGATCTGGACGGTGGGTTGTGAACACATCTTCTCTGTGGTCGCATTCTCAACTTGGAGGAAGGAAAAAAATGTGGAGATCCATTTTTCTGAAAAACATGATATTTAAGAGGGATGGGTTTATATTTTCTCTAAATATAGAAGAATAATTTGATGGAGTGTATGATTGAAAGATCATTTAATTGGATAATCTTTGATGATTTTTATTGCATAAATCCTTAACATTGAGAAAAAAGTCAACTCAAGGGTAAAATCATCACCAGCTGGAATTGTGTTGTTTTAGGAGTTTTGATTGTCCTGAAATAATTTAATGATGGCAAATCGACATATATATAATCAAGTGAAAAGAGTATAGTTATATTTGATCAAATATAACATGATAATCCATTTGGGCACTTGTAAATAAAAGTAATGACTATGAGATCTTTGAGAACATCTTTATCACATTTAAAGTGTCTAGATGAGAACACAAACATATTTATCATATTTAATGCTTATGATTTGAAATTAATACACTCAAAATCATTCTTTTATATAGTAGATATATTTTTAATAAAAATTATATTATAACTCCAAGATTGAAAAAGAAATTTTGATTATGAAAAATGTTTATGTATGAAGTTTCAAGTATTGGGATGAAAATATGAAAATATTATCACATGAGGTCAATTTCCAAATGAATATGTTGAATTTGTTCTTGGAATCATTATTTACTTTTGAGCTATATTATTCTTGATGCTCAAATTTGAATTAATGATTATCAATCTTAAGAAATCACAAATATGTGCTTAAACCACTAATATGAAAATGTTGAAGTAATATTTCATGTTCATGCCTTGTTTGTGACAATGTGGATAATATTTCTATTTGAAATTATTACTTCATTTCAATTAATATTTATAAATTATCTTTACGCTTATCATACCTAATTCTGATATTATTGAACCCATTACCATCAGATATATATGTTATAGGTTTAAGGTTTTAGTATCGGTATAAACATAAAAAATATCTGAAAGATTTAAAACTCACATCATATTTAGATATTTTTCTTAGATTTTCTAATTTTAGGAAAGAGATCATTGAGAAGGTAGAAAATAAAGAAAGACTAGATCAAATATTCATCTATACATTGAGCCCTTCTCATCCACCTTAGTATGGACCTGACTATATATTCTTGTTACAAACATTTTGCAACATTCAAAGAGAAGCATTTTGACTAAAATCTAAAACTAAAGCCAAAACGATAAAGACGTGAAGTTGGGATTATGATTAGATCACAAAACATTTCATCCCAACTAAAATCAGCAAGAAGCCTTTATCATCCAAAAAGCTTCAACTTGATAAGAGGACCAAAACATTAAATCCATCAAATTCTAGCAACTTGTCAACATATATTAATTTTTGAAATTGTCACATAGTGAAATCATTGATATTCTTTTGTAGTTGAACTTGCGATAGGCATGACTTATTTGTTGAAGCCTTAGTCTCAAGCTTCCATTCATGTGATAAGCAGTCCCCACTAAAGAGGATGATGGCAAGTGGGACTCGTCTCCATCAGCTCAGAAGACACCGGTAGTCCGAGTTCAGCCCGATCGAAGCGCGAAGACAAAGGAGCCTAGCTTTCGCTACACGGCCTAGTCCTTCAAGATGACGACATTCCACCTCCGCGACGACACGAGCTCGAGCTCACCTTTATCTTTCTTTGTATTTTCACGTTGACTTGTTGGGCCTCACGTTCGTGTGTTAGCAGGCCCAATTCTATGTGTGTGTTGTTGTTTGTGTCTCCCTTTCTTTAGGGTTTTATTGGGTCTCTCTTTTGAGGCCCAATTAAAACCCTAAGGGGAGGAACCTATACTTCTTTCCTTTTGGGCTTCTTTTGGGGCTTATTTAGGTCTTCATTTGAGGCCCACTTAAGCACCGTACGAGGGCCCTCCTCTTTCTCTTTTTAGGGGAGCTTATTGGGTCTCTCTTTTAGAGGCCCAATAAGCCCCTTTTGTAGCCTTTTTGTGGCTTATGGGCTTGAGGGCCTCAAGTGGGCCCACCTCCCCTTAGCCCACTGTGGGCCCCATATAAGGGGAGGTAGGACCCCCCCTCAAGGGGGTGCCGAATTTTGTGAGAAATTATCGTTTGTGAGATACCTTCTTCGTGACCTAGGTTAGGGAGGGAAGGAGGGAGAGGAAGGCCATCGATACCCTGAGGACTTCGTTCATTGTGACGCTTCTACTAAAGAAGTCCTGCCGCCGCCTGAGACCACTACCGCCGCCAGACATCTTCATTGCCACCCGTGAGATTGCCGCTGTCACCAGCCAAAACGGTCGCGGTTGCCGCTGCAGCCGCCGCCGCCTCTACTGGAACCCTGTCACGCCGTCATGACAAAAGGGGCTTGCTTCGCCTCCCTACGAGCCGTCGCAGAGAACTCTGCCGGAGTCTCTCGACTCCTAGTTTGACTGCCACCTCTTCCTTCGGAACTCCACCATAAACTCGCCGGAGTCGCCATCCGCCACTCCGCCTAGTCGCTGGCCGTTCGCCGACGAACGCCTACCTGCCGCCGACGTCAGGAGAGACCCTGCAGCCGTGCCGACGAACCAGATCCAATCCAAGCTCCTCATAGACCCCCGCCAGAGTTTTCCGACGATCCGCCGCCATCGCACCATTTCCAGTGCCGCCTAGACCAGGAGGGCTCAACCCTCCCTAGTATCGTCGGCTGGATCGCCTCCTTCCTTTGCTCCACTTCTCGGCGCCGCCAGAGAATGTCAATCCTTCCGGCGACGGTTGGGTTTCCGCCCAATCAACGACGCTCGGCATTCCCGCCGAAGTGCCGCCGACGCTCGACACTCCCACTGAAGGGCTGCTGACACTCAGCATTCCTGTCGAAGCGTTGGCACCGCACGCGCCCCGCATGCCAGCTCCTGCGGCCCACGCGCCCTCCAGGCGCCGCCACCCACGTGCCCTAAGACATGCCACCCGGCTTGCCACGCATGTCTGCTAGCGTGCCCTTCGGCCCACCAGCAGGCCCTCTCCCAATCCGACCGTGCCATGCCTTACGACGACGACTACGGCGACTCTCGACCAGGACCGACCGTCGACGCTGAACATCACTCTTCACCAGACGTCTCTGATTACGCCTCCTAAGAGCGTACCAGATGTGATGAAGAGCCTTCTCTTGCTACGCGGACCTAAGGATGAAGCTCCCTGACACACGCCCCACCTCCATCCAGCTCCTCTCCGTCGGAGAGCCTTCGAGACCGTGGACACTACACGACGATCCTCCCGAACGCTCAGGATTCCGGTGCATCACCGACGCATCGCCGTCGCAACGCCGGAACTCTATTTTCCTGCTTTCAATTTACTTTACGCTTCATTTAGTGATAATTTTTGTGTTTTTAATTTACCAAGATATACTTTGTTCTATTACGATTCTTCCGGCTTTTACAGATCTTAATTTGATCAATTAAATCGTCTGTAATCACTTACGTAAGAATCACCAGGTGAAACTCTGTTTCCGCCCGATTCACGTTCGTCGAGCGCTGATGTCATCCTGACATCTGCACCCTTATTTCCCTTTTTCGTGAATTTTAAATATATTTCCTTTTTATTTCTTAGTATAAAATTCATAGAAAATCGTATTCATTGAGAAAAATTCTGAATAATTACCAGATATTATATTACATCCCTATGATCGACCTAGAAAATTACCGCTATTTTTGAAGCTTTTATTGAATTATAATTGATATATTTATTTAGAAATACTTCTAAATATCCGAAAATTCGTATTTTCTAGTTTTATAAATTTTAGATTTGCGTGATTTAATATACAATGACTGAGTCACGTCAAATTTTGGCAGCCCTAGGCTACTTCACGACGACCGTTTCGCTGTCTATCCGGATGTAGATCGAGAGGGCCTCACACTTACCATCGTCAAGTGTTTCTTCGGGTTGTCCTAGGTTGATCGTGCATATTGGTACGCCTATCTGTACTTAGGTTACATGGTTTGCCCTAGAGTTTAGGGTCCATACATCCTGATCGGATCGATCTGACTGCCCCACCCCGAGTCTTGAGTTTCATTGATCAGGAACAAGGGTTCTCGCCCTGTCCTGCATCAAATTGGTATTAGAGTCAGGTTTAGGTTACCACCTAACCTCGATCCCATGAAGATGCTCACCAAGCTTCCATACCACTAGTCGACCATTCATATAGGATTGCATTGGCATCTAGGCACCCATAGGACCCAGCCATGGCAGAGACACACTCAACCAGAGCTCGAAATTCACCATCATCACGACACCCGTGAAAGCCTTAGATCCCGCAACTCCCTAAGTAGCTAGAGTGGACACGAGTCCACCATCTCTGTCGAGATCGACGGATTCGATACCAGACCTCTCCCGACCCGGGAGACTCTAAGCGCTATGTCGGCCGAAGAGGCATCAGGGCAGCCCCAGCCGCCCCAGCTACGAGCCACCGAGCTGGGAAGGAATCTGCACCCTACTATCCACCAAAGAGTACTAGGGGTTGTGGTAGAGGTGGCCGATGGCAACCTTCGCCTCGATACCCTTTGAGGGATGGAGCGTGCTCCCTCCTAGATGATGTCATGTGTAACATAACCTAGGCTATTGAGCGTCTGGAGCGAGCTACCTTGGTAGCCACAGCTCATGGCCCGCTGCCACCGGCTCCACCGCCGGTTGCGTATCCGGTCACACCACCGACCGCACCACCTGTTACATAGGCATATCAGGAGCATCGCAAGCCCCGCTGGCCCGTGAGCCCCTATAGTGATCCATATGATCACCAGTACCTTGATCACGATCATCATCGAGGGAATCTTCGTCGCCGTGACACACCTCGTCACGACGATGGCCATGATTAATTGGGGTGGTCGTTGGCCACAAGATACTTATGATCGCCGCGAGCCGGTCTACCTAGCTTGTAGGGACGATCTCCCATGTCCGCCACCACCACCACTCCGACCCCACTACGAGGACTATCGACCCCACGGACGCGACTAGGGACACGACAGGAGAGACCTTCCGGGTTACAGAGCTGACCCTTCTCGACGAGAGGAGCTCGATCGGCAAGCAGAGTGTCAGCCACGAGATCGCGATGATTACTACCGCGACTATCAGTGTGCTCTGGACTTTCACCGAGCACCCCAGGACGCCCACCAGGATCGTTACTATGATCAAGGGCGTTACCCGAGTCCTCCCCACTGTGACTTTGGTGGTGACCATAGGGCTGATCGATTGGATGATCAGGACAGGCGACGTGAGGATCACAAGGGCCGCATACTGAAAAGTGTGCGTGCCGATGTGGCAGTCTTTGACGGCTCCTGTGAGCCCAAGGACTTCATAGATTGAGAGTCTAGTATGAACTCCTATTTCCAGTGGTACCGCATGGATGATGATTTATGCATAAAGTATGCGGAGATGAGACTTGACGGACAGGCCAAGATAGTTTGAGAAAACGAGAGCTACGCAGCACATCGACGAAGGCAACCCATCACATCATGGGTTGATATGGCATCACGCTTGAGGAACAAATATGTTCCTCAACAATATGCATCAATGTTGTTCCACAAGGCAAGATGCCTGTCCGAGACTACATTTAGGCTTTTGAGGAGTGCCACATGAGGTGTCGCTTTGTCGAGGACTCACGTGTGGTTTTGGGCATTTTCATCCACGAACTTGGTCCACGGCTTCGGAACGAGGTGCTGAAAAGCAACTAGTCTAAAGTAGATGAGGCCTACCGCATAGTAGAGCATATAGAGCGACCCATCGAGGACACACAGTTCACCCCACCTCCGATCACCACTAAGATCGTGTCCACGCGATCTGCACAATCACCGACGACAGCACCAACGCGTACTAGAGTAGGGAACGGACATACTACACCAGCAACATCAGTAGGGTCTACACCACCCCAGCGTCCGCCACTAGCCGACGCATCCAATCGTGCCACGGCTGCGTCCTAAGCCCATATCACTTGTTTCAAGTGTAAGAGTAAGGGGCACCGAATGAGCCAATGCTCATCTTCGAATCTCCTCATAGAGATCAAAGAATTGGGTAGCAGTTCACATGAGGATGACGTCCCTATAGGCGATGATGTCTACATTGTTGATGAGGGTTTGGCTGAGTGTGATGACACTCATGATTTGATTGGCTACATCCAGATCCAGCCAGCCACCGTACCCGCAGCCGAGGCTGCCTCTCTCATTGCCTCATCGACGAGCACTTCATCAAAGAGGCTGGTCAACATCATTGTCCAGCGTCTATCTCAAGATGTGGTTCCTGCACCACAGCCAAACACCACGGCAGATAGAGAGATCACCCCGACACCGAGGACAACTATGCCCACATCTTCACCTACGACAGACGATTCCCTTCGCACGTCGATCTTCTACACCTATGTGAAAATCAACGGACATGCGTGCAAGGTGATCATGGACAGCAGTAGTTGCGTCAATGCCGTGTCAGACCAGGTCTTGCAGAGGGCAAGGCTAAGTACTATTAGCCATCTAGCCCCTTACGACGTATCGTGGATAGATGCCACCACACTACCTGTTCGTCGACAGTGCCAAGTGCCACTTAGGGTGAGCACCTATGTGAGCACATCTTGTGTGATGTCCTTCCGATAAAAATCGGCGGCATCATACTTGGATGGCCCTAGTTGTTTGACTACGATGTCCAACTCATGGGAAGAGCAAACACTTGCTCTTTCATGTATTGAGATCTCCGACTTGTTTAGTATCCGCATACCAACAAGCCCGCGCCAAAGAGTGACCCTAAGTCACGTATTGGGTTAATCGTGATGAAGGGACCTGCCTTTCAGCACGAGATCACGTCGGATATAAATGGGTCCCCGACGTGCTTCGCTCTCGTTTTGGATATGCGAGATGACATGACCTTTACCCGCCTTCTCCAAAAGTCGAGGGTATGTTATTAGAGTACGCCGGCGTACTCCCAGAGGAGCTTCCCAGATAGCTGCCTCCATTGAGGCACATTCAGCATGCTATCGACTTGATTCCCTGATGCAAGACGGGGCAAACAGGGCGAGAACCCCCTATACCTAATCAATGAAATTCGAGACCCGAGATGGGGCAGTCGGACAGATCTAATAAGAATGTTTGGATCTTAGACTCTAGGTCTGATCACGTAACCTAAGCACAGGCAGGCATACCAATATGCACGATCAACCCAAGACAACCCGGGGAAACACTCGACGATGGTAAGTGAGAGGCCCTCTCGGTCCACGTCTAGATAGATAGCGGAACAATCGTCGTGAGGTAGCCTAGGGCTGCAGCTCACGAACGGTGACGAATCTGGCACAGCGTCGGAAGTCACGATCCGATAATCGTCCTATCCTGTCTATGTTCTCCTGATGGCGGAGGAGACGAGCCAAGAAAACCCTTCGAGAGATAATTAAACTTAAGAGGAAGGGGTACGGAGCTAACCTTCAGGGCTGCGTAGCCCGGCGGGTCGTGACGGAGCAGAGATCCGACGAAGGCAGGGACGTCCGGTGAAGAGCGATGCTCAGTGTCGACGGTCGGTCCTGGTCGAGAGTCGCCGTAGCCGTCGTCGTAAGCCGTGGCACGGTCGGCGCGGGCGTGGGCCCGCAGGTGGGCCGAATGGCACGCTAGCGAGCGTGGGTCCGCAGGTGGGCCGAAGGGCACGCTAGCGGGCGCGGGAGGCAAGCCGCGCGGCGGCCTTAGGGCACGCAGGAGCCGGCGCGCGGGGCGCGCGCGGCGGCAGCGCTTCGGCGGGAAGGCCGAGCGTCTGCTGCGCTTCGGCGGGAATGCCGAGCGTCAGCGGCGCTTCGGCGGGAAGGCCGAGCGTCGGCGGTTGGGGCGGAAACCCAACCGTCGCCGGAAGGATCGGCCTCTCTGGCGGCGCCGGGAAGCGGAGCAGAGAGGAGACGATCCGGCCGACGATACCAGGGAGGGTTGAGCTCTCCTGGTCTAAGCGGCGCCGGAAACGGCGCGACGGCGGCGGAACGTCGGGAAACTCCGGCGGGGGCCTGTGAGGAGCTGGGACTGGTTCTGGCTCGTCGGCACGGCTGCAGGGTCTCTCCCGACGTCGGCGGCAGGTAGGCGTTCGTCGGCGAACGGCCAGCGACTGGGCGGAGCGGCGGAGGGCGGCTCCGGCGAGTTTATGGTGGAGTTCCGGAGGAAGAGGCGGCAGTCGAACCAGGAGTCGAGAGACTCCGGCGGAGTGCTCGGCGACGGCTCGTAGCGAGGCGAAGCGAGCCCCTTTCGTCACGACGGCGTGACGGGGTTCCAGCAGAGGCGGCGGCGGCTGCAGTGGCAACCGCGACCGTTTCGTCCGGTGACGGCGGCGAGCTCCGGGGCGGCAATGAGATGGCCGGCGGCGGCAGTGGTCTCAGGCGGCGACGGGACTTCTCGGGCAGCAGCGTCACGAGGAACGAAGTCCTCGGAAGGGGGTATCGACGGCCTTCCTCTTCCTCCTTCCCTCCCTATCCTAGATCACGGAGAAGGTACTCACAAAACGATAATCTCTCTCAAAAATACGGCGCTCTCTTGAGGGGGGGGTCCTACTTCCCCTTGTATGGGGGCCCACAAGTGGGCTAAGGGGAGTTGGGCCCACTTGAGGTCCTCAAGCCCATAAGCCACAAAGGCTACAAAGGGGCTTATTGGGCCTCTTAAAGAGAGACCCAATAAGCTCCCCTAAAAGGAGAAAGAGGAGGGCCCTCTTACGGTGCTTAAGTGGGCCTCAAATGAAGACCCAAATAAGCCCCAAAAGAGGCCCAAAAAAGAAAGACACATAGGTCCCCCCCCCTTAGGGTTTTAATTGGGCCTCAAAGAAAGACCCAATAAAACCCTAAAGAAAGGGAGACAAACAACAACACACACACATAAAATTGGGCCCGTTAACACACAAATGCGAGGCCCAACAAGTCAACGTGAAAATACCAATAAAGATAAGGGTGAGCTCGAGCTCGTCGTTGTCGCGGAGGTGGAATATCGTTATCCCGAAGGGCTAGGCCGTGTAGCAAAAGCCAGGCTCCTTCGTCTTCACACGTCGTTCGGGCTGAACTCGGACTGCCGGTGTCTCCTGAGCTAATGGAGACGAGTCCCGCTCGCCATCATTCTCAGAGCGTCACTCCCGAACCTACCGCACTATCGCATGGAGCCAGCCAAGTACGAGGAGCTTAGCCGACAGGTACAAGAGCTTTTGGACAAGGGACTCATCCAGTCGAGCCTTAGTCCTTGCGTCATGCTTGCATTACTAGCGCCGAAGAAGGATGGCACTTGGCACATGTGCTGCGATAGTCGCACGATCAATAGGATAACGGTTAAATACCATTTTTCGATCCCGCGATTACAAGACTTATTCGACATGATGACAGGAGCCACTATCTTTTCAAAGATAGATCTACGCACTGGTTATCATCAGGTCAGGATACGCCCAGGGGACGAGTGGAAGACCACCTTCAAGATCAAGGAGGGCTTGTACGAGTGGAAGGTCATACCATTTGGCCTCTCCAATGCGCCCAGTATGTTCCAGAGGCTAATGAACGAGGTTTTACGCCCATTCATTGGCAAGTCCATTGTAGTATACTTCGACGACATCTTGGTCTATAGCGGTACCCGAGACTCCCACCTCCAACACTTACGACAAGTGTTTAAGGCACTTCGATAGGAGAAGCTTTATACCCATCCTAAGAAGTGTAGTTTCTTCACTTCTGAGGTTACATTCCTCGGTTTTGTCGTCTTCGAGTGAGGAGTTTTTGCAGACCCTGAAAAGGTCTACGCAATAGTCACTTGGCCACGGCCAGACAACATACATGGCATCTGGAGCTTCATTGGACTAGCGACGTTCTACCGTCGCTTCATTCGGGACTTTAGTTCTGTCACTACTCTGCTTACTGATTGCCTCAAGAAGGAAACCTTCCTTTGGACAAAGGTAGTTGAGCAGGCCTTCGATCGGGTGAAGGCTTGATAAGTTTTCATTATCATGAGTTAATAATTAGTAAATAATATATTTTTAGCCTTAACTCATGATAAATAGACTTATATTTGTGTTAAAGTGTGAAAAGTGGTTTTCAATTGATTAATGTGAATTTTTAGGTAATTATGTGATTTTACATGAATTTATATGATTTTTACAGTCTTGCTTTTGAGATAAATGAAGAAAAAGAAATAAAAATAAGACAAAATGAGGGGGACCCACCGGCCAGCCGGGCTCACAAGCGGGTCGGAAGCTCAGTCGGGGAGTAGCCGCAAGCAAGGGCTCAAGCGACTTGGACCGATAGGGGCACGTGTGCGCCACTTCCCTTCCACGTCACCGATGGCCAGCCGGCTGTGAGGCAAAGAGTGGTCGTACACGCAAGAGAAGGAACTTTGCTTAGAAATGTAGCATTACTATATATTCGCCTGAAAAATCGGCGCACAACCAATGTGGGACTAAACCCGCGTCACACCTTCCTCAGAAGGGGCGGACAACCGGCGCGGGTTCGAATCCTCCTAGAGTCAAAAGTCATATATTTTTATCTGATTATTGCGACTTTCCTGCAGATCGCCGGTGAAGGATTAAGCAATGAGAATCGCTGGATCATCGGCAAAAATCTCGTCAACGCGATTGGCGGAGTGTTGCTACTAAAATTGCTGAACGATTCACGATAAAAGGATCACAAATCCATCGAGTAAATCATCTCCGATTGATCGATGAACAAGCCGTCGTCGGGAAGAGGACGATCTGCCGGGAGACGAGTCGCCACCTCCTGAGAGCATACCAGATGCAATGAAGAGCCTCCTCTTACTACGCGGACCTGAGGATGAAGCTCCCTAACACGCGCCTCACCTCCATCCAGCTCCTTTCCATCGGGTGACAGCCGCTGGAGAGCCACAAAGTCACTGTTTTTCCGCTCCGTTGGGTGACAGCTGCCGAAGACGACTCGACGACCCATTTCATTAATCTTTAAACTTCGTGAGAAGATCTAGAGATTGCCCACGTCGTCCTTGCCTAATGAGAGCCTTCGAGGCCGTGGACACTGTACAACGATCCTCCCGAACACTAAGAATTACGGTGCATCGCTGACGCATCACTGTCGCGTTGCCGGAACTCTATTTTCCTGCTTTCAACTTACTTTACGCTTCATTTAGTGATAGTTTTTGTGATTTTAATTTACCAAAATATACTTTGTTCTATTACGATTCTTTCGGCTTTTACAGATCTTAATTTGATTAATTAAATCGTCTGTAATCGCTTACGTAAGAATCATTAGGCGGAAACAGAGTTCCGCCCGATTCGCATTCGCCGAGCGCTGACGTCATCCTGACGTCCGCACCCTTATTTCCCTTTTTTGTGAATTTTAAATATATTTCCTTTTCATTTCCTAGTATACAATTCATAGAAAATCGTATTCATTGAGAAAAATTCTGAATAATTACCAGATATTATATTACATCCCTATGATCGACCTGAGAAATTACCGCTATTTTTGGAAGTTTTATTGAATTATAATTGATATATTTATTTAGAAATACTTCTAAATATCCGAAAATTCGTATTTTCTAGTTTTATAAATTTTAGATTTACGTGATTTAATATACAACGACTAAGTCACGTCAAATTTTGGCGCTGTTGCCAGAGATGTATTGCATAATATTTAGTATTTTTCTGTTTTTCTCTTAGAGTACACAAAAAAAAATTAACTCTTATTTTATTTTCTTCTTGCCGAATTTTTTTTTTGAAAAAGGGAACGAAAAGAAACAAGGCAAGGACTGAAGTATACTGAAGGAGGGTAACAATTACTAAACTTTTCCCTCGAATTTATTATTTTTTTTTATGCATGGTAGAAGATTTTTGCATCCAAGGCTAGAAAATCCTTTCTTTCATTCAAAACTAAAAATCCGAAAGAAAAATTAATTTTGATAGATCTTGAAGGAAGTACAGGTCAAACTGAGAACAATCCTATGGCCATCAAAAATATTTATATCCCTGATTCATTTCAAAGAGCATCCAATATTAGAGTCCCATTAGCACCCAATGTTAAATTCAAAATAAATCCAATAATTTTTCAAATGCTCCCTAATTTTCATGGATTGCCTTTAGAAGAACCTCATCAGCACTTAGAAAAATTTGATATGGTCTGTGATTTAGTTAATCTCCCTCAAGTTACACCGGAAATTATTAAGATGAAATTATTTCCTCATACACTTAGGAACAAAGCTAGCCATTGGCTATCCACATTAGATAGAGAATTAACTAGCTGGAAAGACATAGAATAGGCCTTTCTTCGAAAATTTTATCCCTTAGGAAAAACTCAAAATATGAGAAAACATATATGGAGTTTTTCTCAAAGACTAAGAGAAACTTTACATGAGACATGGGAAACATTCAAAGATTTACTTATAAAGTGTCCTCATCATGCTATACCCAAGTGGCAGCTCAATAGATTTTTTTATGATGGATTATTAGAACAACATAGAAATATGATTGATTCTATATGTGGAGGAGCTTTTATGGAGAAAACCTCTGATGAGATTTACAGTCTTTATGAGAATTTAAGTGAAAATTCTAGAGATCAAGCCTCTTTTGAATTATATGACAGGGATAAGAAGAGAGGAATTCATGAATTACATCATGATAATAAATCTAAATTTATAAATGAGGTTAATTAGATTAATCAAAGATTAGAAAAACTTGATTTACTTATTGACAATATTAGAAAGCCTCTTAACCCTCAATTTAATTCAAATAGTACATGTCCTATGTATGGTGAAAATGATCATTTCGAATTTCAATATCATCATAGGCAAGAACAAGTACAAGTACCCCACAATTTTAGTAAAAATAGAGAATATTTTTCTAATTCTTATAATCCTAATTGGGGGAATAATTTTTCGTGGAGAAACCCAAATAATATTCAAAATCCAGAAGCACTTAGATCTAATTCACATTTTGAATTTCGTCCAAAACAGGAACATAGATTTCAGAAAAATCAGTCCTCTCAAATCCAACCTGATGTTATGGAAATGATGCAACAAATGAGTCAAATGATGCAACAAACTATGAATCAAATGATGCTGCACCAGAAACAAATTATAGAGGCTCTTGGGAATAAGAGAGAAGAGGGACAACCGCTTAGTCAACCTATAGAAAATTCAGGAAACTATCTAACAGTAGGATTTCAACAAAGAGAGTTTAGCTGGATAAATTTAGAAAAAAACCCACGAAATGAAAATGTTAGGATAGTGAATACATTGATTGAGAATATTTTACCTGATCCTTATTTCCAATTATTAGAAGAAATTGATGAGCCATTAGAAGTAAATGAGAATATTAAGACTGAAAATATAGTAGCAGAAAATTTGAATAAAATCATTTATTGCTCACAATTGATGAATAAATATAGTGAGGATGATGAGGAGAAAGAGCCCTTAGATGAAGAAACAGCAGCTGATCATGGAAAAATCATCCAAATTTTAGTAGAAGGGAGTAAGGAAACAAATGAAAAAAAACATATTTCAGGTGAGGAAAAATCAGTTGATTTAGGAGATGTAGGAGACAAAATTAATAAACCAAATCATAATTTTGCAGCCATGGATGTTGATAGTGAGGATGATGATGTATATCATATACCGAAATTAAAAGATAGCTCTTGGGAAGATGAAGAATTTGATGAGTTGAGAAACGAAAAGTTAGAAAAAGAGTTGATTCAACTAATGGGGAGAAACGAAAATAATGAATATGAATATAGAGATAATTTTGGAGGAGAAAATTTGAATTTTACTGAATTCATTAGATCTGAGATTAAAGAAGACAATCCTTCCATCCTTCAAAACCCACAACCCATTAGAATTATTTTTATGTCCCGCTAGTAGGAGAGGAAGAAAGATCTAAGTCTGAAACTTTGTGAGAAAAAAGGAGGATGACCATCTTGAATTGGCTCCACTTAAGAGTCTCTCATACCCCCCCCCTTTTCATTATCTATGTTTTCATGTTTTCTTTCCCTTATGTGTTCCCTTGTTCTTATGCCAACTCTTGTATATGAGAATCCCCTTATATGTTTTGAAAGTCACTTTCTTCACATAGTCAAGTTTATTACATTTCATCTTGGTTACAAATCCTCTTACCTCCCCATCTAGCAATGGGCACCCATCTTGATATTCTTTTGTGGTTAAACTTGTGATAAGCATGACTTATTATTCAAAGAAATTGAACCATATGATCAACAATTTGATATTATAGAATGAATCTAGATAGAGTTTGGAGTGAAATTCTACAAGAACTTGAACCTTGTGATCAAGGATATGCATCTTTAGAGAATGGGTTATGTCAAGGGAATAGAATCATTATATTTTTATTTTATTTTCATTTGAAGTAAGAAAATAAAATAAATGACAAGATAAAAAGATCAGGCTAATTAGATCCAACCAATTCAATCTCTTGTTCTTGGTTTAAGTGTTACTTTAGTGCCCAAAAAAGATCACTCTTCTGGGGATGCCATGAACGAATTGCCAAGGGAAAAGAACAAGGAAAGGAGCTTGCTTTCGAGGAACTCACCAAAATTTAAGCTCGAACCAGTGAATAATCATGCCTGAAGAGTATTTGATTAGTCATATGGAATTATTTTTATTTTCCGTTTTTGTAATCATTTTTTTTCCAGTATGTTCTTTAAAGCAGGTCTCAATAGTGCTTTACTCATTGAAGGGCAGCCCATCTCTGCGATGGACTTGGACGGACTCGGGCTGTTGAGACGCGTGGCCGAAGAGATTGCCACGTGGGTCTGATTCTAATTTTTCTTTTATTTTGTGGTGGTTCAAAACTGGGATCACACCCGGCAAGGCCATTGAGGGTCGTAGCGGTGAGTTTACCGCGGAGGTTTGGACCGGGTTTTTTAAACTGCCGCCTACGGCTTGGGGGCGGGGCTTGAGTGCTGGGACAAAAGAGGGAGAGGCGGGCGAGGGCTAGAGAGAGAGAGAGAGAGAGAGAGAGAGAGGGAATGCTGTATTCATGGCTCGTTTGTCGCTGCTGGCGACGCTGCTCTTCTGGTATTCCGTTCGAATGAAGCCCTGATCGATCGTGACCGAGGCAGGGGACAGCTGAAGAAGGCGAGTGGTTGGTGAAGCTGGAGTGAGGATACAATGCAGGACAACTTCGGATCCGTCAGAAGGTCTCTCGTGTTTCGTCAGAATCCCCACGCGGATGAGTCGGGCGCCGTTGGTGGGGGCATCGCGGAAAGGATCGGATCTTGCTTGAGGAAGTCGAAGGTCGGGCTGGGAGGTCTCGGGATGGGGCTCCTGTCCAGAATCCAGAGTCTTGCTCCTCTGCCGGAGCCACCGGCCGTGGATACTGCTTCCTCTGCGCAGGATTGCGTCCCCGCAATTAGGTGGAGGAAGGGTGAACTCATTGGTTGCGGTGCATTTGGGCATGTGTACATGGGCATGAACCTCGACTCGGGAGAGCTGCTCGTCGTAAAGCAGGTTTCCTCTGCGTGTGTTTCCGTGCATATATTTATACTTGCATCCTCACTTTTTTCCCTTGGTTATGATAATTGATATTCATATGAATTTGGAATCTTTCTCTAATCATGCATATCTGCTCACCGTACAGGTTATGATTGGGACAAGTAGTGCTTTCAAGGAGAAGGCCCAGGTGAGGATTTTGATCATCTGGTTTTCTCCTAATTTATTCTTGATTTTTTCATAATACTGATATGATCTTTGTTTTCTTTTATGACGTTTGATATCTTAACGTTGAAAAAAATCCATTATTTTACCATCCAAAATGCTTATAAAAAATAATGAACGCCCAGATGGGTTTCCCTTGGAGTTTTGTCAGTTGCAGTCGTTTTTCTTTCAAAAAGTGTAGTCTTGTAGGCTGATTTCTGATGTTGGGGGCTAGATCTGTGACGGGACAGAACTTATTTGGTTTACTTATTCAGCGTTTACTTCTTTGAACTTCGAACTTTGAACTTTGTATAGGATAACATACGGGAGCTCGAGGAAGAAGTCAAGCTTCTTAAAAAGCTTTCTCATCCAAATATTGTGGTGAACATCACATTAGCATTAATATTACGAAGACAGAAATAATAACATATATTGTTTGTTATTTATTGATGATTTTACTCATATGAGTTGAGTATATATTTTTAATAAAAAATTAGAAGTATTTATAGTCTTATTAATTTTAAGGTATTTTTTTAAAAAATGTGATTGCATTATTAAAGTAATCTTTGTAAATAAAGGGGAAGAATTCTTATCATTTGAGTTTGGATTTTCTCTCAATATTTCTCCAACAAAGGTAGAGTCATGAGTATCACTCCCTATGAAGTATGATATTATATAAAGCCAAAGGTAGAGTCATGAGTAGGAGCATTGAAAAGTTTAAATTTCAGAAAAGTTTGTTTGTAAAAGGATAAGGGAGAGTGCTTAACAAAGAAGAGAGAAATGAAGAGATCGTGGACATGAATGATAGCTCTTTTGTGATCCCATGTGAAGGAGAAGTCGTGGATTCATTTCTTGAACCTTAGACATTGAATTAGATGATTAAAAAAAAAGTATCGATAAATTAATGGCGAGATCTTGTATAGAATTTCGCTGAAAAGATTAAAAAGTTGAAAATGATTTTACACCCAATAAATTAAATATTCTTGTGACTTAAAAATATTTAAATTGGTGACATATGTTTAATATGATTTATATAATATTTATTAGGTGTTTTAGCCTAATATTATGTACATAATTCTGTATGCCTAATATTAGGCTAACACCTCTATAAAGATAATTATTGAGACCCAACACCTCTATAAAAAGACTGATTTTTGAGCACTCAATAGAAGTTGAAAAATCACGGAAACTTAAGAAAAACTAGTAAATATGAAAGTAACACTCACATCAACCAAAAATTGTGGGAAACAATAAAAAAATCAAGATCAAGGACAAAAATCAAAGAGTAATAAAAGGTCAAAGATTCATCATTAATGAGAAGCTTCCCGATGAAGAAATTAGAGGAATCAAGCCTTGAGCAAGAGTTGAGCATAAACAATTAGAGTGATAATTTGTTTAATTTATATTTTAGAGTAAATTTAGTAATACCAATCTAAAATCTCAATTTAGATGAGATTATCTAGTGCTAAACTCATTAGCCCCCTAGAGTTATGAATTTAGAAGAGAGAAGCATGTCTCTTTTATTTGACCCCCTAGACCTACAGTTTTCCAGAAGAGAAAAGTGGGTTTCCTTTGATTGAACTCCCCAAAGCCTTGAATTTAGAAGATAAGTTTTAATTAGAAATTTTGAGTTAACTAGAGTTGATAAGTTTACTGAAGATAGCTAAAGTAATTTAATGTATATTTGACTAAGAAATTAGTTGAACACAAGAACATAGTATTTAGAGAGGGAGTAAATTAGGTATAGACTAAACCGCTATTAAATTACATAAGCAAAATACTTGAATTGTCTTATATCTTAAAATGACTACTGAAATTAGAGCTATTTGTCCCACATAAGTTTCCTTCAAAAAAATTTACATGTCCACAATGTAAGTAGATATTGAATAAGCTCACTGATATTGCATTTTCGTAAAACAAACAAGGTCAGAACATCCTAAAATGCTCATAAGATGAAGTCCAAAAGGCCTGGAAATGTGTTTTGAAAACATTTGAAGATGTTAGTTATAGTTTTTGTTTTACTTAATAAGACTGTTCTGTAGCCTTTTCTTGTATGTAGGGAGTCAAACATGTTTGTAGATCCTCACTATTTTACCATCCTATTAGTATTGCTTTTTTTAGCCTATTTTAAGAGGCTCAAAGTATATGACAAAGATGGCATTCTTCATGATAGTAATATTCTTTATATCCCTCCCCTGTGAATTCAAGAACACCCACTTCTTGTCCCTCATGAGTGGGTTCAACAATTGCAGATCTCATTCACTAAGCATTTAAAGCATAGCTTCACTTATTCCTTCATTTTCGCTACATTAAATAAATATCAAACTATTTAGTCCCATATTCACCCTCATGATAGCAGTGTCTTTGTGTGCAAGATGGAGTCAGACTCTTCCAATGATGTTGTTCGCAAGGCTGACCTTGTCACGGTCACACTCATGGTTACTCAGAATCTGTGGGAGCTGCAAGGTACTTACACACATACGGCAACTGTTGCTACTGGAAGAAAAGAGGAAGAGGATGCCTCCTTTGACAGACAAACCCATCAACACATGCGAAAAATGGGCCTTGCGCTCGTGAGGAACGGATACACAGAGCCCATTCCCTCACATTCTCCAAAGAGACGACGTCCACAGATCTACACTCGGTGGGCTAATAATGGGATGATGCTCGAGAGGGTCAAAGATTCCGGCAAGGCATCTTTCAGCGTTTCCATGGCGGAGACCGTGCTTGGCCCTAAAAGGAATCCTGCCCGGGGGTGAGAGGGGGTGATTTAATGATCCCCTTTGGTTTATGTTAAATTGCATATATAGCGTCATAAAAGGGTATAAGGTGTATATTTCATTAAATGAGGATACAGTATAATAAATTTTCGGAGGTCACATGAATCCTGCCAATTTTCGCATGGAATCCGACCGTAGCGAGGGAATATTTGAATTTAATCCTCAGAGAATCTATGCCATTGAATACCATCCAGAAAAGCTCATCCATTTGTGGGGAAACGTTTTCCCCCGTCCACCTCCTGCCGACATCCGAAAGATTCGTTTGCGGGGAAATTCGTGAATATTCTAGCCGTTAAACGTCCACGCACGGTGAATCTTTTAAAGGTCCTCTGTGAAAGCGGAGGTCGTTCTCAACCCCAATCCGAGGGAAGGACCGCCAGATCCTCCCAAGCCTTCCGTTCCTCTATGGCCTTGGCAGTGTGGTTGACTTGTAGAGCCTCCGGTGGTCCCCCATCATCTTCCACTGCGGTTCTTCGTCAGCTCTGAAGAGATTCTCTCCAGTCTGCCGGGCGGTGGGGACAGCGGCGGCCGGCGCTTCCTCTGGCCAGCGAAGCGGTGAGCGACCTGATTTCTATATCCTCTTTCGAGCCCGTTGTGGGCATAATTTTCTTGTGGGGGCGGGGGGGGAGGAAGGGCACAGTCGAAGGCGGAGAAGGGGGAGAATGGCGGGTGCCGTTAGCAGCTGCTGCTACTCGGCCAATCTGTCGACTACACATCGTCATTTTCCGCGTCCCCGCCGGACCGTCATCGCCCTTAGCCCTGGCTTTGTTGTCGCTGCGCCGCCGGCCGATCTTACAAGCATCGTGCAGTCTTCTTCTTCCCTGCCGTCCTCTTCCGTAAAGATCGGGCTCTTCTCGTCGGCTATCTCCCCGGCTCCGGTCATCCACTTTGGACCAGCTCGTCTGCCGGATAAGGAGGTTCCGCTGAGCAAGCGCTTGGTCTCGCTGATCGTCGGGAGCAGCGGGAGCGGCGACGGGGGACTGGGGAGCGGTGATGGCGGTGATGGTGTTGGTGGAGGATCAGGCAGCGGTGGTGGTGGAGGTGGGGAAGGGGAAGGGCAAGGTGGGGAGGATTCCTCGAGCGACAAGAACAGGTTGGAGGCGCTCTTGGCGCTTTCGCAGGCTGGAAGGTCGCTGGGGAGCATCCCAAATGATTTTGCGGCTGCGATCCAGGCCGGGAGAATCCCAGGGTCCATTGTGAACCGTTTCTTCGAGCTCGAGAAATCGCCACTTCTTGGATGGCTGCTCCAGTTTAGCGGATTCAAGGAACGACTGTTGGCGGATGACCTCTTCTTGACTAAGGTCGCCATTGAGTGCGGTGTCGGGATATTCACCAAGGTGTCTCCTCATTTCTTCCTATTCTTCTCAACGTTATTTGCCTATTTACCGCGTTCGGCATGCGTTATCCACCTATTAGCTTGCCTAGAGGCCTCTGTGCATGTACACTTGCTTTCCCTTACGTTGTTTCCCCCAGTTCCATTTATTTGCTTCATTCAAGACCTTGAAATCTATTGTTCGAGCCCCTCACTTCAGATTCGGTGCCTTTTAATATTCTTAAGGTAGAATTCTTGCATCTTTTTGCCCATGAAAAGTTTCTTGAAATTTACGTCAGATGTTAAGATGATTGTTAGTCACATGTCCTCGGTTTCAAGTGTTAATATGAAGGGACGGGAAGGGGATCTTCGCTGGAGGGTTTTAACATTCGAAGTGTTGAGAAACAGTATTTGGAAATTGTTACTACTCTTCTGGTGTTAGCTTATGTATTTTGTATTAAAAGGCCGAAAATGTTCCCTATGCTGACCAATATTACATGTTTGTTTTCAGTGGGGTGGAGAATATTGAATTAAACTGATGGGATGTTGTTTAGTTGTTTTTCCTCTGTTCTACTTGTCTTCTTTTTGGATTACTTTCATGTCTTCATTCTTATTCGGCTGTCTAAGTTTTACCATTTGTATATATATTCTTAAAGGCCTACCAGTGATTTTTTTCCTGGTGACTCCATTCTTCAGACAGCAGCAGAATATGAGCGCCGCAGAGAAAATTTTATGAAGGAGTTGGATTTTGTTTTTGCAGATGTGGTATGGCCCCTTTAAGTTTTTTTGTTATTATGTGATAAATGTAAGGATACCATTATATTAACGAAAACATCTGCTTGTTAATTACTTGGTAACGTGGCATTTGTCTTAACCATAAAAAGGACATGTTACTGATGCTCAGTGATAATGACTTGGGCATGAGTCATTGAATGATTCAACAAACCTTTTTGGGTTTACAACAGAATGAGCTCATCATTAAGTTTTCTTGCGTTCTGTGCTCTAAATCTGTAACTATTGAATGCTTGCTGAAGCTCAGGCACACTGTCGATTTACCACACAGGAAGAACATCAAGAAAGGAATGTGGCACTTTGACATGGAAAAATGAAAAAAGCTCTAAAAAAGGATATTTACCTCCTAAAAAGATGCACAGCTATAGTTATATTTTTCAATATATTCGTACGTTTTTATAAGTAGGTTTTGAAGCTATGTAATTTCATCGAGACAAATATTATCATCTGGATACACTTAGATATTCAAACAAGTAACTTTTGGAAAAAAGCAAGAAAACTTGTGTTCTTTGATGTAGCATGTGCCAAACATTAACCAACACATTCATATGGAAATCCTTTTTATTAGTGACATTTATAATTGTGCTCCTATACATTATTGGTCTTGCCAGTCTTTACCCTTCGAATCCAACTTGATCAAAACCACAACTGCACCTGCCTTGTCCGAGATACAATCCCAATTGTACGAAACTTGTCTATAGAGTATCCAAACCCACTAAAAAGAGGATTAGTCTCATTTCCTCAGGGCCCTTCATTCTTACAATCACAATAACGATTATAATTATGGCTCTTTGGCTGACTTCATTTGGGAAAGAACATAATTTTTCCCTTACTGCTGCCATATCAACGAGGGTAGAGCATTCTCTGCCATATCAAGAAAAAGAGTTTTTCTGTAACCTCTTATTGCATAATCTATGGAATGTATGCATGCTCTTTGAATTGATCTGAACTATAGCTTAGTTAGCAGGTCTGATGAATGTGGAAAAAGAAAACTTAATCCCTCGCCATTTTGCACCTGCTCAGGCCAAAACTGCCCCTTTGAATCTCTATTGGAGATGCATAGGGCTTTGAGGGAATTGTGATACGATAAAAAAACCCACATAAAAATAGGAGTTATAGTTGCGTATCTCAATGACACCTCTAGTTTTGTAGGAACTAGCCAATATCAGTTATTGTATAACTGGCCTGTTTGATGTGCTAGTTCCGTGTGAAGCCTTTATTTTATATTGTGATACTGTGATACTCATGGCTGCAATTCAGAAAATTTAAAATTTTAACAACCTTGGTGCTTATCTCCTTCCTAGGTAATGGCCATAATTGCAGATTTCATGCTTGTCTGGCTTCCTGCCCCAACTGTTTCCCTTCGCCCTGCACTTTCTTTTAGTGCTGGACCAATTGCGAAATTTTTCTATGGGTGCCCTGATAATGCTTTTCAGGTGAGTTTCATTTCCTTTTAATATCTTCCATTCTTCTGGGAAACTTGGAACAAAATTAAAAATTTTCATCTCTTTAGTGGAAAACAAAGCTATTTTCTTGAAGAATACTTGTCAAAGCTTTCTCAGTATTCTTACGTTACTGTTGGAATATTTTTTGTAGGTCGCCTTAGCTGGAACCCATTACTCGTTTCTGCAGAGAATTGGTGCAATAGTGGTGAAGTATCAGATATGCATCATTTAAAATATTATCTATTCATGCATGTGTGTGTGTGTGTGTGTGCGTACTCATTTATCCTGGTACACGGGTGTGCATGTACCCTTGGGTGTACATGATATGCATGTACACACATGGTTGAATGGGTAGTACAAATTTGTGCAACATTTCATGTGCATGTGCATGCATGTCTTTTTATTATTACTCATTGATGGATGGACCTTTATCTTGCAGCGTAATGGAACAAAGCTTTTTGTAGTCGGCACTGGTGCATCTCTGGTATGATAATTCCTTGAAAATAAACTTCCTGTTGTACGGAAAACTTGCAAAAACTTCATGCTATCAACATAATTTAGCCTCTAAATTTTTTATTACTCTGGCTTCCCAATCATGGATGGTTACTCTCCCGATAGAGAAGTTGTGGAACAATGCACCTATTTGTGTGAATGTATCTAATTCTCAACAGCCCAGCCGCAAACTCCCATCCCCACACCACCTACCTATCCTCACACTTGACCCCAAGTCTGCTTGTGCTATTTTTGATTTCGAGTCACGGGCTTAATAGCCTTCTCTTAGTGACTATCAAACTCTGTGGTCTTCTCAGTTTCACTCGTCAATGTTTTAGCTCAGGTCTTGCATGCCTTCTTTTTTTCCCTCAATCTCTTTGACTTATTGTCTTTTATTATCTTTTGATTTGAATGATGAACATCGGTTTCTTACAAGTTGGAGGTGCGGAGCTTACAAAATGTCCCTAGGGCACATTTTGATGTAGTCATGTAGCTGAGAAGACCTTTTTAGGTTCTTATTTGGGTTGAAGAATGTTCTCTTTAGGAAGATTTGAATAAAAGTGACTGAACTCAATAATTTGAACACTCTAAGTCTGACATGAAACTTGCTCCGAATCTGTTTTAGAAGCCGTGTAAGTGCAAGAAAGTTGTCTTAGTATCTTGAGTCATTAGATGACCTTTCATCTTAACGGTTATAACACTTGTCTTAGTTTTGTCTTTGCAATGCACCACTTTTGATCCACACGTGGAGCAATGTAATAATACTATAGATGCTTTTAAAGGATGGCTACCTGGGCTTAAAACTTCATGCTTGATACTGATTACACGCAACATGAGTATCATGCGTTGTCCCCTTGTGATCTATACCAGTGCAAGCAAGACTTCATGGTAGGTTCGTGTACATTAGTCAAGTGCAGCTGAAGTTGAACAAAAGTCCATGGTGCTCCCCATGTGACTTGGTCCAGATGTTGTATGTCAAGTTCTCTAACTATTTGGTCAGTTTGATTTTGGGATTAAAACATAGTTCCATGAAAGCCTTCATCAAATTATTTTAGCTCCGTTTTTACAAATTATGCCCTAAATGCAAGGGAGAGTTTCCTTCCCAACTATAAGAGTTCTGATGCAATCGTACTCCATGTAAAGTGGTTTTCTAGTTCGGGCATTTAACATGGAGTTTCTCTTGATGGAAAAGTAGATGTTATACAGCCAGTGGGAGCTGGATGGGTGTTGTTTTCTGTCTTCATGGAAGAATAGATGCTTTACAACTAGTGAGAGCCGCATGGGTGTTCTTATTTGTCTGAATGGAAGAATAGATGATATCCAACTAGTGAGGCCGCATGGGCGTTCTTTTCTGTCTGGATGGAAAAATGGATGCTATACAACCAACTAGGTGCCAATATGGAATGATTGAGGCCATATATGAGCTCATGTATGACTATTTTTACTTTCTCAAGTTACAGTGTTTGGTATATCTCTGAAATCGTGTATTTTCAGATAGGAACTGGCGTAACCAATGCCCTGATGAAGGCTAGAAAAGCGCTTGACAAAGATTTTGCCGGAGAAGCAGAGGATGTCCCCATACTCTCAACAAGTGCAGCCTACGGTCTCTACATGGCAGTGTCAAGCAACCTTAGGTAAATGGGTTTAGAGCGATGTTCTATTCGTTTGAGACATTTTTAGCAAATAATGGAAGTTATTTCTACCCTTATCAATCGCCATTTTTTCTCTAGTTTTATTTATTTACACTGTTTATTGCATTTCATTTTTACCTGGTGCACAAATCCTATAAAACTGATGCAAATATAATTAATCTTCTTTGTAATGTTTTAATCATGAAAACTCACTACACACATTGTGACCGATGTTTACGTCCCTGTTTCATTTGCAAATATGGAATGATAGATACCATATATGAATCCTATAAAAATGATGAAAAATCTAATTAATGTTCTTTGCAATCTGTCAACCATGAAAACTCACTACACACATTGCAACCGATGTCTATGTCCTTGTTCTTCATTTGCCAATATGGAATGATAGATGCCATATATGAATCCTAAAAAAAATGATGAAAATCTAATCAACGTTCTTTGCAATCCGTCAATCATGAAAACTCAACTACACACATTGCGACCGATGTCTATGTCCTTGTTCTTCATTTGCCAATATGGAATGATAGATGCCATCTATGAATCCTAAAAAAAGTGATGAAAATCTAATCAATGTTCTTTGCAATCCGTCAATCATGAAAACTCAACTACACACATTGCGACTGATGTTTGCATCCCTGTTGTTCTTCATTTGTATTCCCCGGCTCTGAAAGTTTGTGTGAAAAAGGTACCAAGTATTGGCCGGGGTAGTTGAGCAACGAGTCTTGGAGCCCCTCCTGCACAACCAGAAGCTTGTTCTGAGTGCGCTATGCTTTGCTGTGCGGACCGGCAACACCTTCTTGGGATCCCTTCTGTAAGTGCTTCCTTCTCTCCTCAGAACCAGTCCCCTGGGAAGATTTTTGACACGTCCGTCATCTGTGAACAGGTGGGTCGACTATGCTCGCTGGATCGGAGTCCAGAAGATCCGCGAATAAGTGGTTGATATTGGCTGAAAGTAAATCATCTCTTCAAGTTCAATGAATGCCCTCCGATGGGTTCCATTCCGCCTTCTTTGATTTTTCGTTGGCGGGGACATGCTGGGGCTGCTTCCGATCCATCTGCCCTCCCCAAGATGGCAAGTTTATCCGTTATAAACTAGAAACCGGGTCTGCCCCCCTCTTTGATCTCACCTGTGGGTTCGTCTCTTTCCTCTTGGAACCAAAGTATAGCTTGAGCAGTGTGTGAAGTCATCTCATGTGAACTGGCAGTTCTCATTTGTGGCATACATGTTTAAAGCTAAAACTTATACACTGGTGATTGGAGTGTTAATGGATTAAGCCCAAAGTCCAGCACCTATTGGCCTGGGCTTTTGTAGACATGGGTAGTTGAATCTATTGACTCTGAGAGCCTTAAATCTTTTGTAGACTTGGGTAGGTGAATCCAATCCAGAAACAAATGTAGCCTCAAATCTCTCTCTCTCTCTCTCTCTCTCTCTCTCTCATTTAAGGAAATTCTAATCTTTGTTACAAAATTTTAATTCTCAAAATGAGATCACTAGGATTATGAAACATAATTATGTTAATACTTTCTACAATCCTACAATGCAATTGGTGTTGTATATTCTAATGTTGGCAAATAACAAGAGATGAAAAGAAGAGAAAAATTGATCATGAATATGTTATTCTTGCATCAATACTCTAAAGATGTTTCAAATTGTAAGATTTGGGCCATTTGTTGTTTTATTATATTTTTAGGCACTAATTTGGTCAGCCTACTTAAGATATAAATCTAGAAAAAGAGTATTATGAGCAGATACTTTAGCTTATTAGAACCATGAAATCTAGTGAAGGTTATAGCTAAGGAATTTGTGCCCAACAATTGTGCAAAAAAAATTTGTGGAACCTAAGAACAAGATACATAGAGAGTGGACCAAGCTAAGAGGATCAAATTAATAGAAATCTTGGTTTCAACACTTGTACAAAAAAAAATAGTTAAAGGTCCAAAAAAGACCAGTTTAGTCCCCTCCTAGTTCCTCTCACAACCTCCTTACAACCAACAAGTGATAATGGAACCTATCTCTATTATAACATTTTCAAGTAATGATATAAATAATAAGCTTCATACACTTTATTCACTTCAAAATATATATGGCTTATTTTCCGCAACATATTCGTTAAAAAAATTCAAGGTTCTATTGACCCACTTGATACAATTTTGTTGTCATATTTATTGATTTGATCATCCAGATTAATTTATGATAGAAAATGAATCTTTTCGTCAGTTGGTCACCACCGTTTTCTTTAAGTGAAAGTAATTTATTGTTGTTTAGTCAAATAGTGTGCCCCAAGCTTGTTGTTATGTTTAAGAAAATATATCATCATGCTAAGATTACACTAATACCAAAATTATGTAGTCATATGTTTATGTCAACTTAGTATGTAAGATTTTTTTGGTATTAAATACATCTAGATCATTAATAACTGATGATAAGTCAGGTCATTCCTTTCCTTATGCGTTGTGGTAAGTGCTTCAATAGACATGTGAGGAGTATTTACTTATTTCTAAGATCTAGATTGCAACTATTTGCAATTTAGATCAACTTTTAGTGATTATTGTACTATGTTTCTAATCCACAGCATTGTATCTCACTTCTCCACGTATCTTATCATGCCATCACACATTCTCCCTTCTTCTCTCTCTCTATCTCTTATCCCTATTGGGCCAGCATCACTCTCTCTCTCTCCCATTGTAGTTGAAAGATAATATTTAGCTATTTACATTATTAAAGAGATATTGGTGAAAATAAAATATCCGCTTGTGGTGCATCATTCACTATTTAATGAAGTTAATTATCAAAGTCAATTTTGCATAAATTAAGCTTGTTGGGCCTCTCTCTCTCCTCCCTCCATTCCCTCCCTCCCTATGGATTGAGATATCGCCATGAAGGATATCACGCGCCTTACCCACCCATGTGCGTAAGCTATTCCATTCAAAATTCCCGTTCTGAACGCACCGTCTCCCATGGCGACGATGCCACCGGCAGCAGCAGGAGACCCTTGCAGGTGCCACCCTCAGCTGTTTCTCAGTCTTCCTCAAGCTCTGCCTTCGAGCAGAGGATGGAGAGGCGTCTGTGCCCGGCCAGAAGTGTGGGTCCCAGGCCCGAGCTCGGTCCTCTGCTACGGTGAAGGCAGCAACGGGGACTGCAGCGATGACGGAGATGGTGACGGCCAAGGCACCAGTGAGAGGGCCAGCGGCAGTGAGAGAGGTGGAACTCCATCTTCAATTGGTGACCGAATTGGGGAGCAAAGGGTGACGGGGTTTGTGGACTACAACAAGGGGCGGCGCAGGCTGTCTGTCCAGGTTGGCGGCGTCGGAAGGGACAGGTTACCGGCGAGATATCGTCTTCGTGCGGCAGGGAGTGTGGACTGGACGGTGACGGAGGTGGCGGAGAGGATCCTGAGGCTTGAACACTGGAATGACATTGAAGGCATCCTTAACCGCTGGGCGGGTCGTTTTGCGCGGAAGAACTTCCCCCTTCTTATCCGGGTAATGAATCGACTTCGTTTTTAAATTCTCTTCGTCCCGTGGTTTTCGGTCAGAGCATAGCCGACTGCATTCTCTGATTTTTGGCCCTTCTAATTTGTGGATAATTGTTGATCTGCACGGCCAGATGCATTATCGGCGTACGTAGATGTTCTGTTTTCATTCAATGGACAGCAGCTCCTGGTTAATTGGCGATCCACAGTTAGGACCTTTTTTTGATGTATACTCGGTGATAGGCAACTCAATAGTTTTGGCGGCAGCTAATGAGGTATCTAAACTTCCATGAAAACATTTCATTGGATTCTTCATGTGTCTTGACTCCAAAATAAATCAATGGCATGATGTCACGTAAGAGTTGTTGGGTATACGTGGAAATCGAATTCAACGGTTATTGTTGGGTTTATCTCACAAAAAAAAAAGAATTCAAACAGAGAAGAAGAGAAGGCACAGTTGAATTCAAATGGTTGGAGTTGTGAGAGTTGGATTAAATCCTGTCTTCCACTAAAATGGGTTTAAATGAACGTTTTGGCCCAAAAAAGTAACAAAAAGTGGTCAACAAGTGATAGATTGGATTCTTGTCCGATTTCTATGACCCCATCTCCAGTGAAATTAATTGTCCTCCTTTCTCTGGGCATCCTCTCAACTTTGTTGTGTTATTTTATTCCTAGATACTGAGAATCGATGAATTGAGAAGTCCGAAAGCTAAGAATAATATGAATTTGATGAATTATAAGTCCTGTGCTGACCCAAATTTAAGAACCATAAGCTTTTGGTCATTAGTTCAGAACTTCACATGCACTGGAATGGATCAAACTCCAGAAACAAGGACAAGACTTAATCTATCATGCACTCTACAACCTTACTTTGACTGACAATCAAAGGAAGTGAATAGAAGAGGCAAGCACTAACAATTGGGGGACGTTTTATTTTTTTCTTAAATCTGTTTTCTTAAAGACACTTCATATGATATATCTTTACCCTTTTGTGTCATCAGAATTATTTTTCCCTTTACTGGATTACACATTATTCATTGTTAGCCTGTCAATTTGTGTGTCCTCCTTTTTTGCGTGAATTGTAACTGTTATATGTCCCTATTTGCATTTGGTTCTCGTGAAAACCATGGCCTTTTCCCCTTAGGCACGCTTTCTTGGTATTGATATCCTACTATTTAATTTTTTTGGGATATTTTGAGTCATTTCGGATGTTTTTAGGCTTCTAAACGACTTGCCTGTGGTTTCTTGTAGGAATTATCCAATGCCTGTGCCATTGAGCATAGCATTAAAGTCTTTTCCTGGATGAAAAATCAAAAGGTTTACCATGCTCAGAATGATATCTATAACATGCTGATTCAGTTGCATGCAAAGCATAATCGAACTGATCAAGCACGTGGATTGTTTTTTGAGATGCAAGAATGGCGGTATTGATAATAGTGTTCCTGCTATACATTAAGAACTTGGCTGAACTCTTTGTAGCTGCTTTGTGGTTTAGACCTTTTCCCGTTAATAACTAATTATATTTCTTCGTGCTGACTGTTTTTTGGTTCGAATGGAATAAACATTGAAAAACTCAAGTAGAAATCATGTCTACTATTTTTTATTACGTTTGGTTTTACAGTTTTCTCATATCTGCAGTGATGAAATTACATTTGTCAGGTCCAGGAATTCAACTGTATGCATGCTAGTCAAAATTGATAAGTAATAAGTCATTCAAACGACAAAAAAATGACTTAAACAATGCTACACGTCACTTTCTATAGGGACATAATGTCGGTTACTACATAATATTCTCATACCCTCACCTCTCATTGTGAGTCAAAATGATCAGGGTTGCCTTAATTTTGTTGGGACATTTCTGAGTGTCATTGATTATGGAAACTATTTTTTGTATCTCGACATCATCATAGATGACACATCATTAAAAAGGACCCAAAAGGTATCAGAAGACCCACATTTCTGTACATTTCTTTATATCATATGCAGATATCTGCTATAAAGTGATGATGCCCCAGATGGAGTCAGCTATGTCAGTTATTTGAGAAAATGATCCTCATCTAGGAACATTGCATTAATGCTGAGGTCCTAAATTACTGGCAATTGATGATGTTTTGCGTCTATTAATATACAGGAAGTACCATTACAGTGAAATCTGCGAATTGTGGATAACACTCAGTCAAAAGTCTGCTGTACGTACAGTGGATCTTCTGATGTTCAAAAGTCGTATAAATCCATACGTTGTTCAATGCTTCTGCAGCTTTATATGCTAAGATTCAAATATTTTTGCAATAATCTTGGTGAAGGCATCTGGTGTAGATGAGTTAAGATTGGCCTTGGTAACCCAGGACAACCCAAGATCTATTAATGAGTTGAGTTCAATCGGGCTCTAAATGGTATAAATTTGAGAATTTAGACCTGGTTATGCAATTCGCTTTCTCATTTCTTATTTTAATGATGCCGTCCTTTGCCCATGTTTTTTTCTTGATGATCAATGCTAGGTTTTCACTATTTATAGTTGCAAGCCTGTTGCTGGTTCATACCATGCTCTAAATCAATCCGATGTAGTTATTTTATAATTTTTCTCTTGGGTGTTAACACTAGGTTTTCACTTTTGATAGTTGCAAGCCAGATGCAGACACATACAATGCTCTAATCAATGCGCATGGGCGAGCTGGCCAATGGCGTTGGGCAGTAAATATAATGGATGATATGCTTCGTGCTGCTGTATGTATTATTTTTCGTCCCATTTGTTAAAAATCTTTACCCTCTCAGCGCTGTACTGCTCATACTTTGTCAAAATGAGAAAGATATTGATGATTGATTCTCGTAATTTTGTTCCACACGAGTTATTTTTGCCTACATGAGAATTATCTTATATGCGGATGCAAGGAAATCTTCACAGAGAGTATTCTGTGAAAATTTATGCTTTGATGCTTCTAAATGCTAGTCATTGCCGTCTACTAAATCCACATAATAAACCTTCTCATTTTCTTCACGCACTCATTGCAGTGATAATATTTGGTCTCCTCTATGGGAGTTTCTCCCTCTCCTTTGATCTTGGTGCCTGGAATCTGGTGATTGAAAGCTGTATTATCTGATCCTTATTAAAATCGGCAGTACCTGATCTGATCTGGCGGGGAGACTTGGATACCTCACTGGGTCAGTCACAGGGATGAGGCATCCTTTACTTGACAGACATGGGGAGTGAGTTGTACTGTAGTTGTCTGAGTTGAGATGACTGGGCAAGCAATCAGTCTACCCAACTCAGATTGGTTGATTCCTGGCCAATGTAACCCGTCCAGACAGCATTAAAAAGGCTTGGACCAGCTAATTTGGCCCATCTAATTCCAGATCTTCATCCAGATCTGACCACTCGATTCAGTTCTAAGAACAATGTTGCTTGTGATTTTTGATTGTATTTTCTTCCATTTTAAGGTTTAATCTGATAGCTGAGTCATCTGCATTACTCGTTCATTTCATTCAGCGAATAGTGAAGATGCATGCTTTCTTGCAGCATTAGGGTTCCTTGTCCCCTATTTTCCTTTTACTGAGATTTTGTTTGACTATATTTCTGATAACTCTTTTGGAACTTGAATAAGACTTTTTAACATGGTGCTCTTTTCTTATCCAATGTTTCAGTTTTCGGCCTCAGCTCACACCCTCTCTTATATCAAAGTCCTTAAGTCCTTAGTCCTGATCACCACGCCAGGGGGATGAATCTTTGATTCATCTTGACTTTAGGTTTAGGATAGGAGATCAAAGCACAGATCGGCAAAGTCCTTAATCCTGCCTTGAACTAGGAGCACTATTTTAATCATTTAACTCTGGCTGCTATGTTGATAAATTTGTTATTGTAACTTAATATGCTCACTGTCTCACATTTTGGTGAATGCATGTTATTTTCTAGTTCATGAATTATCTTCGTAGCATTTTATTTTTACAAAGCGAAACCAAATGCCTTCAATGCTAAGTTGATTAAGTTGAACTCAGACTTTCATGCTTTAGCAAAAGAGAAAACTGGCTGAATATAGGACTCCTTTCCACTAGTAGATTAACTGTGATTCATTACTTGTTCAACTTTTCTTACTGCAATTGCAATGTTTCTACATAGACGATGGATTGGAGTTGTGAAGTTAGATTTATAAGATCCCTTGAAAGATGATGAGTTTTATTTGGGGAGTTCCATGCTTGCAATGGCTCATGGCTCACGATAGCAGGATATTTCAAAATTTCAGAGACTAACTAGCTAGATTTATTTTAGAACATCAGGCCTCTTTAGCTTGAGTATCTCTATTACATTTTTACATGTCTGTTAAAAATCTCAATGTACAATTTTTTAAACACTTTTACTTAAATTGATTTTCTTCCTTTTGATCAAAGATTCACGACGGCCAATGGAAATCTAATCCTTAATCTACTGATCTTGATCAACTGGTCTTGGCCATTTATAAAATCTGATTTTAGAACTTTGCTTAGTAGTTGAAACAAATATGGGTAACCCAACGTTTCATCAATGTAAACCCAGTCTCTAGACACTGGATTTCTAGACAAATATAGGTAACTCAAGGTTTCTAAACCCAGTTTTGACCAAAAAATTGTTCTTGGATAAATATGAACTAATATTTGACAACAATGGAAATGAAAACATGAAACTTTCAGCACTGTGAAAGAGGACATTGTGTCCCCAGGGCATCCAATACATTCAGCATATGTACATTTTGCATAGACCAGGCCTATGATAAATCGGTATTCTCTAGCCCACATCGGAGTTCAAGCCATTGATCCCGTGGACGGATCTTTCTACTGTTAAATTTATTGAAGTTAGCATAGTTAATACATTAACAGATGAATTTCTTTCATAACCAGGGGCTGAGATAGAGTTATAGACTGATTTTTTTTAAATATGCTATGAGGATAAATATTTATTTGTCTCATCCTCCAAATCTAGGGATGATAAACAGCAGGGTTGTAAAGAATTAGCAGTTAAATTCCCATAACTTGTGTTGGGATTCCTAGCCAGAAATATTGATCTATTTTGTTGAGAGATCTAGTTCCTATTAGGTACTGAATACAAGTTTGTATGTATCCAATAATCCATGATATGTGTTGCGTCTGTTTAGATGTTTGCCCTTTGTCCCTAGTTGACTTAGGTGTCACAGAAGTACCTGCGCGCTTTCCATAGTTTCGGCTTGATCTTTAGAGATGTACGACAATAGGGTGTGGGCCAGCCTAAGCGTTTTCCTGGTCTGCTCACACCCTTCTTTGAGGGACTGAACTGTGTCCAGTTTCTCCGTTTTTTACCCATAATTTTTTACATTAGGTGCAACCACGTGGTCTAATTTTGTTTTTGGAATGCTGTCATTGGTTCTATATCTGAAACACTTGTTTTTACTATTCTCTGTTATCTCTGATATTATTTTTGGAATGCTTTCATCGGTTCTATTCTGACCTCAAATATGTCTGTAATATTTTTCTGATTCCTAATTTTGTAGATCCCTCCTACCCGGTCAACATACAACAATTTGATCAATGCTTGTGGATCTAGTGGTCAATGGAAAGAGGCTCTTAAGGTTTGCCAAAAAATGACAGACAATGGAGTTGGGCCCGATTTGGTGACTCACAATATTATTCTTTCTGCTCTCAAGAGAGAGGCACAATATTTGAAAGCTCTTTCCTATTTTGAATTAATGAAAAGAAGAAAGATACTCCCAGACACGATCACTTTTAATATAATCATACATTGTCTTGTAAAACTGGGGCAATATGGAAAAGCTGTTGATATTTTTAATTCAATGAGAGAGAAACGAGCTGAACATGCACCGGATGTGGTGACGTTCACTAGTATCATCCAAGCTTATTCCTCTTGTGGGCAAATTGAAAACTGTAAAACAGTGTTTGACTTGATGATTTCTGACGGATTGAGTCCTAGTTTGATATCATATAATGCTCTTATTGGTGCATATGCTTCACATGGAATGCATGTGGAAGCTTTGAAAGTTTTCAAGTTACTGAAAAATTCTGGTTTTCGACCTGATGTTGTATCTTATACATCATTGGTGAATGCATATGGTAGATCTGGACAGCCGGAAAAAGCTCGAGAGATGTTTGACAAAATGATGCAGAACTCATGTAGGCCTAATATAGTTAGTTATAATGCACTTATTGATTCGTATGGATCTGAAGGGAAGTTAGCAGAAGCCTTAGATGTGCTTCGTGAAATGGAGAGGAACGGGATTCTACCTGATGTCATAACCATAAGCACTCTTTTAGGGGCTTGCAGTCGATGTGGTCAAGTTGTGAATATTGATTCTATACTTTCTGCTGCTAAGTGTCGTGGTATTGAATTGAATATAGTTGCATATAACTCAGCTATTGGGAGCTATTTAAATATGGGAAGCCCTGACAAAGCCTTGCAGTTGTATGAATCAATGAAAGAAAGGAAGATCAAGCCAGATGCTGTCACTTTTAATATCTTACTTAGTGGTTTGTGGAAGATGGGAAAGTACGATGAGTCTCTCAAATTTCTCGATGAGATGACGGTCTTGCAGATCCCTTTATCAAGGGAAGTCTATTCATCAGTCATATGCATTTATAACAAGAAGGCACGTAGTTTCTCCTCCCACTTTTTTCTTTTCTCAACCTTTATCAAAATCTGACCATCCCCATACAATTTCCTTTCACATTCTGATTTTCATTTTTCAGGGCCTATTAGCAGAAGCAGAATCCATGTTCGCTAAAATGAAGGAAGCTGGCTGTTGTCCCGATGTTGTCGCATATACTGCCATGATTGATGTATATGGTGAAGCTGGTAATACTACCTGGTAATCTTGTTCAGTTTAGAAATTTCCTATTACTGACAGTGACTCTTTGGGCCTTTGATATGAAGGAGCCTGTGAGAGAGCATGGGAGACATTTCAGGAGATGGAAATGCACGATATCCAGCCAGATGCGATTGCTTACTCATCTCTGATGAAATCTTTCAACAGAGGGTGCAAGCCAGAAAGGGTTCTGGCTTTAGCAGAGTTGATGAAAGAAAAATCTATCCCCTTCAATTCCGCGATCTCTTTTGAAATTTTATCATCCTGTAGCATGTAAGAAGATACTTCTCATTTGTGATAAATATTTATTTCTAAATAGGATGTAAGCTTTAAGAACAAGATTTACCGAGTTGTGTGCTTAAGCTTGGTTTTCCACTTTATTGAGTGCTAATAATTTTCGACTCAGCTAAGTTGTCTATCCATGTTGAGATCACGGGTAAGGGTCTATTTCTATTGATTGTTGGACCTCCTCACCTGTGTGTCAGCAGAACTGCTATATGTCATGTGCTGAAATTACTTGTCACAGGCATAGATTTAATCAATCTATGTGACAGGAGTGAGGTACTTCATGCTTAATCTATTTGTTGTCATAATAAATTACACTATCACCAATTTTAGAACTAATCTGTTTCGATTTTGACCTAGCACATTATTGGCTCAAACTGGCCAAAATCTGGGCTGTACTCTTGTTGTCTCTGTTTTGTGTAACACTTTCTTAGTGGTCTTTCAGGAAGTGATAATCATAATGGATACTTACCATAATGAAAAAACACTCACGCTCATTCATTTTGTGTACTCTGTGCATTTTAGGAAACGAATTTATGTAAATAAATGAATGCCTTTGAATGGTTATGTTTCCTTGTGGCTTTTGATACTGAAATTGATACCTGGAATCATGAGCTGAAAATTTGCCCCTGATGTTGGATGGCAATGATAAGACACTAGATTTGCATGTTTTCTGTAAGGATGGCGAGGGGTAGCTTACATTTGAAGTCCTAATACAACAAAGAAATGCATCGCTGTTTTTCTTTTAATACTGCTGTCAGACCTTTTCTGTTCTAACGACATGATTTGCTTTTGGACTATCAGTGAAAAACTGATGCGTGTTGGACTTCTGTTGTTTTAGTATTGCAATGAGCATGCTGGATGTGTTTAATGAAACCCCAATAAAATTGCAGAAAGAAGTAATATTCAATTGAGTTTTTTCTAAATTTTGATGGTGTATGTTGTTTTCTGTAAGTTCTGGGAAAAGGATTACGAGTTCTTCTCATTTGATGATATTTTCTTAAAGGTTGAGAGATTGGAGAACAGCAAGCGAGTTAGTTGACAATTTGGAACCTTCATTTAGATTCTTTTCACTTGGACTTTTCAATCAGATTCTGCATTTTTTTGGGAAAAGTGGGAAGGTCGACAGTATGATGAAGGTATAATCTTGTCTAAGCTTATTTTTAAAAAATCCATGTGTCCTTATCTTATTTTGCACACACTTTATGGTGGGGAACGCTGTTGCAAAACTTGTTAGCTCGGTTTAATGGGCTCCATGTGGAGTCCAGGGTTCCAAAATGGGATTTATCTTTCCTTGAATCAAGAATTTTGTGATGCGTTGCATCTTTAAATCCAATTCAATTTGTTTGAATCTCTTTAAAGACCAGATTGTACTGATACTATAGCCGCTGCCCCTGTTAATAGCCTTTTATTATTTTAAATTTTTTAATAGAGTATTATTTCAAAGAGATTAATATCATATCCAAGATATAACCGAACATTAAATGATTAGGAACGTGGCATACTACAGAGATAATAGATAGATATTGTTTCTTATCTTTCGTATTTTTTTTTATCGTTTTTGTAATAGCATCAAAGACTATTATTTTGAAAGATACTTTCGAGTTCATTAGAGTTAAATCTCATGTTTTCAACATATAGTAAAATCTTTCTTCAAAAATTGTATTTGATGAGAACTGTTACTGCTCACGTGTTGCTCTTCATGCGTAACTAGTGTTTTTCAATTTTTTTTAATTCCTCTATTCCCGGTGGTTTAGAGTTAAATAAGGCCTTTTGTAATCGTTCCTATTAGGATTACTAATAAAAGATGAGAAGGCCTTCATTGTAGTGAGTTGTTCTCCTCTGCCACACCTCAGATTTCTCTTGAAGGGATGAGCGCCATCTCTCTCTTTTTCCTCTTGTTCCGTGGTTTTTTTTTGAAAGAGCTTTCTCAGGATTGAATCTTACATTGGAACGAACTTCTCCTATGCTAAATTTTTTACTTTTTTAGGTTGAAAATTATGGTATCTAACTGTAGTAAGAGAGGGATAATGATATCCAATAATCAACTTTAGATGAGCGTATCATCTAATTTCTAACTACCTTATGTTTCAAAAGATCATCATGGGGGAGGCTATTCTTGAGAAAATGTAATTAACACTGAATGAGCATAATTTTCATAGTTTCTGTCAACATAATGTATCTTAACATATCTAGCGACTAAATCATATAAAATACTTAACTAAATCGAGCAGAAAATTAATCCTACTTTAGAAAGCTCTGCGTACATCTCAGTTCTCTCCTGCTTTTTTTGCATGCTTTACTTTCTTTACTTCAAATCTTTCCTCCAACCAGAGTTAGTCGAGAGGGCACTTGACCAGACTCTAGATTTCTTGAGTCTTTCTAACGCTAGTACGTGATAATGAAATTTATATCTCGGTCAGATGTCATTTTTTCATACTCTACTATTGAGCCATTATATTTCTTGTATTAACTGACCGCCAAGTTCTCTACGTTTTCCTTTTATTCTTTTTCTTTCATCTCTTTTTCAGTTCCTTATCTGATAGAGGGCCAAAGGAAGCACCAACAAAATATGAAAGTTAGTTTGTGTAGTTACTCTGATAACTGTACATTTAGTCTTTTAGAGCCACCTTATAATCTAGTCAGTATATTTTAGACATGTGTCCACTGGGTTTATTGGTCTTTCCCAAGTTCAATTCAACATAATTTTTTGATGGAGATCTTGAAATTATTAAAAATACTCCAGACCAAGGATAAAAACGCGATTTCAAGGTTTGGGCCAATTTGACCTTCCAAGCAGTTACGAATTCTATATATTGAGGCCACCTATATTTCTTTTAGTTCACAATTTTATACAGTTAAAATAAAGATATTTAGTTCTTGCGATAGTCTGAAACTGTTAGAGTTACCAGTGGTGATATTGCATGAGAAATGATAAACATAGAAAGGAAAACCTAATCAATGTATTATAAGCAGCAAGTAAAGGTATATAAATTTGTATAGTCAGAGTCAGGAGACAGTCGGTTTTTTTTTTTCCCAACTTGTGACAATCCTGTATGATTGTCAACTCAGGATTATATTTTCTGAAGATTTAGTCGATCTTTAGATTCTCAGGTTGATGTTCTCAATTATCAAATGTAGATGTTCTCATTTATATTTCCTCTTTTAGAAAGATTACATACTGAAGTCGGTGGGTACTTTCCTGTGTATTTCATCAATTAATTTACAGTTAAATCGTTCTCACATGATGTTTACTTAGATTCATAGAACGCTGTTTTTTTGTTTTTTACTTCAAATGAAATGCTCTACATTGTTAAATTCAGCTCTTTTACAAGATGACAGCATCTGGTCTGGATGTGAACCGTGGAACTTATTCAATTTTGCTGAGGCACCTTTTGGCTGCTGGAAAATGGAGGAAATATATTGAGGTTTGTAAGAGTTGAAATTTTGACCTTTGTTTTTCTTTCTAGGATGTGTTACCAATATATTTAACTAATATTTTACACATTCAAAAATACCTGGGGGGACTTGTATGACTGGAACATTTACCTATATATTTATGCTTCCTGTCTTTTCTATTCCCTCGGCGTATTTCTTTTCGTAAAATATGTTTTGCAGTGTTTTGAAGAATAGCTCTATGGTGCAAGTTGTACATTTGAGGTTATCTCATGAGCCAAAATTAGGTTTGATTCTCATCTGGCTTTGTGCAGTCATTAACTAGGATTGATTTAAACGCCATACGCATCAGTGGGTTCAAGTTGCTCTATCTGACATTTCTTTTCAGAAGCCAAAATTTGTTTTCGCTGACACTGCAACTTTGTAACTCAATTCACTCAGAGTTTCAATCTGGCGAATTAATTGTTCCATATGGCTTTTTCCTATGCGGGCAAATATCTTGGCTTTTTTTCCCTCAATTTCATCATTTGTACCTGAGTCTTCATTCACCCATAGAGTCTTTCTTGACTTGAATTTGCAATTGAATACTTTAGATTAGTTAAAGTTTCCCTCCATCTTTTGTCGAGGTTGATATGGTTCCCTCCTGATTTACCTTTGCCGTCCTATACATTTCTGATTTTCAAGAACCCAACTTCTGGATTTCTACTCAGTAATTTTTGATTACATGCTTTCTTTCTAATTGTTGACTGACTGACTGACTGACTGACTGGAGACAATAGGAATTTCGTTCTTGGCTGTGTATGGCACTCTTATAATAACATAGCTGCTAGAAAGTAGAATATGCTAAACAAGAAAGAAATTAAAGAAGGAAAAATCATCAACATAAATTACTACGACAGGATAGAAAGAACATGTTGTTTTCTCTCATCATCTAAGAAAAAGTATGAACCTATGCTATATTTGAATTGGAGCACTGCATTGTAACTGCATAAAAAACGAATGTAATCTTAAATAAGACGGCTAAGATGGCGAATAGTCTAGTGCGGGATTGAGCATATGTTTCATGGATCATTTAGTTTGGTTTTAGTTTAAATTCCTGTCTAATAGCACGTCTTCACTTTGAAAAAAACAGACACTGTTTCTTTTTGAAATTAGCTTCATGCCATTTCAATCCCTTTTGTTACATCCTCCTATTGGTGACTGAAGAAATGTCTCTACTAGCTAGTTTTTCGAGAATGCACCTTGAATCTTTCTGATCTAGAAGGCTAATTATTTTTCTTACATCCGCCTGTGATTTGCTTCTGTTTTAATGCTTCAGTATGAATCTTAGTCCTTTCAATTGCAGGTTTTGCAGTGGATGGAGGATGCTGGAATTCGTACATCATTTCGTATGTATCAAAATGCTCTTCCATATGCCTTGAAGGATAACAGTGAAGAGTTGATTGGTGCCATCCAGGAAAAGATGGGTACGTAAACATTACAACATGGTTTCACTGACTCAATCTGATTCCCCCTGATTGAATCAATTGCTGAATCGAACAAGTTTTTGCTTGCTTTTGATTATTTATTAAAGTTCGCTTGTTTGCTTGAATGGAGATTTCCAGCCTTTTTTATTTCATCTAAGTTTTAGTATTTATATCGTTGTATAGTCTGATGTGCATTCCTTGTCATCATTTAACAGAGGACTTTGGACACCACTTGCTATGAGTTGCTTGTTAATCTTATCTTTCTCCTTCGTATCAAATAATTTCTGCATAATAACACTCCAATTCACTTTTTTATGTTATTTGAGTTGGCAGGATCCCTGATGTAGTGTTTATAAGCTCTCTTTTTTTAGCTTGATGAGGGATAGCCTGGAACGAATGTAGCTCTTTGTCCTCTGAGGGAAGCAAAATGATTTTTTATTTAGTTTTCATTGGGAATGCCGTGAGAAGATCAGACGATTCTTTGGTGCTTATGGTCCCTACTTAGAAGCCACGATGGGGAAAATGACCAATTCCACGTCTGCTGTCAGAACCCTTGTTTTTTCATTTGTAGCTAATATTTACACGATGCTTCTCGGCAGAGAAGATGAATCCAACCGTTTTCTAGAGCTGGATGTGTTGCCAAGGGTAAGTTGACTATTTTTTGCTCAATCAACCCATTCCAAACGCGGGAATATGCGAATTTATTGTAGGGGAAGAAGCTGATTACTTCAAAATGCAGGGGATGAGTTCATTTTAAAGAGAACAATATTTCTTATCCGAATATACCATGCAATGCTGGCAGAAGTTTAAGACTTGGAGGATCTTGATTGGTTTGTTTGACAAAAGTAATATTCCTTGATTGTACTTCTTCTAAAATGACCTAGCCAGTATTGACTCTAATGTTATGTGTATTTCCCATTTATGAAATGTATCAGAAAATTTATTTACGGGTCTTCTCTCTAGATCAAGAGACGGTATCGGAGGAATAGATGAACTATCACACCGTTCATAGATTGACGAATTATATCTATGGGTGGTAGGGTGGATTAGTTGGCTGTCCTTTGTGGAGCTCAGTTTCAATGAACAAGTAGAACATCCTGTCAGATCAAACGTCTGGTCTCTATTTCACCTCAAATATACTACAAGGCATTGAGGAGAGGGAAGGGGCGAGGCATGGTGCACACAGAATGACTGAAATGTCGCTGAATGCTTTCCATGCCATCTTTAGGCGAATGAAATGCCCTTTTGGTGAACAAGATGACTGCTAGAAAAGAGGGTCACCTCGGCCTTTATCTCCACTCCACGTAGAACCACCCACCTTTCTTTCTCCGTCAGCCTGCGCCATTCACTACCACCCGGGGAAGAAGGGAACCGGCCAGACTCTTACATTGCAGTAAATCATTTCAGTGCTCTTGAGTGAGGTACCCTCTTAGTCGGTTTGATTCACAATTTACTTTAAAAAAAATGCAGGTAGCCTACGATGAAGTTTCTGCACTGTTGCAGTGGAAGTGGGAGCTTGTGGATATTAATGAGTTCATTTTAAGCTTGTTCATGCTTGTATTTTCTCTTACAGACTTGGATGATTTTCCCCTTGTTTATTATTATAGCCATGCGCAGCTTGGTGTGCACTGATGTAATTCTTGACTCGCCCCATAAGAGGATAAGAGGATCGATCATGTTGTATATTTCCAAAGAATTATGTAAGTTTCTATCATTATTTGGTATGTAAGTATCTATCATGTTTCTCTAGAACATGGCGGCCTTAGATGTTGACCTCTGCCCCTATAAAAGCACTTGGTGGAAGCATTGCTTGAATCGTGAGACTCGATTCGACCAGGTGTTCCATGGGCTAATAATTGCCGATTAGATGGGCTAAAACCATATGAATCTCAAGATACTTATTGCTGTGTTGTGCCTTCTTCTCTGTGCAATTATTTCGCATAATAATCATGCAATGGGCGATAAACATTGCTTCATATGATTAATGATATATCACATCAAATGACATGTGAAGCTTTTTCTGCTTGGGCTGTTGATACAGGGCTTGGAAATCTAGAGCTGAAAAATTATTATTTTTTATTTAATTATCACGGGGTCTACCTGTCTACTTGACCTCAGCCCGTTGAGAATGACTGCGCTATGGTGCACTATGCGTTCCTTTTTTGTGATGATGCGTTGAACAAGAAAATTTCCGTAAGTAGGTAGATAGTTGACTACGGCCGAACCCTTTAAAGGCCACTTTTTTTTTTTTTTCGAGACCATATCTGCGGCGAAATATTTTTATCGCCATCAAGTGCGATTTCCGCCAGGTGCTGACGTGTGGCTTTTTATAGGTGCGGTGATTTCGAGACGGAGCAAACCACCCTCCTGTTTCCTACTAAAATAATGCTCGGTTTGGAGGGACCTGCGCAGGGTGTAAGCTTTTGCGGCTCCTCGTTGGATTCCACCCTTGATCCGCCAGTGGCAGCGGTACCCCTCTCTCTCTCTTCTTGATTGGGGCACGAGGGTCGTCCACAGTGGTCGGCATTGGTGGGCCAGCGGCGGCGTAGACGCTGCGTTCTTCCCCCTTGGTGGACGACCAGACCTTCCCCACCTGCCACGGTCCACGTGACGAGAGAGAGCAACGGGTACCGTCTCTCTCTGTCTCTCTGTGTGTCTAGAGCAGAGTGCTGCGGGTCGGATGACTGTGGCGGCCTTCCCCCTCGCAGTCATTCAGTGATATATACACAGATCAGATGGGAGAGGAAAGTTTACAAAAGAATGGCAGAATAAGGTTAAACGGGAGGTTAACCGGCGACGACAGGGGGGGGGAGAGAGAGAGGGCGGCACCGCCGAGTCAGACGCTGGGGGTGTAGCGGCGGGGGAGGCGGGGAGTGAATCCGGTTGCCTCCCTGCCGTTGCGGATCTGGTCGAGGCGGTCGGCGATGGTGGAGTCGTTGAGGAAGAACCTCGACGTGGGATTCTCCGCGTAGCAGACGTAGTAGCACCCCACGCAGGCCTGCGGCAGCGCCATCCCGATGCGCGTCTGTTGCAGACGCCGGCGAGCAGAAGCAGCGGGAGCTTTCGTCACCCAGTCGACGAAGGAGAGAAAGAAACAAAAAGGAAAGGAATGGAGATGGATGATACCATGAGGTAGCCGACGAAGAAGGCGAGGAGGGAGACGGTGGCGGTGTAGTGGCGGTGGCCGGAGTAGGTCCATGAGGCGGCGAAGATGACGCAGAGGGACCCGCTGGCGACCCCCGTGAGGAAACAGATGGCGCTGGTTATGTCGGCGTCCACCAAGGCCTCCATCCTGCTCCTCTCGAACAGCCCCCACGTGCTCTGCGACGCCTCCACGAACCCACTCCCGTACGCCGCGATCTGCCCACGGCACCAGTGCCCTTCTCTCCGTTACCATAGCAGAGCTCCGACGAGGAGGAAAACGGAAAAAGGGAGGAGGGTGGGTGTACGTGAACGTAGGCCCAGCTGTTGCCGTAGCGGAAGACGGCCTCCATGACGTGGAGGCAGCAGTGGGCGCAGGAGAAGAGGAACTCATCCTCCCCTTCGAGGAGGTTGAGGGCGCGGGCGATGATGCGGCAGAACTCAATGGCCGGCACGAAGAGGGAGCCAAGGCAGGCGCCGCCGAGGTTCACTGTGGCCGCCCGCTGGAAGCAGTAGCTCACGTCCGACTGCATCCCCCGCAGGTAGTAGAGCGCCACCGCGCGGCTCATCGTGAGGTTGGCCACGTTCCTCATCACCTCCGCCGTCCACATCAGGCTCAGTATCAGCGCCAGGATGGTCAGCGGGGGGTAGTAGAAGTTGAGCGCGCCGATCACGGCGAAGCACCACAGCGTAATCCACACCGCCCCCGCGAGCATCATCGCGTACGACGGCCGGTTGAGCGTGCGGAACTTGGCCTCCGCCGGCTGCAGCGACCGCGCCAGCACGCGCGCGGCGAAGGGCATTCGCCGCGTGACCCAACAGGCGTACAGCCCCACCCCCACGGAGAAGATGATGAGGACGAGCCCCGCGCCATCGGTGGTCGGCATAGAGAAGCAGAGGAGGAGGATCCCGGCGGCGAGAGTTGCGGCGGCGCTGGACCAGACAATGAGGCGCACGGTGAGGAGGGTAGGGTAGGCGCGGACGGCCTTCTGCCAGGCGAAGGCGAGGAGGATGCTCAGCACGGCGGCGCCCTCCACCGGGGGAAGCCAGAAGGAGAGGACGTGGCGCTCTCGGCGGCGGTGGGGGCCCTCGGCCTCCACAATACCCATCACGGCCTTGAAGATGAAGAAGCTGATGGCGGCGCCGGCGGCGAGGAGGTGCAGGAGGAAGAGGAACAGGGAGATCCGGTTAGTGTACCGCCTCGAGTTGAGGGAGGCGCCGCTGGTGGGGGTCATCTGGGTGGGGATCACAGAAACCACAAAAGATCAACTTTCCATCGACGACGAAATTATTTTCAGGGTTTCTCCCCCGTTCCCTTCCTCCTCCGTCCGTCACCTGTTGCTACGAGTGACAGCTAGAAAGAGAGAGATTGAGAGAGAGAGGGGTACCAAGTTGGGTGTTGGCTGGAAGCTGGGGGCCATCGATCGCGCTTGGGCGGGGAGCCCTTGAGGGGCGACCTGAAGAGAGCTGACCGGATGAGAAACCTGCAACTTAGAGACTCTCGCCTTCGTGAGTGGAGAAGAATCAACGGCGACCACCACCACCTCCTCCTCTCCCATCTCAGTAGGCCCTCCTCCGTCTGGTCGCTTCCCCTCTTCTTTCCTGCGTGCCCCATCTTCATGATCGCCGCCGCCGCCGCCTCCTTTGTGTTTCTCCTCTTCTTCCTGGTGCGCCCCATCCTCCGCCGTCGCGCCCATGCCCGCCACCGGCTTCCGCCGCCGTTGCCCGGCGAATGATATCTTCTCTTCGCTCCCCACTGCCCAGGCGGAGAGTCGCCCTCTCACATTGTCGTCCTCGTCGGCGGCGCCGCCGGCAAAGAAGAAGCAGAGCGAATAACTCGAACGGGGGAGAACAGGAGAGAAGGACCGTGTGGATTGGCTCCTGGCATACGGAATCTTTTGGGGGGCGGCTTCTCGTGATAAGGCCTCAGACCGCGGATTTTCTTACCTGGCGCCCCACCATTGGTCTTAACTTGAGCGTATCCGACACGGAAAATCTACTCCCAAAGGAGGGGAACCACGAGCGCGGCTCGGCCCACTGAACAACGAGAGCAGCGCCCGGCGGCCTATCAGCGTGATCCCTGCTGCGTTGCGTGACAAGACGCGTAATGCGTTTAGCCAATGATCCGCTGTTAATGGGCCGGCTGATCCACAAGGCCCAATGAGGAGAGGCCTAGAGCCCAACGCGGAAACCACAGATGGCTACTCGACTCACTTCATATTCAAGGCTCATAAATGCCCAGATGAGCATATTCAATGAGGGCGGGCCCCATTTGAAGCATTCTACCGTCTTTAAAGCAGATAAATAAAAACAAGAAATAATAAAAAAATGAGCATTAAAAACGTCATATTTACCCTTAAATCCCATGTGGTTTACACCCACAAATAAACTCGTTCTTAAACATGTTGAAGAACTAATCTAGAATAAACCTTTTACAATGCGAAAATATTCCACATCCATGGGCAAGGTTAATCAAATAGTGAACATGGATAAGTTGGCATGAGGCCCTGAAATTTTATAGCATAAAAGTTAGTATAGAGACTCAAATAAAACATGAATGCACCCAAAATTCTTCAAGAAAGTAAAGCCCACTAATTATGTACTTCTGTTAACCCCCACTAATTATAATTAATACTATTTTGATCAAAATTTTAAATGAGAAGCCTTTAGACTTAGTACAAAATTATTATTATTAAAATGAACAAAGGAGTAATATTTAACTATTTTTGTCTATGCGGGCAGCATAGTAAACATCGATTAATCCTTATTAAAACATTATCTAGATTCATATTGCCAATCAACTGATGCACCCCATTCAATGTGCCATGTAACTTGATCATTATATATTTCATGAGTTGTTGATCCTACACTTTTGATATCTAGGAAGTAAATCTCTTGAAGATTCAATGGCTTGTCACACCAATGATCAAACTGAAAGATATAAGGATATTATTGTACATTTTCAAAATAAAATAAATAAATAATGCAATAGATATGCCATTAATTAAATTTGGCTAAAACTTCATGTCTCAAAATCTGAACAAAATATCCAGACATAAATTTTGTTGAAAATATGATTTTTTTTAAAGTACAATGTCTTATTGAGACCATACATGCTGGAACATTTAAAGCATGACATTCTGATGACGTCAAATGAAATGAAATATCAAATTGTGCCCATTGTTGAATACAACCTTTAATCAGATAACTTACTTATCCTACTACTTTCCTTGTAAGGAATCATTGTTTTGGGAATAATGATTACTTGTAGAGTGCATTCCAATGAGAAAATAATGATTAAGCACATTTGAACCAGAGAAGAATGAGAACATAAACATTACTTTGATAGTTGTCTTGTTTCTTCTTATATCCATGATATTATATCAATACGTCTGAACTATTATTATCATAGGATAACTAATTGAAGTCTAACTTTGGATTTTATTGTATTTAAGCTTTGTTGAATCATCTGAAATTTATTACAAGCATTATTAGTTATTGAAGATATGTTTTATCACACTTAAATCAGGGATTGAGATATCCAATTGACTATATAATTTATTTGAGCTGATTTTGATATATTTTCAGCATCCAATCATTATTATGAAAAGATGTGTTCTATTGGATTTGAATTTGTGTTATTGGATACTAATCGAGCTGCTTTGTACTGATGTGCCTTGGTCATGAATAATAGATTTTATTGGTACTGCATATTGGCTTAATTATAGGGATGTTTGAACATTAAATGTCATATCATAGTGATTTTATAGATGTTTGAAGTATGGTCATTTTAGGAAAGTGAATGTTAGAATTTCTTAAAAAAATCGAAAGAGTCTCAAATCTTTTTTACTATATAAATATATAGATTTAATAAGGGGGCATACAATGACTATTGTTCTCCTTATTCATTCCTATGAACCCTAGTCAAAAAGAACAACAAGAGAGCCCACAAAAGGTAAGTGGGAAGATAAATAAAGGTGAGCACCATTGAAAATAAGTATTAATTAATCTTTACCAATTTGCACTCAACCAAGAGGCATTCACTCTGCTGCTAGCAACATTCAAAGGACACTTCTATATAGAGCCCACCAATACATCCTCTACAAAAAGCTTTTCAGACTCATATTAATCCTACATATACTTTGCAAGAAATCCATGGTGTCATCTCTTTTGTTCTGTGTAGTGTAAACTTGTGATTCAATTGATTAATAACTAAAGTGATGTGAATTAACAGGTGTGATCAAATGATTAAATAATTATAATCCATAAATATGGATTATTCTTTGAGAGTGGAAATAGATAAGGGGCCAAACCACTATAAAATATGAGAGTAGCTAACTTATAGTGTAGAAGACCCAAGTGAAAATGACTTTAAAAGAAAGTTAATAAATAATTATTAGCTTACATTCGAAATAAAAATATAAGGTGGGTCAATTCAAGCCCCCCTTTTTTCATAAATGTGGTCTTGAATCTAATAAGTAGAAATAAATTTCATTGAATAATAGATCCCAAGACTAATACCTCAACAAATGATAGAGAAAGGAATTTAGTGCACATAGTACCTTTATTCAATGTACCAAATTATGCTTTTTGAAAGAATAAATGAAGATCTTTATTCATGCTTAGATTATCAGCTACAAGAAATCATGAATGACTTTTTAGATGTAAACAAAGATCAAGTTGTAGAAAAACACATAAGATTATTGTCAATAAATGTTAGGGTTAGAAGTATTTTGATAATGTTGGAACTATAGACTGTCTTTTTGAGAATTTTGTTATTATTTTTATTTAAGTCAGATACATATGTATGTGTCAATGAATGTCTTGACATAAGTGTGTCCTAGTAAGACCTCTCAAGATTCTTTGATCAGGAACATGAAGCTTTTAATACAGGTTTTTACTTCAAGTCATAAAAAGAAAATTCTCTAGTATTCAATTATTTTTCTCAATAATACAAACTGATATTCATAGCATCAACCACCGAAACAACTCAAGTTTGCATCCTTTGTGACCAATCCCTTGTGTCTTCATCAAAAACACTCATATTACCACCTAATTACCTTATGACCTAATGGAGGGTAAATGTTCTAATGTTGAATTGACCATTTTTTAGAATTAATTCATAAAGAGGATGTACTGCTCTTGTGTGTTGTTGATACATATGATAGGGAGAACTTGATGTTGAGAGTTGGATCTTCATGTGTTTGATTAGTTTTGATCCATAAATCTTATTCCATTAGAAAGCCTTTGTTCGGTATTGGTTTCCTTATTTTATCAGATCTTCAATAACTAAAATCTCCCTTCAAAAACTTGCCATTTTCTAAAACATATGTCATTTTTCAATCTTAGAATCTTCTTGTTCTCATAATCATTTCTATTGAAATTTAATCTAGAGTTTTCTAACTTGATAGTGAATAGTTGGATGTCCACATTGGATCCAAATTATGAAGTTCAATCATCTTTTGTCAATGTTAGAAGCTAACATGCTGCTATAGAGATGCTTTATTTGAATTTTGAATAACTCATCATTTTTCTGATTTTCTTGATGACTTAATGCATATGATATCTTAACAAACTTGTCTAACATAATTTGAAATGTTAAATCTGGCATAATATGATTAGATTTTGATTTAATCAAAGATAGAATATTTGGCATAGTTTGGGTTGACTTATACTCATTTGTCCATATACTTAACCTTACATTTAAACATGATTATTTAGCTATTATGAGCAAAAAATGACCAAGAAAACAAATAATCAGTTGAAGATTCAAGTTTGGAATGTCGAACACAATGGTGGATGTTAAACAAGTACATAGACAAACAGTAAACTAAAATCAAATAATCTTTTGACTCGACGTGGATGTCGAGTGGTTCTTCATCAAGTTATGAAACTCTCAGTTAAATTTGAATTTAAATGAGTTTAAGAATAGGAAAGTCAAAAATTAGAATGTTGACATATATAAATCACATATTCTAGTAAATGATATGACCTTGAAGGTCAACTCAAATGCTGGAGATTTGAGAAAATTAGAAAACTAATATGGGATGAAAGTTTATCTAATAGTTTATCTGATAATAGTTCAAAGTTTATCTAATACGTTATCTAATAATAATATTTATCTAAGAAGAGTTCTATGTTGAAAATATAACACACATATTTACCACTCACCATCAAGATCTTCACACTACATGCTTCAATGAGAAACAAATTGCAGTATTTTTTTTGTTAACTTAATCAGATGATCAAACAACTATTCCTTAAAATTGATGCTCTCCATCAAGACTTTAAGATAATTAAATTATGACTATATAGTGATTTTTATAGTGCTTGTAGTTGTATTTGGCCAAGAGGGGTTGGTGTGTCAAAAGGTTTCTATGGAGACAAACTTGAGAGACTTGGACCATTGATCCCATTAAGTTCAATGTGTATTATTGAGGAGAATTTTCAAATCTAGAGAGTAGTTGGCTTAGTATTGAAAGTAGTTATGTGAAGGATGAACTAATATAAAAATTCTATATTTCTGGTGGAGTATTAAGAGGTCTTACTACTAAACGCATGTGTGGACACATGTATCCCTTATGTTAACACATATACTACTTGTTATGATAGATAAAATATAGAAGAGAATTCATGCTAACACACGAACTAGATTCTGTAGCAAATTACCCTTGACCTAAGAAATTAAAAAATTCTAAGAACCCCAAATCACCCCCCTTTTCGGCTCTCCACAAGTTATACCTATTCATCAAATGTCTAGGTGTAGATTCTCTATTAGTTTTGAAAAATATAAAGGGTTGTTTAAAAGTTTAGAGGAGCAATATGATCTGTTTGAGTTGAAAGAGATGGCCATGGATTTTATATGTGTTCATTGAAGGATCAAAGATTTATAGTGGAAAGAATAATGAGCAATCAAAGCACATGAAAAATAATGACCAATCAATGTTTAATTCAAAATCGAGCTATGATTTTTGAAATTTTTATGATGTAAGCTCGAAAACAAGTCTGTGATATAAGAAAAGGTATGTTTTCAGGACTTAACTCTATTTTATAGGCAAATGTTAGATTTTAAGATATAACTTCCATAGGTTAAAGTTCATTTCAAGAATTGAAGACTTCTTAAAATGAGGGCTATTGATGAGTGAAATATAAAATCAGCAATGAGGATCATGGTTTACATTTCAACATGAGATTAGAGGTCATGATTTGAATAATATCTTAGACTACTCTCCTATTGATTGGAATCTAATGATAGATCAAATGGACCGAAAT